TATTGATAATGTAAATCAATGAGTGTATTTGGTAAAACGAAGAATTTATCACATATATCAGGGTAACTGTTCAGAGACAAGCTCTTGTATTATATTTCTTTGCATATGTCGTAAGCAAACTTGCCTTATTTAGCTTATAACTAATTCATCATAAGTTCAGTTTATAATATAATAGAGGAGTATTTCTGTCCTAATTAGTCAACACAACTGATTTAAAGAACAGCACCGCAAGTTGCTCAACAATTAGTGTTTACTTGAGGATGCCAATAGACACTTGTGTCTTCTCGTGACATAGGCATGTTTTTGCCTTCTATCCATACCCTCGGAGTATTTATCAAAGAAACACTTTCTTGCTGAACCAATATAAATGATGCAATTATTAGAAATTAGTAATTTTTATTTGTGAATTACGTCCGAGTATAGTTACCAAGCTTATTTTTCGATTATATAAGCGACCAACACATTAGTTTAGACTTTAGGTTATCAAATCAGCAATAAAAGACTTGATATAGATGACCGTACGTGACAGACTGCATTTTCGTCGACGAGAAAATGCGCTCTCTGTCACTCACTGCAGTGAGCACTGAATTATATTTTTTCATTTAAATTGGTTATTCACGTGATAATACTAATGGTTTATCTCTTAAAAATAATGTTTAATATTGGTATTGCATATAGCACAATTCTGTAAACTCAAACCGTGCGATCAAGTCTGCACCATAAAGCAATCATCCTGCGTGTGACCAACTGCGTTTAGCAGTTGAGTCAAATGACGGTCTGATGAGTCAAACTTGAATATATAGTGCATAAAATTTTTTAACTTCGTTGTGGAAGTGGATAATATTAAAAAGAGAAAAAATTTTGTTGCAAGTAATAAACAAGAGTTACGTGCACCTGTAGTTGTAATGTAAATAAGGTGATACAGAGAAGCACGACAACATTTAAACACATATGTTAGGCAGCCTCCTGGCGGTGTACTGACATGGCAATGGGCGGCATGAGACCAAAACTTCCCAGCGATGTGAGTAAAGATACATTAAAGATACACAGATACATTAAAGATAAACGGACACACTAAAGATACATTAAAGATCAGGTCATGCAGGGTGCAATGCAGGAAGGTTAATATCTGAACATATTTAAACATCATATTGTTTCGACGAAGAGGGTAGTTGATTTTAGTTATATAATTTAGGTTGTATTTTAAAGCTGAGCTAGTTGCCAAAATGGTTCGATTTTGAATAGATGAACCACTATTCCTAGAATTGAAGCCTGCAGGTTCAGGCCAGAATGAGTATGAAAAATGTTTTCTTGATCCCAGATAGTATTTTTCTCGTACGTAAAAAATTAAGAGATGCACGAATATGACGAGTTTCTCGAAATTTGATAAAAATTGCTTAGTGATTATGATTTGCAAGACTTAAGAAATTTTGGCACAGCTCTTCATTAGACAGCTCCAATATTGTTCATTTTTTACATGCCCACCGATGCCAAAAGAAACCCTTTATGTATTATATTCTTCGTAAATCCCAACAAGACGCTTGACATCAATTATAGTGCTTGATTTGTACCTCATTTTATCAGAAACATTTATCATCAGCAATATTTTGTGCTTTCGCCTTGACCACGACTTTGGTCATCCAAGCTAAAATTGGATACGGGACGAGTCATTGCGCTTCCATTGGCAGAAAAGGTTACCGTCTCGTAAGAGGTAAGCAAACAAATGTGCCCATGTTGCCGTTGCCAGCATTTCGGGTTATTCCCTTAAATTCAGGCGAAGACTTCCGGAACCTTTTGTTACCTTTGCCGAAGAAGATCTTGAAAGGAATGGTGAAGAAAAGTTTACATTGAAACGAGACGCTGCAAACAAATTCATGCCACACCATATGAGATGCAATCAAACCTACGAACACGGAGGATGGCCGGCTATGTCTCTTGAAAATGTTTAACACTTTAATCTGTGGATGCAGACACGAAAAAAATGTCGATTTCCTACTCTCGGACACATTTAAATGAGGCTTGCGTCAGCAAGAATATACGCAATGCTTGATCTCATGTGTTATGCTCACTTGATGAAACGCTCAAGTGTTTTGGTGTGACTAAAGTATTAAGTTCAAGGATAAAAACCCAAGCGACGTTTGGTTGCCTTACCAGTTGGGAACTCGATGTGAGTGAACAAAAACTAACGGTGCTTTCCAGATTCCAAAGCTTGTGGTACGTCACACTCATTTAGCATCATTAATGCTAAGTTATGAGAAAAATGTTCTCAAAATTATTCTAATCGCTCACTGAACACGATTCCAAGAAGCGCTCCCAAGCACTGCATCTGGAATGAGGGGCATACGTCTCGGGTCGTAATAAGTTCATGCAGGTGTAGTAAAACGCTCTCTGGCTCCTAGCAATCTAGTGGCGCTATGAATTGGCGCTGGAGCATGCACTGCAGGGCGGTAATAAGTTGGTGCATATTTAGCAAAACGTTCTCTGGCTCCAAGCAATCTAGTGGCGCTATGTTTGGCGCAAAGGGCAGACAGATATTACAGGTCATACAAAGTTGCTGCTGCTGCAACGTAAAACTCTCTGGCTCCATGCAATCTAGTGAAGCGGTGGAATCGGGATCTAACAATTTTACTGTCGGGCCGCCTTTTGCACCAGATCTGGATTGAATGTGAACATCGCTGATCATTGTATGCAAAGTTTACGCCTAAGGATGCTGATTCTCTTCTACTGTTGGATTGAAGGACGCAATCCAGGCGACTGAAAAGCCCGCTTGAGCTGCGAGTAAAAGGCGCCCGATGAAGGACCACATAACTTCTAATTTTAGGAAAGTAAAAATTGCCCAAATTAGAAAAAAACATAAATTTTACCCAAATCGGTTTACAGTAGGAAGGTATTAAACTTCGAATAATTGATATCATGAAAATATTTCGAAAATTAATCTTTTTTCGACAAAAAATTGTCATAATTTTGGACGGTTTGAATGGTTTACATTATATGTAAGGAGGTTAGTAAAGTTGGAGGTGCAATATTAGATTAAAATTAATTGGTATTTAGGTGACCTTATTGCTAGGAGCTACTTGCGGTAATAAGACAAATAGAAGTCTTATGACACCATGTGGAATTTTTTTTGTAATTTGTGAATGCACCTCAGTGGACTTCTCGTGTTAATCCGGAAGCTTTGGGCGAGGTCATCAATAACGCATGCTGGGTCGGCCGGCATTGACGTTTTGCGTCTGCTACACAGCTAGTCGCCGGTGTGAGCTCTTCTCTACTTAAACCTGCCAATCTCCTATGTGTACCCTAAAATAAAATTATATAATAATATCACCATCACATACCAATAATAAATAATATCACTGAACGTTTACGATTTAAATCAGTTATAACTATCGCATGTATGATCGGAACGATATAGTGTGAATCGTTCACATAAAAATATCAGATTTTGATATATTGAGTTTCAAGCCAACTTGCGGCAATAATATAACGTTCATAACCTAGTCTGTCCTTTGGACCATTAAGCTTAACAAAGTAGTGTCGAATCAGTTAACGTAAAGCAAATACTCGACTTTCGTAAGTGTCAGCAAGCAACTTACGTGTTCAGTGTATATGCCACTTTGCTAACAAGGTCGTCGTTTCGTCGATGCGATGCTTGCATTCCCTTCAGCTAATGCATGAGTTTCGATCGTGATCTGCATTGATCTCCTGGCGTGACATTAACTCCAACCGCCGCCGGCGCGACCGTCTGAAGTGGCTGCCCAGGCGGCATTTAGAAGCAGAGGTGGTCAGTAGCGCGCTACATGTAGCGGTATATTTTCAGTAGCCGTAGCGGTAGCGGCGTTACATTTAAACAATTGTAGCGGTAGCGGTTGCGCCCGCTACATTTAGAGCCTGTAGCGGTAGCGGTAGCGGCCGCTACATTTCAAAGTAGCACTGCCCAGCTCTGTTTAGAAGCTAAAACTAACTATAAGGTCGACCGTGAACAGAAAAGAGTTAAGCAGGACGATAGTGCAATCTACAACATAACAAAATGAGTCAAATGTTTATTTTGATACAGAACTAATGCATAAGAGAATTCAACACGTATAAATAGTATCAGGGATTAATTTCTAACCCAGAAGAAAGATGGCATAGAAATTGGCAGTCATAAGTACACATAAAAATGTAAACATATGAAGAAGCCGTTAAAATGATTAACACGCTAAAGTATGACGTGGAGATGACTCGAGGACCAGATGTGATGCAATTGGCTTTTCCCTGAATGAATAAAAAATATCCGCGGAACCATGTCGAGAGAGTGTCACTTGATATCATAAATTCAGCGGTCCAATCTGTAGGGGATATGAAAATAATTCAAGAATTTTAATATTTGTTTATGATAATAAAATTCTTCGTGGAATAAGTGATTCTTTCTTACCTTATGACGCTTGAAAACAATAACTTTCTTGACTGGCATTGTTTAGATTCTTAAATAACGAATGAATAAAGTCATGGCTGCAAAACGATGAAGTGATGAACTGCATGAAATATTTACCGCGATGAGTCATAGTCTATCGGTCGATGAAGCAAATAAATGTTCCTGCAGGAAAGGATGGGAACACAAACACTGAGAAAAAATAGAAGGTCAGCTCTTAATCCGCCGCGGGCTATTAAAACCGATTGCGAACTCCTGCAAACTGAGGAGCCAACCAATGTGAGAATAAAGGCTTTGAAAAGAGAAATATATTTTTTAAGAGAATCTCGTAAGGTCATACAAATCTACATCCAATCAACATTGACGTCTCAAAATGAAACGGGCAATCGTAGATGGCCAGTTTACATCAAAATCGAAATAGAAGCTACTGACAATGTGGGTGGGCAGCTCCTGACCAATTTTACGTAACTGCTGCTCCCTCTTCACGTTACATTTTTTAATTTAGCTCATTATTTACACTTGTTTTTATACCTTATTGCTGCTCCATTTTCCAGTTAAATTTTTCTCATTGAACTCCATTGTTTCGTAGGAGTTGGGAGCTGACGAGCCGGAACAGCGCAACTGGAAGGGGATAATCATCGCGGTGTTGGTGATTTGCTCAGTGATCGGCATGATCATCACGTCGGTGATGCTGCTCACCCCGCCCGACACCGGACCCAGAATCAAGGGCAACAGGACGACGCTCAAGCAGTTTCTCGACGGCGACTTTAATGTTAGGAGTTTCAACGGTACCTGGATATCCAGTAAGTCTTTACCACACCTTTCAATATCCAGTAAGTCTTAACAATATCACTGCAAATCCACTAGGTCTTTATAACACCTTTGATTATCCAGAGAGTCTTTACAACATGACTGAAAATTCACCAAGTCTTTATAACACCTTTGAATATCCAGTAAGTCTTAGTTACATGTCGGGATTAAAATGATTAACACGCTAAAGTATGACGTGGAGATGACTCGAGGACCAGATGTGATGCAATTGGCTTTTCCCTGAATGAATAAAAAATATCCGCGGAACCATGTCGAGAGAGTGTCACTTGATATCATAAATTCAGCGGTCCAATCTGTAGGGGATATGAAAATAATTCAAGAATTTTAATATTTGTTTATGATAATAAAATTCTTCGTGGAATAAGTGATTCTTTCTTACCTTATGACGCTTGAAAACAATAACTTTCTTGACTGGCATTGTTTAGATTCTTAAATAACGAATGAATAAAGTCATGGCTGCAAAACGATGAAGTGATGAACTGCATGAAATATTTACCGCGATGAGTCATAGTCTATCGGTCGATGAAGCAAATAAATGTTCCTGCAGGAAAGGATGGGAACACAAACACTGAGAAAAAATAGAAGGTCAGCTCTTAATCCGCCGCGGGCTATTAAAACCGATTGCGAACTCCTGCAAACTGAGGAGCCAACCAATGTGAGAATAAAGGCTTTGAAAAGAGAAATATATTTTTTAAGAGAATCTCGTAAGGTCATACAAATCTACATCCAATCAACATTGACGTCTCAAAATGAAACGGGCAATCGTAGATGGCCAGTTTACATCAAAATCGAAATAGAAGCTCCTGACAATGTGGGTGGGCAGCTCCTGACCCATTTTACATAACTGCTGCTCCCTCTTCACGTTAATTTTTTTTAATTGAACTCATTGTTTATACTTGTTTTTATACCTAACTGCTGCTCCATTTCCCAGTTGCATTTTTTAATTGAGCTCCATTGTTTACACTTGTTTCCATACGTAACTGCGGCTCCTCTTTCAGTTACATTTTTTAATTGAACTCCATTGATAATACTGTAACTGCTGCTCCCTTTTCCTGGCAGCATTCTTCTAATTAATGATTAATTAATTAATAATTAATTAATTAATAATTATTTAATTTCCCATTGTTTCGTAGGAGTTGGGAGCTGACGAGCCGGAACAGCGCAACTGGAAGGGGATAATCATCGCGGTGTTGGTGATTTGCTCAGTGATCGGCATGATCATCACGTCGGTGATGCTGCTCACCCCGCCCGACACCGGACCCAGAATCAAGGGCAACAGGACGACGCTCAAGCAGTTTCTCGACGGCGACTTTAATGTTAGGAGTTTCAACGGTACCTGGATATCCAGTAAGTCTTTACCACACCTATGAATATCCAGTAAGACTTTATAACACCTATGAATATCCAGTAAGACTTTACAACACCCTTGGATATAAAGTAAGTCTTTACAACATCATTGAAAAACAAGTAAGTCTTTACAACACCTTTGAATATCCAGTAAGACTTTACAACACCCTTGGATATAAAATAAGTCTTTACAACATCACTGAAAAAACAGAAGTTTTTATAATACCGCTGAATATCCTGCAAGTCTTTACAATATCTCTGAAAATCCAGCAAGTCTTTATAACACCTTTGAATATCCAGTAAGTCTTAGTTACATGTCGGGAATATCCAGTATGTCCTTATAACCCCTCTGAATAATCTGTGGGTCCTGTTAACAACTATTAATTTCCAGTAAGTCCTTATATCCTCTCTAATTATCCAGTAAGTCTCATTCATGTCATTGAAAATCCAATGTGTCCTCATGAATCCAGCAAGTTTCTAAACTATATATATTAACCCGATTTTATAAATAAGAAGTTATATAACATTTAATTTTTTCTAAAAAATTATATTTTTATAAATCAAAAGTTATATGTTATAAATAAAAAGTCGGGGAACAGATCATGGGTTTACAGAGCGAAATATTTGGAAGATTTATGAATTAATTGCGTTAGCTCCATTGCATTGTACGAAAAGTTTCCCGCAACAAGTTGAATTTTTTACGACGCATTTATTTTCAACAGCTGCAATCGCTCGTAAGCATTCATAATTGTTGATGAAGTTTAATGAACAAAAACCTTTTCATCCCATAATCTTGCAATGTGCATATAAATTTTTCCCTCTACAAGGATGTATAAAAACATAGCGAAGCTAGGAACTTTGAATTGAACACCTCATTAATCGTGACTGGGAATAATCGTGACATTTATATGATTTACGGAAATGACGCAATATATCAAATAGATGCTGGTTCGTGCAGTATTTAATCCAAGCAGACGCGAAGCATCTAATATAAATCTGGAAATATTGTCTCATATATTCATTAATAAATACTAATGAATAATTCATAAATAGAATTAATAAACGACGTTCAGTGACACGCACAATCTTCGGAGGCAATCGTACATTCAGATATTTGACTGCCACAAAAATTAAAACTTAATATTTCTCCTCTTGAGTTCGATTTTTCCGTCTACTCCACTCTGCTCATTGTAATTTTGCCTCATCATATTCATCGCAACATAAGCGCATTTTCCATACGAATATATTGTGCCTTCCAACAATTTGATGCGCTTCATCTATTTGTTCATGACGCTCTTCATTGAAGCTTCACTGAATTCTCTTGTCGAGTTTGTAGCTTAAAACCTGACATAAGCGTTCAGTTTTCGCGAGCTCGTAGGACATCTGCAGCTAAAGCAGATGTTTACACTGTTTACACGAGGAATAAGCAGCTGTGACTGAGTTTACACATACACCGAACATCTACACAATGTACTGGATGATCGGGACGCTGCAAAACGGTAACTTTAAATCGTGATCGAATGACGAAGGTTGGAAGAAGGAGCCAATGTCGTGCGTGAATTCTGTGCCTCTGTTATTTTCATGTATCGAATTTTAAAATATTGTTATTAAAAACCGTGATTGGCGCTCACGTTAAAATTACAAATTTGAGAAAACGAGAATTCTCGTATAGTCTCACAAAATCAAGTCTCATAAATGACTTGGTCGAACATGTATTTTGTGTACACATCTGTTGAATACCAAACTCCCAGTAACTGAGATAGAGGGAAAATAACCCACGCGAAATTGGATCATATCTCATAGCCGAACTGAATTATTCACAAGTAGATTATCCATCAACAGTTAAGACAAGGAATTTTCTGATTGTTTCAATCATATTTGCATGTTTGAGCTACCTGGGCACACATTTGGTTGAATGTTTCTGACGTACTAATTCAAGGTATTAGTATGATCATATTTTCCGTTGCGACGATTGCTCCACGAAAAGCATTTTAGGGTCACTATTATTGTAATTGCCTTCATTCTAAAGCGTCAATATTGCCAAGCTTGGTCCATTATCTACTTTTTATTCTACAAATTATACCAGACAAACTAAATAAATCCTCAGGTCTGAATGTAATTGAATTTGAACACATTTTTTCAACAAGATAGGATCAAACAACAATGTAATAACGACCACGATGTTTTTTTGCCGTTGTTGACAAAGTCTGTAAAATTTAATCTTAACACATTGATGCTGATTTATTAAACATTTATAGACAATCTATATAGAATTTATTCCTTTAATAATGAATAATAATGGTACCCGCAGACAATGAAGTCGCAATCTTGGACCCGGCGGGAGGCCTGACTGCCCTCCACGCGCAGAACCTCACCATCACGCGCAGCCTCGTCAGTAACATCACCTTCGTGAGTGTGGGAATAGAATAGAATAGAATAGGATAGAATAAAATAGAATAGAATAGAATAGAATAGAATAGAATAGAATAGAATAGAATGCATTGAAGAAATAGGCCCATGGCCTGTTGCCGATTCTTGAATTTTTCGTGACTTGATTCACAAGGGATCCGATCTTTCCATAACTGACGATTGATTGAGATAGCTGCTGGACTTGTTGCTTGGTCCGTAATTTGCTAGGCGTTTTAAGACTGGGGCTTGTGCGTCGTAATGCTTATCTGTCAACTGAATATTTATTAATTACATCGCATAGAAATCATTACCTACTCTGAAATTTATCCACAGTAACGAATATAATATTAGTCTGGTGACTACGGACATAATCCAGTAAATTAAAACATGAATAAAATACGGGGATACATCAGCGATTCTCTGGATCGTGAAAGCTACAGCAGAAATTGGAGTTATAATGTTACAATGAGAGGTTTTATACAACTGATTTCAACCTAAGAGGGACAAAAATATTGAAGAATTCCAATTGAAAGAAAAGAAAAATAGATGTCTTGAATAATAAAATTAAATTTAAGAATATTGAGCAATTATTTAGTTTTATTTTGGTTCAAGACTTTCATTAATGAGGCTTTCATATCACACCGAAAAAGAATTTTCGATCCGCCGTGTAATTTTAGTTGATTTTTTCAGCGCTTTACAGTTGATTTAAAATAATGATGACTGATTTCAAATATTCAATTTGCACGAATTATGTTATTATAATCCAGTCAAGTTCAAATTTGATTTACCTAGGATTGTAACACAAATGAAAGAAAATATTAGCACGAATGAACCAAATTTCCAGAGACAACTGAACGTGGAGGACTACAGCGTGTCATCTGACCAGGAGTGGGTGCTGCTGGCGGAGCATCACAGAGGGGTGAGATCGTCACTTAATATACATGTACTTGACTTAATAACTTCAAAGTAAGACTTGAAAACCTTCCTCGCAAGTTACTGTGGCATATTTAGTTAGCGAGTAGCATATTTAGAGTGGCTGATGGTGGACGCCTTATTTTTCTTTTAGTATAGGCTGGTAGTTTTTATGCTGTGATTATTAACAAGGCTTATAAAATTTCATAATAAATTTAAGGATAAAGAAAGCGCCAAGTAAATTCATCAAATCTTCAATGAAAATTTCTTCATTTAAGATTGGCGCTTTCGTTGCTTATAAATTATTGGTGAAGTTGGGGTTAAAAAAACAATAATATAAGTAGTATTTAAAATTCTAATGAAATTGCGGTTATTTAAACTTCAGATTAGTAATGTCATGATTGTAATAGGTTACATTATGCAGCGAGATAACCTGATAACACAATCAATCGCTGAGAACCGTAAACAAATGAAAAACCATATCGTTTTTTACTTGCAAGTGCTAATACTTCCACTCACGAAGGCTGGACACATAATTTAAATAAAAAATTTTTTACAATAATTCTATATCAAGTATATATGATGATCCAAATTATCTAACGTATCTAATCGCTTTTTTTTTCTTCCAGACGACCAAACACTACGACCTGTCCAAGTATCATCTCTACGAAGTCAGTTCGCAGTGAGTTCGCTGATAATATGATGGTAATAATTCTTTACCAGCGCAGGAAGATTTATCGAAAGACTTGCCTAAATCTTTAACTAAAGAGAAGATATAATTAAGAGTGAACAAAATAATATATGGCTGAAATGCGGGCAAACGAAACCAAACGCAAGAATTTTGTATACTTGTAATTATAACAGCAATTTATTTTCAATTTCATCGCACAGTCCATTGGTTTCTTTCATTTTATCTACATTCCTTTCGATGACTGCAAAAATTATTTGACATTATGTAACAATGAGCCGTAGAAAAGTATTTCTTTCAATTTGACAAATCAATTATTATATATAAATAAAAATTTTCCTGAATATCACGGCAATAATTCAATAATTAATTAGTTTCATGCAACTTACCCTGTTCACCACTGCAGGCAATTTACCCCGTTAACCTTGCACCCCCGGCAGGCATTACTCGACTCTGACGCCCACGCCGGGGGTGAGGCGACACCCCGGGCTGAGGCTGGTGGAGTGGTCGCCCGTGGGCGCCGCGCTCGTGATGGTGGACGAGAACTTCAACATCATCTACAAGCCGCACGTGGGCGAGGCCGAGCAGGTGCACATCACTGATGATGGCGAAGCAGGGGCCATCATCAATGGCGTCGCAGACTGGCTCTATGAAGGTGGGCAATTCATTGTTAAAAGCAAATAAAGAAAGTAAATATGAAAGTATGTAGAAATTTGATAAGACACACAAATAAACTAATCGATGGCTTTTGGTCGAAAATTAAAATAGTTTCAATACCATATTGAAACCCATTTCATTTGAAGTGTCCAGAATTTTGCAGTTAGGTCTAATTTATTGCTTCATTTAGTAGAAGTTATTCCGCTCCATAAATTTAATTATTGCGCTCCAGACAAGCACAATCTAATCCGACACCTGTCATGGTTCCTTGCTGCAGAGGAGGTGTTGCACTCACGCAAGGCCCTCTGGTTCTCGCCGTCGGGAGAGCGGCTCTTGTACGCGCAGTTCAACGACACCCTCGTGAGGGAAGTGCCCATCACCCAGTACGGCGTGGGTGCCAAGTACCCCAGTCTCACCATGGTCAGATACCCAAAGGTAACAGAACGTGCCACGATCATCAATATTTACAGCATCAACATGAGGGTGGATTTTGCTCGAGTTTGGGTGCATGCCTTATTATTTTGATTGTCACATTGTGAGATAAAAGCGTTTGTCAAATTTGAAATCATGTGGCCATGAGTTTGATTAAAATGAAGTAATTTTCACGGTACCCGAGTCTCACCATCGTCAGATACCCAAAGGTAACGAAACCTGCCTTGATTTCCGGAAATTTTTAAGTGTCTATATAAATTTTGCTATCAATGGCACGAAGATAAATTTTTCGCGCCTTTGGATGCCTCAATAATTGGTTGTACCCATGAATGAAAAAAATTATTATTTGAAATTATGTGGCTACATATGTGAACGAACGCAGATAATTTTACGGATATAATTTTTTCACATTTGAAAACAGCCTGGTGATGCAATCCCAAGAGTAACGCTGTGGATGGTCGACTTGGCTTCAGGAAAGTATGAGAGGCTGAGCGACATCAAGCCTCCAGAAGTGATAAGAGACCAGTCAGTATTATCGCTCAATATTGCATGCTTTCTTGATAGTTTATTGTTTCGTCTATTTTGTCCTAATAAAAAATGGTAAAAAGCATTGGTGCCCAAATATACAGCATCCAAACTCTAGAAAAATTGAACTGTTTGTGCTCCACGGACTTCAATGGGACTAAATAAAAAATAATATGCTAAATAAGGCTTTAAAAGTCACAGCTTAATCTAACTGTTTCCCATTGTCATTTGTAGATTGTGAGAACTGATGATTATTTTGGCTTGTAAATAAATTTGTTTATGAATAAAAATTTGTCGAGCTGTTTTTTATGAAGATCATCTTGTATTCGCTTATATTGGTTGTTGATGACATCAAACATTTCAGGGATTATTACGTCACTGCAGTCACGTGGGTTGCTAAGAACTCAGTGAGTGTGGTGTGGATGAACAGGCCGCAGAACACGTCCATCATCTCAATTTGTTCAGAACCACAATACTACTGTGAACCCGTGAGTATAGACAATTAGTCTAATAGCCTACCGATAACTTGAGATTAATGAATCATGTTCAGGGGTCGTGCAATCAAAATTAGTAGCGAGTTCATTAGTCGGTCAGATAAGAATTGACGGCTTTTAAAGCTATACCCACTGAAAAGAGACGAGAAATCTGCGCTGCGTGTAGCTAAGAGAATTTTGATAGCAATTGTTTTTTTTTCAGTGAATATAATGTGCAATTTATGTGATTATTTTTTACGGCTTAGACTTTATAACATAATTAAAGTAAGAGTAGTAGTTTCGCTACTCTAACACAATAAATACTACCTTGATGTTGTTTTTGCCAACTTTGAATTTGTTTATTTTTTCCCTGAAATTTTTATAAATTGCGATGCCGAATGCATGGAATTTCAACCGAATGCAATCAATCAATTTCAACCGAATCAATTTCAACCGAATGCATGGAATTTCATTAGTCGTTTATTATTACTCTCGCTAAAATGATATATACGATGAATAAATGTTATTACATTGCGTTATGAGCCCACACCATGAATGACTTTTTTTCAACATCATAATACAGAACACGTCCGCTCCATTAAACTCTGCTTTCCGGTCACGAGTTCACTCTTTCAAAAGAATTATTATCCTTCATGAAAGATGTAATTTAAAACTCAATGCAAAACTGTTTTTGTATTAAATTACATTAGAATTTGCATATGTCAGTCAATTTCACAGTCTGATACAGTAAGTGATCACGTGTTCCACTTGCAGATCCATACGGAACACTCGCATCACGGCTGGACGGAGATATACGAAGCTCCGATATTTTCTGAGAACGGCATGAGTTTTTTAGTTCGGCTTCCTGTAAGAGACGGCGAGCACGGCAACTTCGCTCACATTAATCTTTATGATGTGAACATGAGAAGAGTCACACCCATGACCCACGGGCCCTTCGATGTCACTGAGATCCTCGGATGGGATGAGCAGAATGGATACATGTCAGTTAACTCATTATTCAATAGCAGAAAGAAAAATTCCCGTGAATTTTCGTTTTAACTCGATCCACCTTGAATGGATTTACAGTGGGTTACGGGGTTCAATTATATTGGTTTCACCGGATTACTCCAAATGTCTCGAGGTTCAAACCCCATACTAAAAAAATTATTTGCGTTCAAGATTTATTCGGGACTGACATTGTGTAATTATTTTAAACAACGGATTCTAAATTGTGATAACCAATAAAATTCAGAATATGTTTCTGATTAAAAGTGTAGATTTATAACAAAATTCAGGATATGTTCCTGATTAACAGAATAGATTACAACAAATGTCAGGTTGTGTTTCTGCTTAAAAGATAATATTATAACAAAATTCATGTTATGTTCCTGTTTAAAAGAATAGATGTGTGTATTTCTTTCCTAAGACCATGAACAGCATCTCGGTCACAGGAAATTAGTTCAATTCATTTCCTATGGCTGACTATTAAAATGTGTCTAAAAATTGATAGTTAATAAAAAGTTAATCCCCAGATATTACATCGCCACCGTGGAGGAAGATCCCGGCGCCCGACATGTGTACAGAATACCGTTCGTGTTAGCGCCGCTGCTGCGACAGGCCGACTGTATTTCCTGCTCGGCTTTCGAGAACCTAACCTCCCATTGTCTCTACAATAACGGAATCCTTTCGCCGGATTTCTCATATATTATTTTGGAGTGTCTTGGCCCCGGTTTGCCCAAGATTTACCTCTACTCAACCAATACAAGTTACCAGGTGAAGAAATTAGAATTTGTCATCTTTTTCGAACACATTCTACTACTACATTCCATAAGGGTACTCATTCAAAAATTTCCCTGGAACATTTTAAAGAACAGTGTTTAATATTTCCAAAGCAACTAAAAGCAAAACTAACGAAAATGAGGCGGATTTAGAGACTGTGCATCCCACATGTGCGCTATAAAACGTAGGCGCTGCACAAGCTCATTGATCGCTTTATCTGTTATCTGTTACGTTGCTTTCGTGATCCCAACCCTGATAACTATAGCTTTCTAAATAAAAATTTCAGCTGAAAAATCAACGTAATTGCAACTTTTCCGTCTTCATAGTCAGTATAGAGAACTTATTTTATTTATTTGCGAACTATTCTCAAAACTTGTGTCATAAAAGGTGTTAAACATCCAAATACTGTCGTGAAACTCATGCCACTTCAATAACTTATTATTATTCATTAATTAATAATATTATTTATTATTTATTAATATTATTTATTTCTCGAACAATTTGAGTACAGATAAGATGTAACAAAAAAATTTATTGAACTTTTAAAATCAGTTTTTGTTGTATAACAGCTCTTGTTTGTAGGTTGCGTCTGCAAAGAATTCAGTACGTCAACGAACACTATGAAATTTGTTCCAATAGTACCCTCATGCGAAGTCTATCATAGTAAAACTATCACAAATAGTTTCATAAGGGTGTTATTGTGGTTTTCAGCAGGAGATTATGGAGCTAGACAACTACAGTCACTTGCAAGACCTATTGAACAAGACTGCCATGCCACAAGTCAAAGTCTTCAAAGTCAAGCTGGACGAACGAGACTCCGCCATGGCGCGCGTGCAACTCTACCTTCCACCCGGTCTGCGGGAAGACGAGCTTACCAAGTACCCCGTGGTTGTGGAAATGTGAGTGTTACCCCGTACCCCGTAGTTGTGGAAGTGTGAGTGTTACCAAGTACCCCGTGGTTGTGGAAGTGTGAGTGTTACCACGTACCCCGTGGTTGTGGAAGTGTGAGTGTTACCCCGTACCCCGTGGTTGTGGAAATGTGAGTGTTACCCCGTACCCCGTGGTTGTGGAAGTGTGAGTGTTACCAGGTACCCCGTGGTTGTGGAAGTGTGAGTGTTATCAAGTACCCCGTGGTTGTGGAAGTGTGAGTGTTACCCCGTACCCCGTGGTTGTGGAAGTGTGAGTGCCACCCCGTACCCCGTGGTTGTGGAAGTGTGAGTGCCACCAAGTACCCCGTGGTTGTGGAAGTGTGAGTGTTACCACGTACCCCGTGGTTGCTATCCCGAATTTCATCAAGTTGAAGGCGGTGCTAGGAAATTTTGTCGATAAATTATTTAATTATCAATCTGCACAGCTCTCGCATAAGAATTTGGGGTATTTGATAATTATTCAGTATTTTTGTATTGTGATTATATTTATACCATATTATTTATTCTATTAAGGTAATTATTAAAGACTTTTGTGCTACGAATTGATCAAGTTGTGATGATGTTTGATCAAGTTACGATGCTGTTCGATCAATTTACGATGATGTTTGATCAAGTTACGATGCTATTTGATCAAGTTACGATGCTGTTTGATCAAGTTACGATGCTGTTTGATCAAGTTACGATGCTATTTGATCAAGTTATGATGCTGTTTGATCAAGTTACGATGCTGTTTGATCAATTTACAATGCTATTTGATCAAGTTACGATGATGTTGATTCGACGCACAGTAACGCAGCGCCCGGTAGCCAGTCCGTGGACTGGCGGCTGAAGCCTGACGTGGGACTGTACCTCGCGTCGCACGCCGACATGATCTACGTTAGGATAGACGGCCGCGGCACCGGCAACAACGGCGACAAGTATAAGCATGAGGCCAGTCAAAGCTTCAATTTCATTAAATAACAATGACTTCTTTGAAAAAACTTTGATAGTTTAAGCAATGGACTGAAATTTACCTGAGCGCCGATTTCATAATGGAAAGGAATATTAGGATTATCCTAAAGCAATACATCGTTTCTCCTAAGAAATAAAAAATTATAGACATTATGATAAATCAATCATTGTTGCGATAGTTGTTTCGTTGTAGAATTGTTTGGACAAAATTTTTTACTTTAGTTTGACATTAATCTTTTTGAAATAAGATGCGATGTTGGAAAGAAGGAAATGAATATAATCAACGTATAAAAGAAGAAGTGACTAAAATAACATGAGTGACTGTAACATGTTATCTTATTATTAACATGTTATTAATTATTAATGATTAAATATTAATAATTAAATAATAATAATTAATGTTATTAATTATTAACTATAACAGGTTTACCACAACCTCGGCGTCAAGGAAGTGGAGGACCAGCTCGCTGTGCTGGAATATATGAAGAAACAACTGCCGTTCATCGATGCTTCCCGCATCGCGTTATGGGGCTGGCAGTATGGGGCCTTCATCACCCTCATGGCCATGGCCAGGGATAAGGATGACGTCATCAAGTGCGGCCTTGCCGTCGCCCCCATCACGAGATTCGAGCACTATGGTGATCATCTGCAACTTATTTCATTTATCTTATCAACAAAATTAAAAATTCTGATTTGAACTCAGTTATCTATGATCATCTATGTACATATCACTTCATTTGTGCCAGCAAATATATATATACTAATATCTAATCACATTCTGCATCTGCGATACATAGAACGTTAAAAATGAAAATATCATTAAGAACTCTGTCTCGTTTTCCTATTAGTCTTCAAAGATTTTCACTATTAAGAATAATCACTAACTATTAGAAATAATCACTCACTATTAGGAATAATCACTAATTATTAAGAGTAATCACTCACTATTAAGAATAATCACTCACTATTAAGAATAATCACTCACTATTAAGAATAATCACTCACTATTAAGTCTAATTACTCACTATTATTAATAATCACTCACTATTAGGAATAATCACTCACTTAATCACTCACTATTAGGAAGAATTACTCACTATTAAAAATAATCACTCACTATTAAAAATAATCACTCACTATTAAGAATAATCACTCACTATTAAGAATAATCACGTACTATTAATAATAATCACTCACTATTAATAATAGTACTGCTTTGGGCAGACGCGGTGTTCAGCGAGCGGTACATGGGGTCACCCCACATCCTGCCAGGCAGTAACTACAAGGGCTACGAGGCAGCTGACGTCACTAAGGTGGCTGGCAACCTCAAGAACAAATTCCTGATGTTGGTGCATGGAACCGCTGACCATTCAGTGCACTACCACCACACTATGCTGCTCGCCAAGGCGCTCGCTGATGAGGGGATACTCTTCAGACAAATGGTGGGTTTGATTTTAATGTCTTCGATTTAATAAAATATTTATTGTGCAAGACTCGAATGAGTGATAAAGTAAGTTGAAGAAATTTTTTATTAAATTTTTGCTGTTGTTATTTCTGTATTGAAAGTATTGTAATTACTACGGAATTTCAGACCTTGAGTGATATAGACAATTATATATAGCTTATCGAATGGAAGTGTGAAAGGATTTTTAACAATTTTTTTAATTGACTTACGTTGAAGACCGCAACACAATGAGCATAACGGAGGAAAATGTGAATGGATTTTTGATAAGGTTGTAGACTCAACAGTGATGAAGGCCGCCCGCCAAAAATTTTGCAAAATTTGAACATGAGAATTGATTTTTATAAGGATTGCAAACGTACAGCAATGAAGGTCGTTGTTCATTGGGCGTTCTGAAAAAAAGTTGGGAAATTATTCACAAAATATTTGCAGACTTACGGCAACAAAGGCCACGGTTCATTGGGCTTACAGGATGAAATTACAATTTTTTTTATATTTGCAGACTTACAGTGATGAAGGCCACCGCTTATTGGGCGTCAAGGAACATTTCTACAAGACGCTAGAGATGTTCATATCGGATTGCTTCAGACCAAGCGTCGAAGAAATATACTACCACATCAAGAAGAAGAAAGAACTCGAGGAAATAGCCTACGTGTAAATATTTTAAATTATTTCAGGCTTCAAGATGTCAATATTCATAAAGTCTGACTAATCTTTAGAAATTCACCCTGTTAACTAACTTGATAGATTTGACTTATTGTTTGTTAACTGATTCTCCTATTAACGTGCGTATATTAATTATTCTTAGTGGAAATGATCTCAGAGTTAACAACTAACAACGAATTTTAAATTATCTTATTTGATGTCGATTAAAAAATGTGCTCGTCTAATATCTCAGTTTTTCAAGTTGCCATATTTTCAGGAAATAATCGTAGCAGCTTTAAAGGTTTTCACTCATGTGCAAATACCAATTTTAATTCGAATATTACAATTATAAAATTTTGTGGGAAGGGTTATTGGTTCGCTTTAAATGTTCAGCTTTCGGAAGCGTTAAAGTGTAGAAAAGGTTAATATTTTTATCTCTATCAAGAATTTTGTCTTGCAGGCTTCACACAACTTTATCTGTTGATTACAAATGTGTTTTTAAGTGCTGAGCCATCAAGCCCCTTGCATATTTATTGTGAAAAACCTTTTAGTCCTAATCATTCCAAAGTTTGCATTCCATACACAATAGGTTGTTGACTAGTAGTTGTTAACCTTGTTCATATCTTAAGCGCTATCTAAAACATCTTAAAATTATCAGTACCGGAAAGTGCACAAACTACGTTACTCACTATTGCCCTGGCTGCAGGGCGTCTAGGTTCGACCATGCTGTTTTAATAGCTTATTCTGCCCGCACTGTAGAACTAAATATACTCAAGAAATAATTCTCCAGTGTGACGATTTTCTGCCTTCACAATTCAAGAGAAAATTCCTACATTAGAAAGTAGAATATTTGACAGAATCATTAGATGTCATGATGTTGTATGAACCAAATTTGGGCGAAATATTCATGACGCCCGTAACCAGATCTCACATCCGTTAACTGCGACTCTAAAATAAATTGGCCGAAGAGACATGACATCTTGACGGGGATTAAAAATTCTACGTCGTTAGGAAGCCTGCATAAGACGTACATATGTTGCATAAGACGTTCATTATTTCAACAATTGCATACGACGCACATTTGTTCAACAATTGCCTACGACGTACATTTGTTCAACAAATGCATAAGACGTACATTTTTTCAACACGTGCATAAGACGTACATTTTTTCGACAATTGCATAAGACGTACATTTTTTCAACAAATGCATAAAACGTACATTTTTTCAACAAATGCATAGGACGTGCATATTTTCAACACGTGCATGAGACGTACATATTTTCAACACGTGCATGAGACGTACATTTTTTCAACAAATACATAAGGCGTACCTTTTTTCAACACGTGCATATGACGTACATTTTTTCAACAAATGCACAAGACGTACATTTTTTCAACAAGTGCATTAGACGTACATTTGTTCAACAAGTACACTGCCAAGCACTTATATGGTATCGAGCGAGATTTATCAACAGAGTCATTGATTGATTCTTAAACATCTTAATAATCTTCATGAATGACGAAAATGCCGTTTTGTAGCTTAAAATTTGCGGTTGAGATGGACCTGTGAAAACTTCCCTTTATCGAATATTTGTAGCTAGTTCTTAAGTGGAGTTAGTCACGAGGCTTTTAGAACTCCGACGGGACTTCTATTTTTTATAAACATACGTAGTATCGAACAGCATGAGATTCATCGTATAAAGTTTTTACCGCGCTTTGGCTTGTTCATTAGATTTATCGTACTTTAATATAATGTAAATCTCTTTACATTCCATAACACGTAATAAACTTTTGTTCCTGTTAGTAATGCGGTGGATAATTCGTTTTGAACCTCACTGATAGAGGCCGGCAACTTTATTCAAGTGGTGCATGACTTAGATTTGTAATTCTTTCCACTTGGACAAAAAAAATATTTTTTAACAAGGATATTTAAACTGCATTCAATCAAGATTAAATTATATATAAATTCAAAATAAGATGAACGTTACGCTATAATGCATTCAATACTTGTACAATGTCCATTTATGTTCATCAAAACAATTTAAAATTCACGTATAACAGCAAATAGTTATTAAGCCATAATCAAAATAATACGAATTGGTTCTTCCGGCACCATTAACCACCTTCAAAATTTGTATACAAAGTATCTTTGTATATTGTATTTGGATACATCTTTAAGAAATTTATGAAAATTACAATTTTGAGTGATGCACTTCTTGGCGGTAGTCTTAGCTCCTAGATTTCCTCCCTCGTTAGCTCTTGTACAATTAGCTATTAACTATTTTTCAGAGACAACTTGTGACATTTATGAACTTTTGACGTAATTGCATCATAGCGAGTTGATAGGCATTTAATCTTCTTTAGATCTAAGGTTCTTGAGGTGCAACTCTTTATTGAGCAATGATAGTCATATTTTTAGAGGCGATTTGCCGGTTTGCAGTTAGTCTGCTAAATCTTGTTACTTGAATTAGATGCTATAAATTCTTACCTAGAAACCTAGATTACTGAGCAGTTTTAATGCAATACCAACACTTAATTGATTAATAATTATGGGATTATCAGGAGTCATGATTTTCCTGAAATGTATTCAGGCGTGACTCGAATAAGGCAATTTATTCAGAATACTATATCTTGATATCGAGCTTTAGGCAACAATCTTCTTTTGTTTTCATAACTTGAATAAACATAATATGGGGACATGATACTCGATTAGAATGAGCAAGTACGTTCATGTTCAGAAAAAGACTAGGAGCGATTGTAAATTGCACACAATACCGCCTGCAATCCGGAATAACTTCTTAAAATGTAATAGTTTACAAAATTCCCATTATCCTTAATGCAGTTTCGAATTGTACTCATTTACGTCTAAAATTGTCATATTGTGGCTAAGAATGCTGTCGTTGGACATGATTGTCAGGTATGTCGTTACTAATAGTTGTCAAGGTATTGAAACAAAAATTCACTGACGAGGGGAGTGAAAATACTTTTATGTAACCAACAGGTGAGCAGGAAACAGAACTTATTGGCCCGCTTCTTTGGGCGCTTCGATGTAAAGTGACCGGAAACACGAAATGTACTTGACACTCATCAGCTGAGAGTAATAATTTTTCGCTGGGGCTGGGCTTCCCAAGTATTGACTGCAGGCTAAATTCAGGCGCTCCAATTGTAAGGAACAAATTGAAAGTAGCCCCTGCAGTCAAAAACATGGATAGGATTAACCACATCAGTCCTTATGAGCAAGCGTAATTTAAACGCGCTCAGTTCAGCTTACCCCTTGCATTTCATGAAAGAATAGTTTGGAATAGCAAGTGCAATTTCGGGTTCGTAGAGTTAATGGTCTCATTTTTAGTTAACCTGATCATAACTTGCATTTTCATTTCTAAAGGTGCAATAACATTCTAAGCATATAACCAAATCCCAAATAATAATTTGTTTTATATTGTATCGTCATCATCTCTGCATGGTACAGAATTTTTTCGATTCATAAATCTTTCAGAAACGCTGTGTAACCGCAAGCATATCGCAAGAATCACGGAATATTTAAGTATTTTTGTGGATTATGATCCTACTTAATCATAATCAAAGAGGCATTCTATTTGAACTTTATTATCTTCATAGAAGCTGGACCGGGAAAAACGTATTTTATTACGAAGTGGAAACTTGCTGCTGAATGTTTTGTGGTACTGGAACCTGTTTGCAGCAGGTGTTTAAATACTTTAAAAAAATTCTAGCAGTAAAGGAATCTGAGAAATAATGATGCTTCCTGCGATTTGTTAGCCCGTTTGTGGCAAATATCATGGATAACATACCACCCACCATTGATGAATGGATTACTTTAATTTTTCTACTCCATACATTCACACACATAATCGGTGAAGACGTAATTAACGCATGTAGACGTGTTGTTTTGCGCGTCATTCCTGACATGTTAATGATAGGTTTTGTGCTGAGTTGCGCGTGATTTCCGTTAATCTCTGAGTAAAGATCTCAAAGACCTCCCCAAATAGAAAATTTAAACATAAAAGCAGAGCCAGTGCAGCACAACTTTGTCACATTCTTCTGGTAATGCTTTTGTTACGTATACCTAGGAAGACATCAGGGACTTGTTCATTTACCGAATGTCTCCTTGTTGTGTAAATGAACTTGTTCAGTTACATTCATGTGACTTCTTCATTTACCGAAAATTAATGATTTGCAACCAACAGAAGCACCACACTCGAGGTCTACGAGCTCGAAACACCCGACCTTTGTTCTTCCAATTGCACAGGGCTAGCTTCCCTCGATCACTATCAGGTAAACTAACGAGCAACACCAACACTTCCCATCTCCACATACGAAGACAAGAACAGGAAATTTTTACAAGCAAGCGCATCAAGATATTCATTTTTCCTAACATCGCAAGAAGTAATTACCGAATATCAATAATATGGTTCATTTGATAGATGCCTTGTATTTTTAAATATAATTATCCAATAGTTTGTCCAATATAATTTTATAAAAAAAATTGAATGTATTGAATTTACGAGTTAAGTTTCCGGGGATTTTTGAGGTTAAATTATTAACGTAAATTCTTGTCTCAAATAATAATAATTGTAGGGTAATTGATAAGCCTGTGGTCGAGCCTCATGAACGTATTCTTTTGTATTATGCAGCGAGCCAACAAAGGGCGTGAAGATACACGAGTTTTCCATGCAGAAATAGTGTAACATATCAACTCATTTCAGAATTGTGTAAAAGTGACTAACACACCGCGCACTGCTCTTGATTCGATCTTGTAGTTTTTTAATAAATGGTTAAAATGATACCAATTCTAAAAACGCATTTTTTAATAAATTAAAAATCAATACCAAGAAAAAAAGTTAATATCATTTGGCTCCTATAATCGAGTTTTCTCGCTTAATATTTTTTATTTTTATCAAAAGATTTTGAATGCCGACTTTTATTTCTCTCAAATTCGTAATCATCTTTTAAGAATCAGCACTTCGGTGCATAAATGACGATGAAAATATACAACTCCAGTGCAATTTTTATAGTTTCCTCCATGCACAACAAATTTCATTTGTAACAAAGCACTCATTTCACGATACGGAATGAGTCGGCTAAAAATTAAATATTTAGTTATTGCATAGAGATTTCTATAAGTTGGCTATTGTTTCAGAATGTTTTCTCCAATTGTTATTTAAATGTGGAATATTTGGTCTATGGAACCATAGAGGGTGGCTATGTGCATTTATAATTTTAATATCTTTCCCTATTAATTATATCATCCTTATTGAATTTTTAAGCAACTTGATAAAGATACAAGTCAAGTTCGAAACGTTTTCATACGATTTGAAATTTCAATGAGAATTAAAAATTGAATCGAATAAGCTAACTCTATATCCTGTGAATGAAATATATTTCCTATGAATTATATATATCAAAATTTTAGGCGCACATTTTTCTTAGCTTTAGATTTGATCGCATTACAAATCATGCAGAATAACATAAATTGCTGTGCATTTGAGTGAGGATCATTTTACAAGCATTGTTGGCTACCGTCACAAATGAAGTTCAAGTAAAGCCTGTTCCTACCCTGATTTGTCTTTGGCCTTTTTGCATGCGTTGTGGAATTCCTATGATAAAATCTTATCATTTTATTACAAAATTTACAACTGATGTATGGAAAATAGTAGCTATGGTTACGTAGAAAATATGATAGCAAAATAAGGAGAAAGATACTGGCGGCTTGCAATGTTTCTTTTCATGGTGACTTAGCAGACGTTAGAAATCCTCGGCGGAAAGTAAAACACACATGTGTAAGCAAATTTAATCAAGAAAAATCGGGAAGATTTGTGTAATCAGTTACCTCAAAATGCGATGGAACTCAATAAAGAAATTTGAACGGCGTTTGTCACTAATTCGTCAACGAAAAATAAATTCTAAATAAGTTTTTTTGTCTATTTAAATACCACAAAACAATTATCGGTTTCGTTAAAATAACTGAAATATATCAGTAAACTTTTTAAACTGTGAATAGAACAATATCAAAGTTATAGCGGAATAAATTTTAAAATGGAAAATCGGTTCAACTGCTTTGGAAATCATTTGAAAATGTCGCTAAAAATTGGAGCTGACGCGATAAAATTATGGGTTTAGTATACAGTTTTTTTTTTCCAAAATAAATATTATAAATGAGAATTGTTATAATTAAAAGATGAAAACAATCAAATAAAGACAAAGAAGGCTAACTCACAAGGATAGGTAAACACACTATATTTTGAAAATACGATAAGTTCACACCAAAACTTCAAATCTAAAACATTATCTTCAATGCCAGGATTACGCGAGGACCGGAAAATTAGATCGATGGTTTCAACCAACAGCGTTCAAGACGTGCTCTGTCGGTGTGTTGTTTTCCATCACTTTCTGTGTGTCTTTAGCAGTTTGGAGCTTTGTTTTTGACTGCGAGGAGGCAAGAAATACATTTAAAAAGAAATAAATTTTCAAGTTGAAAAATTTTAACACCCCTTTTAAATAAGTCAGTTGAAACCGATATTCATAAGAGTTATTCATAAATTTAAGGTTTATTGTATTTTAAGAATATACCTAAAAAGGCAGTATAAGTACAATTTATGCGTTGAATGTCAACGGCTTATAAATAGGCAATGTAAAGCTATAAATTTTTTTAGTAATAATAATAGGACGCACATAGATATACAAACACAACTTACTTTTTTCATTGACCAATGAAGCTTGATCAGGATGATCTTCGCTCTCAAGCCTCTTCTTTGACAGTTTACCTGGCAGCATGATATTTAACTTTACCTTCTTACCGATATACACAACATGTTCATCTCTCATAGAAAAAAATATCGCAATTGGGAAAAAAATTGAATTCGTAACATTTTAAATACGCGTTAAAATATTAATGGAAATTAAATACAGTTCAAACTTGTGTTTCCAAGTAGTGAGAGACTTAAATCCACGATGCAGCGTATAATGAGGTATAAGAGGGTAAAATGAGGCTAAAAGATGCAGAATAAAATATTTTAATATTGTGGAACAAAATAGATCATGGCTAAAAATCTGAATTAGGTCAAGCAATTCTTAGCAGAAAAAAAAGGAAATTAGAATTTTTATTATGCCTCACCATATTCTTGAAAGTTGAAGCAATATTCGTAATAGACATCCAAAATTTCGGCGTAATCTTGGTCAAATCGTTTACGGTCCCCAAGCGAACCGAAGGCGTAGTTGCGAAGATACGCCGCCGTGGTCAGACTAAGAACGTCTAATCCTGTACGAACGTATTAAACTATCATTAGAGTTCCAGATGACGACCGTCGCCAGGATTTTAGCATTAACAATGTTTGTTATAAACCTTATAGTTGACTATGAGGCGCTGGCAGAACGGATATTCCCGAGTAGTGAAAAGCAATTTTCATCGTGATGTAGCATTGTTTTTTCCTTATTTTGAACCTGGATTCTAAGTTGCTTTATAATGAGATGCATGGAGACCATATCTCTACTCATGATCTTTGATCTGGTTATTTAGCTTCACTTAGTATGACACGGTGATTCGAAAATCATGAATTAAATATTCCTGCTATTCTAGATAGATTGGCATAGATACTGCGTTCAAGTTACGAATTTGCAGACCAATAGTTTTGCACAATTCTAGTCGATAGAATATTTTCAGTTCTAATGCCATTTCATTAATAATTGTGCACGCCTTGTTTGAAATAATCTCACAAGCACCAATCCCCATGTTAATAACACTGCATTCAAAATATCATAGTCTTTTATTCAACTACTATAAAAAAATCCTTGACTCACCGATGTTGGCGTTGAGCCCGTCCAGTTGGATGAGTTTTGCGTTGATGTTGGCTTTATGAATGAGCAGAAACTTTGCAAAATCTGGATTAACATTTTCTCCGGCTCGGAGAAGCGGAGTGTAACCTAGGATTATACGAAAATGACTTATTGTTTTTTAATTAATTTCATGTGTAGGTTTCTAGGTGTTAAATAATAAACTCGAGGTTCGTGAATAACATGATTGGTTCCCTAATCGACAAGAATACGTTCATTTTTCATTTCTGCATACTCATTGTTATATTAAAAATTAGCCTTCCGCTATTATACATCTCAACAGAAAATTCTGGCGACTGTAATATGAAACCAATAATATAATATATATATATAAATATAATACAATAATATAACGTTTATAATAGGAACCAATTTGATCCACATGACGTCTTACCCAAAAAGCCTGCTTGGTTGACATTGGCTCCCTGGGATACAAGGTACAGACCGATTTCGTATTTTCCTTTCTGAACAGCCACCAGCAAAGGGTAGTCCGATTCTATGAAATAAGATAAAATATCCTCAAAAGATTCTTAAAAGTATGTTACTGCAAAATATGTGATTAACAGGTAAAAACATTGCACCTGTTGAAAGTCCTGGGATCATACATAGAAAGAAAAAGAAGTTAGCATTTGAAACAACAACACCGGTCAGAACGCAGCTGCAGCCTTCGTACGTCGCGAGTTTGCACAGCTGCCGAACATCAACATCACAATTCATATTATCTCCGGCACCAGCACCTACCTTCGCTGCCATCTGAATCATTCCGCACCACACCTGCATCTACACTGTAGCATCACTACATGTACTTGCACACAACTTCATCATCGTCATTATGGTACTAGCAACTACACATACCACCACTATCACTATTACACACTACTATAGCGACAGAGGTGGGCAGTAGCGCGCTACATGTAGCGGCCGCTACTAGCGGCCGCTACATTTTCAGTAGCGGTAGTGGTAGACACGCTACAATTAAGTAATTGTAGCGGTAGCGGTAGCGCCCGTTACATATTTAAGTAGCGATACTAGGTTTTGCCGCTACAGCGCTTCCGCTACATTTATAGATAAAGCCTTTAGATTTTACTTAATAGTATTAAATATTATTTTAAAAGCAGCATGATACATACATAATATAAACTACAGAATAAAGCTGTACGAAAGATTTCGGTGTAATGTTGTCAACCTCAGCCTGCTAGTAGTGTCAACATGTTAGTTGTTAGTCCAGAGGTGGGCAGTAGCGCGCTACATGTAGCGGCCGCTACATTTTCAGTAGCGGTAGCTATTAAGTAAAATCTAAAGGCTTTATCTATAAATGTAGCGGTAGCGCTGTAGCGGCAAAACCTCGTATCGCTACTTAAATATGTAGCGGGTGCTACCGCTACATTGCCCTAAATGTAGAGCCGCTACCGCTACCGCTACTGAAAGTGTAGCGGCCGCTACATGTAGTGCGCTACTGCCCACCCCTGTCTACACTGCAGCATCTCTACATCATCATCATCACTGCAGCATCATCATGCATCACTGCAGCATCATACACACCTTCATCATCGCTATTATAGTACTAGCAACTACACATACCACCACTATCACTACTAGACACTACTATAGCGACCACACATACCTGATGATACCACCACTATCACTATTACACACTACTATAGCATGCATGCATACCACCAGTATCACTACTACACTACTATAGCGACCACACATACCACCACTATCACTACTACACTACTATAACGACCACACATACCATCACTACCACTAATGCACTACTAGCAACACAACACCCCCACCATCACCACCAAAGTACACAAACTTACTCGTGAAGGAGCTTCTCTTACTTTTTAGCTGAAGTTCCGCAGACGCTCCTACCCAGATTCCGATTACCAGCAGCATTGATAAAGACCGGACCCCCATGACATGATGCATGTTCGTCATCTATAATTAAGCAAAATTGGGTTACTTTAAACAAAATATGTTTCCGTGGAATAAAAAGCAAACTTTGAGGTGTTCTCATCGAGACAGGATATTTATGGATAAAACAACACAATGAAGAAGACAATTGATTGAATATTTTTGAATTTGTGTAAGAAAATTTGGCGGAGCAGCTGGTTTTTCAATTAACACTACTTGGATCTTTTGATAAATATAAATAAATAACTATCAAGGCAACGTGCACATGCAAAAACGTTATCATAATTAATCTAAATAATACTAACAAGGACAACATTACCTATAACTTTATAACATAGATTTTTGTAACACACGAATGTTTGTAACACACGAAAGTAACTGCGTTCAATCAAATAATGATCTGTCGACTGCTTAATATGGGCCTTACGAGTGTAGAAGAGCATTTATATTAACTGTGGCTCAGCTGAAAAAATGTGGAAGGGGAATTACTTAACGTAACATCTGCAAATGCAATGTATTAATTCATCATTGCGAATATCGATATGAATTTTTAAGCATTGATAAAAAAAGATGATACACAAGACATGCGATGTCATGTTCACAGTTACCTCACATAAAAGTACACATTCGTGATCCTATCAAAAAATATAAGATTAATTTTCGTATCAACATCTGCCATAAACTGTTGAGGTAGATGCTGTCCTACTTGAAGAATATCGTCATGGTGAAACGAATGCTGTTATAGTATCTGCCGTCACACGAGCCACCACAGAGCAGATACAGCACTTAACTCGCGGCTCATCAGTAAAAACCGTATTGTACTGACCAGAACTACGATTTCCATGGTTTGATTACCACATAATAGCTACGAATACGTTTCAATCGAGCTAAAAAGTTGTGGCTCAATTGGTTTATAAAATAGACCTTGTCTATTTTAGGGCCGGAGCCATCTGGTGACTCGAATGACATTGATGTTGGGTAAAATGAAAGGTGAAAAATTTGAAATGCTTATTTTACTTGAAATTAGTTTTACCTCTCAGCCCACTTTAAGAAGTGGTCATAGAAATTCTAATTAACGCATAAACGTCAACAAGTTGATCCTCAAATCGAACGTTATTCCGGTCATTCCCTTCATTCAGTTTCAACAAGATTTCTAGCGCCATTTAAACAATAAAAATTTAATGTTGCACTTAACTACTGAAGTACAATTACTAGAAAGGTATGTTAATTCATCTTTACATTTAAACAATAAATGTTGAATATACGTATACACTGAAAATGGCCTTTATTAATCGGAGGCTACTTACATTTCGAGATGATGTCGGATGAAAACCTTCACACACTAATCCCCTTAGAACGTGTACAACTTAGTGCAGTCGCGTCTCCGGTGCCTACTAGAAGACTTCCTACACAAGACTCTCGCACGTAGCCAGCAGCAGCTGCGACACAGATACGTGGGCTTCGAAGATAGGCAAGCAGGGAGCGGTGTACACATGGGGACATTATTGGCACAGGTGTCTTCACTGGTGACAGGAGTTCCATGCTGCAAATTTTCCATGGTATGTCGGTTTACACTAAATGCAAGATGGTTGGTAAAATCTATACCGTATAAAGTAGGCTGACGATTTATCATAGAAAGTGGTAAGATATATCATGTAAAGTAGCCTCACAGCTGAACGATATATCAAGTAAAAAAAGCTAACGATACATAATTATGTGAAACTTTTAAGAATAGGGCTTCGGGATTTAGTCCAGAATAGTTACTTCATAATTATATGTCAGAATATATATGAGTAAATGCAGCAATATGTTTGTTATGGTTATTTACATCGAGTATAGTAAATGAACATAAAAAATGAAATTTGATCGGACTTTGAACAGAAAGCAAGATTATGGGATGAATGAACGAAAGAACATTATGACCAAGAATTCTGGAAATTAGGAAAATGAATGAGAATTCTGGTAAAAACGAATCAACAATATTATTCCAGATATGAGCGTGTTTTTAACATTTTTGATAGCAAATGTTTGAACCATTTTTTTCCTATTTATCTTTTTTGTGCCAGATATTTGCTTTCGCGTACTATATATTTTTTAATCTACCTAGTTTATGTATAAAATCAAATACCTATGCAGCCAGATGATTCGAGTAAAACGTCGGTAGAAACTCTGTTCCGAAAAAATGGATATACATATAAAAATGACATTTGGTCAACGGAATACTAGTGCCATATTTCAAAGATTCTTCGAAAATTTGTACTCTCATTGTGATTTTTAATTGTGCATTTAGGCAAAATCCTTGTACTTTCATCAGGAACAAACTTATGCCAATCTTAAATATTTGGTTAAAATTCTGGCTGGCAATAAGTTAAGCGAAATAGAGGAATCCAAACAATTCCATGTCGCTAAGACACTTTCTAGGCAGGCCTAGATTGTGCCGACTGTTTATTCTAAATTTTGCGTACACGCCAGCTGAATTAATGAAGCTTAACCAGAAGCTCAAATCATTCTTCATCACCGAGAATTAATCATCTACTTTAGATGATGTTGAGACAAATTGTTTATAAATTTTGGGCGTAGTATTAAAAAATATAACTCAGTACTCACTGAAGTGAGTGCCAGAGAGCGCATTTTCTCGTCGACGAAAACGTGAAGTCACGGACGGATAGACAGATAGACGGACGGACAGACGGACATGGCGAGCACAATAGCGCCTTTTTTCCCATAAATAAGAAAATGCGTTAAAAATGTACACATTTTAAATTTATTACCATTTATTTTCTGAAAAGCGTTCAACTGCATTCAATACCGGCCAAAATTTTCTTGCTGTTTTTTTTCCAATAAATACCTTTACCTTAATATTAGCCACTCCCAAAGGTATTAAGATTTTACAATTCAAGCTTTGCTGATGTGTTCCACGATTTCAGAAAAGTAGTTCATGTTAAGGTTGCAATTTAATATGATCTAGAGGAGAAAATTGATTGATTTGCACTCGTAGAGCATCAAGTGAACGTTCTGTTATTGATGGCAGAAGAAGGGCTTTGCTTTAATTTGTAGTGGTCAAGTAGAGAGGATCGTATTGATATGATCTCAGATTTTATATGCAACGCTTGTCTCACTGGATTCAACATACTCGTATTTTCTTGACATCAGTAGCTGCCCGTATAGTAATTTACAGTTGACGATAATATCTTCATGTATATTGTCCCGAATAGTGTTCAATTGTGGATATGCATATTGTAATTGAGAAGCCTTTTTAAGTATTGTAATTGAGAAGCATATTGAACCTTTTGAATTTTTCGAAGCTCGCTTGACGTTCTATATTTTACAGATAATATTTATGTATTTAAAATAAGAAGCCCATTATTGAAGTCTTTTAATTAAGAAGCTTATTGAAGTGTTATATTTTATTAGTTCATTGAAGTGTTACATTTTAATAGTCTTTATCTTAATTACTGACAACTTTCGATGCTTTTGCTTTCGATTTACCACCTGCAACAACGGCAATATTAGCGTTTGGGTGCAGTGAGGTTGAAAATTTATAGCATTACATCAATTAAAATAAGGGAACCTTCAATACGTCCAGGTACGGGGCAAAATATATTTAAGACAAAGTTCGTTGTTGATAGAACATTTGTGCATCGTTGCAGCGGTAAATTTCCTTACGATACCTCAAGTATAAGGCTGTGAATTTCATAATTAATTTTATCAGTTACTACTCGAAGGTACAATTTATCGCCTCGGTAACTTTTTAAATAATGATTCATTTTTAAGGTACACTCAGATCAAAATATGGAGGCGACTACGCTTATAACCTATGTAACGAGGAAATGTACATGTAATGAACTCCTAATCTAATATTTACATTGTTGCACTTGTAACTTGCGTTTTAACTTTTTCTATAGCAGAAAAAAAGCGATTACCGCATCACAATCAACATACAATAAAAATTCACGGTCTAGGATGATTCCTGATACAATATCACTTTAGCTGTGTATAAAGGACGTCCATGATCCTGTGTATTATAATTGTATAAAAATGTAAATTATTACTCAGAAATGTGAGAAAATATTGTTTGCAAATTTCGCATACATTCATTAGGATGGTTAAAAAGTTATTCAGTATTGACCATTAGATTTTTCCCAGTACGAATTAAAAGCTCTTAATACTTCGTGTCTTGAGGTTCTCAGGTTTTATCAAGTTTATTTTTTTGATTTAATAAATCTCTGACCAAAATCTGTCGCAGTGAGAAGCGAGTCCTCACTATTGTAAAAACCCTAAATTAAGTCCACGTATGGGGCCGGCGTGAAACACTCGCGATAAATTAGGGTATCTGCCTCATGCTCGACCGCTAGCCACATCATTTTTTTAATTGAACTGTTTCAAAAGAGTTGTCATCTCCAGATCTTTATAAACTATCCCGATGCATCATCATACATAAAAAATAAAGTTTTTCCATTTGTCTTGGATAAAACTGTAGCTGATCTATCTAAAGATGAAAACCGTCGAAAATCGATAAAACTAATGATGTCTTACGATTTATGAGTTCTTCAACTCAATTAAACTCATCTACTGACTATAAAGTAGTTGACTATCTATCAACAAATAACTTTTCCAAATCGACTTGAGCTAGCCATGAACTTGAATAATTTTGCTATTAGATTACCTATTTCAATTTTCTTCACAAATTCTATCGAATTTGCAGATTAAATTTAAATTTTCCAGCGCCAAGCACGACGTAAGTTTAATGAAATAATTTTGATTCATAATTTGAAACTCGCATCCTCATTGAATAGCATAGTTCGTACTAAGAAAAATTATACATGCTGCTATATATGCCCTTTCCTCTGAGTCTGCATCGGCGGTTATTCCGATTATTTTGGCGCTAAATTCTGTGCCATGAGCGCAACGTTGCTTTCTTCGTCGTCGGCGTCGACGCCTTCGTCGGGACCGACGTCGTCGTTGGGCTGCGGGGTGCCGTTGTTGATGGCTTCGATGGCTGCGCGTAACTGCGGCACAAAACAATAACTGTCATGTCTTCATTTCATACGAAATTAAAGATTAACGAGCAATTAATACTGGAATCTTGTAAGCCAACACGGAAATAGTGAATATTATAATTTAAGTTTTGGTCAGCGGTCCATTTTAAGCTACTACTGTGGTCGTGTGAAACATAAGTGAAAATGAACTCAATATGACTGCATGTAAATAAATTTGCATGTAATTAAACTAATGACAGCACAACTGTATGATAAAGCTCAAAGTGTGAACCGAAGATAAAATTAACGTATAAATCAGCCTAACACACTAAGTGGCAAACAGTAAGAAAGCCAAGCGCGCGATGCAGCAAGACTCACTTCTTTGAGCGCGACGACGCCGATGAGTCGTCCTAGCACCGTGACGTAGGCGTGACTCAGCCCGAGCATCGAGAACAGCGAGTGTACCTGAGGGTGGCGACATTATTGCACAAATTGCACATGCGCCGAGGGAGAGATTATCGAGAATGCTAGAGGAATACGGGGAATAAAACGTGAAAATAGAAATAAATTGGATTTTGTAAAGTTTTGACTATTTCGTGACTGCGGGTGTAGAATGTAGATGATCTCCCCCAAGAAATCAATTATCTCATCAATTATTTACCGTTTTATAATTTTCCATAAATTAACATTAAAATTTTCACTCATTTACCTTGAAAAGTGGGGTACTCTCTGCCAGCTGAATTGGTGAAGAATCGATGGGGCAGTTGGTGAAATCCACGATGTCGTCATAGGCTTTGTCCTCCCACAGCCACGGCGACAACAAAAACTCCTCCATCACCTGAAGTCGGCGTTTGTTACACAGGCAGCATTATATAATTACTTGAAATCATGGCAAATCATTTTTTTTTCACTCAAAATCATACTCAATTCGAAAAAGAGTAGGATATTTTTGAAGTAGCAAATGTATAAAATAAGGCGAAAAATTTTACCACGATAGCCTCAGATGATGTAAAGTTTCTTTGAGTTACTGATAGCTAATTATTCAATATTTTTTTGTGTTTTGTCTGTATTTGAAGCATGGCAGCACAAGTAAATAGAGCGTATTCATGATATTTATTGTGACGGTATACTGCCAAAATGGATTGGATTAAAGCATCATTCATTGCAGGAGAATAGGTAACGAGTGGATAAAGATAAAATTTAGTTTTACAATCGGTATTGATACGTTTAATTGAAACGCTGCAAAATTTATGAACCATATTTTAAGTGTAGAGTATTATGGAGGTCTATTTACAATGCAAAATGTGAGTTTCAAGGGGTTATACAATTTTTTGTTCAGAGAGGGTGACAAAATCTTTTGTTGTTGCGGTGCCACTAGGAAAGAGGCTTAAAAGATTGAGGTGGCACAGAGTTATCAGCAGAGGTGGGCAGTAGGGCGCTACATGTAGCGGCCGCTATTAGCGGCCGCTACGTTTTCAGTAGCGGTAGCGGTAGCGGCTCTACATTTAAGGCAATGTAGCGGTAGCGGTAGCGCCCGCTACATATTTAAGTAGTTGACTCAGCCCGAGCATCGAGAACAGCGAGTGTACCTGAGGGTGGCGACATTATTGCACAAATTGCACATGCGCCGAGGGAGAGATTATCGAGAATGCTAGAGGAATACGGGGAATAAAACGTGAAAATAGAAATAAATTGGATTTTGTAAAGTTTTGACTATTTCGTGACTGCGGGTGTAGAATGTAGATGATCTCCCCCAAGAAATCAATTATCTCATCAATTATTTACCGTTTTATAATTTTCCATAAATTAACATTAAAATTTTCACTCATTTACCTTGAAAAGTGGGGTACTCTCTGCCAGCTGAATTGGTGAAGAATCGATGGGGCAGTTGGTGAAATCCACGATGTCGTCGTAGGCTTTGTCCTCCCACAGCCACGGCGACAACAAAAACTCCTCCATCACCTGAAGTCGGCGTTTGTTACACAGGCAGCATTATATAATTACTTGAAATCATGGCAAATCATTTTTTTTTCACTCAAAATCATACTCAATTCGAAAAAGAGTAGGATATTTTTGAAGTAGCAAATGTATAAAATAAGGCGAAAAATTTTACCACGATAGCCTCAGATGATGTAAAGTATTATCACAAGCTTATTGTACATCGTGCGGGTATTTGAAGCATGACAGCACAAGTACATAGAGCGTATTCATGATGAAATTCGTAAGGGTATATAAAGTTAGCGCTTAAGAATTATGGATGGTGGTGGTTAGTTATTTCCTCTGGTTGAACAGATTAGACTATTCGAGAATAATGAGAGATCAATGCCAATCGAAATAATGGGCCTGGTCTATCTGCAAGGTGCCCCTGATTACTAAAAGACTTTGTTGCTGGCAGAGGTTGACTACAAAAGTCAGTAGATAGTGCGCTTAGTCTCTCTTTATATATGAAAATATTTCCAAACTACGAATTTACCGTTGATAAGTTGGGTTTTACAATGACTGCAGGAGCCTCGATCCTCTTCACTTTCTTCCTTAAAGTATCCACAGCTGAGCGCAAGTTTCTAGAATAAAAAATACATATGCAGGTAGACAAGAACTTATTTGAATATCATCATGGCAAATGAAAGGGGTAATATATACGTTGAGTCATATAGATCGATTCACCAACATTCGTGAGAAATAATTTTTTTTGCCTTTTACATAAATTTTTAAACATGAACTGACATTTAGAAAAAAGTGCTATAAAAATGCGGCACAAATTTGTCAAAATGGCACGTAGAAAAAAAAACGGATAATTCACAAAGTATTCGACTACAATGTGCATGGAAGACCAATTAATTCCCAATGCACATTGAAGACTAATTAATAAACAGTGTACAAAGAAAACCAATTACTGGGTTTTACTATTAAACACTATTAATACTATTACTATTACATTGTAGTAATAGTAATAGTATAAATAGTGGTGTTAGCGTTGATTAGGCGATTACATCTGTTGATGATTCTCAATATCGTAAAATTTTTACATCATGGTGTAAAAATTGTACATCACACGCAACTCAATGCTCCAATTTCGCGGCCTCCTCACCGATCTTGACAGAACTGTCGTGGTAGCAGGGATCGAACCAAAAACTCACTGCTCCGATCTTGGAACTCTGAACTGTAACCACCAGGTCACCTTGCCAATATGTACAATGTACATGGAAGACCAATTAATTCATAATTTACACGGAAGATTGATTAATTAACAACGTACTTGGAAGCATAAGCGTGGAATGTAGAGCATGAATCTCTCCACTGAGTCGAGCATCGATGGCCTCCGCTGGCCCTTCTCTTGAGGATGCTTTGGCACGGCCTCGTTGTGGACCTCATCTTCTTCTGTATCACGGCTACAAGCTCCGGTGAGACAAGCTTACTCTAGAAGTGGATATAAGTAAGCTAATTCTTGAATCAATATTTGCTTACTATATAAAAAGAAATTTTTCTATGTGAATCGAAATTTGCTTACTATATAGAATAGGAATTTATCTATGAGAATCGAAATTTATATATAGAATAGAAATTTTTTCGATAAGAATCGAAATTTACTAAAAGTTCACAATAAGGTGATCCGAAAGAATCATTTCATGCAATGAGAATCCTGCCTTCAGTTTAAGGGTGAACAGATCAATTTCTATGGAAAAATACATATCAAAATTCTACAAACCATCAAGCAAATGACTTACATCATCACCAAAACATTCCATTCGAGTAGTGGCTTCAGGAGTCAAGCAAATGGGCGTCATAACTTTAGTTACAGAGAATCTTGAACCTCTTCTCTCAGGTGCGGGCTGCACGGTGTCTTGGTCTACAGATTCCTGAGAGTCCCCAGCAGAACTTTGAGAGAGTTCAGAATCCCGCCGAGCGGGTTTGATCGCTTCGCAAGTTGAAGAAGTGTCAATCCCAGTGACCATTTTAGAAGCGTCCAATGTCGCCTCAGAGCTGCTTTCTGCTTTGTCCGTCTCGTTCTGCGCCGTCACCATTGATTGAGACTGTGCTGGGTCCTTGTACACAAATGAATTTGTTCCAATAATAAAATATTCGTAAATATTATTATTTATATTTATTATTTTTATTATCGTTATCTTGCATAATAAAATATCATTTAAAAAAAATCTGCATACAGAAAAAAATAATTCACCAGTGAGTTTTTTTTCGACTATACGAAACCTAGCTTACCTCCACAGGAATGGTGGTGTTGACAGAGGTAATTTTTTTGAGTGAATCCGATGTAAGGCCCGTCGGCGACTCTACGTTGATAACATTATTTAAGGATTGAATGGATGAAGCAGAGAAGATCGTATCTCCTTCACGCTGCGCAGGTAAACTGGTATTTATAGGTAGAAACTTGACGGACCTTCGCAGCACACTGAGGTCCTGCAGACTGCCTGCGTGTGAATGTTAATAAATCAGTAAAATGACTGATTATGATCAGCCACCGCAATTAAGGTTCGTTTGTGTAATTATTATACATGAGAACCACGTTCAATGAGACAGGAGACGAGAAGTTGAAGTTGTAAAAATGCATGAGTGGAGAAACAGTATTCCGAAAATTCAAAGGCAAATCATGATAAATGTAATTGCAGAGCCCGGAATTTTTAAAAATCCCGGAAAATTTGGGTTCAGAAAACACAAAATTTCTGGACATGACATGACCATGACACGTTCATTGCATTGCGAGCAAAACGCTTAGGCGCTATAAAAAGACTCCCTGCACGAAAAAAAGTCGTGAAAGTGAATTTAATTAAAAAGCACGAAAGTTAATTTAATTTTGTATTCCTTTGGGCGTAAATCATGGGGAGTAGTTATAAGAAAAACACTATCATAAACATAATAATTTCCACGAAATTAAAATTATCGACATAAAACAAAATTTGCATCGAAAAATGACGGTAATTTCAGCAAGTAAAATGTTAAGAAAAATCCATTTTCTATCTTATGAAGTTATGATCAACAAATTTCTGAAAAATAACTATCAAGATGCTCCTTTGATTTAGTATCCACTAATTTTTATTATTTCCCTACATTATAACACACATACTTGATCTTCGTTGCATAAGGCGCGTATTTCTCTGCTTCCTCAACGAAAGAAAATGTGGCCGAGGAAAATAGTCGAAGACTTTCTTCCTGCCGAGTTACGGTCCGTTAGCCCGGAATGAAAGTTTTATTGTTATTACAATTATTGTTATTAATTATAATACTATATTATTATAATAAAATTATTATTATTAAAATCTTATTTTAATTGTAGAACCAAATCAATACTATGTTTACAATAATCTATAATTTATATATCAAGTTAATCCCTGCTAAACTACGCTCAGATTGTATAAATTAAAAATGTGATTAAGAACGAATTATTTTATTCAAATTAACTGGCAAATGCTGGAATGGAAAAAATCTGGCTAACAATTTATTTCAATAGCTCCATTTGATAATTAAACGATACTCAATGTCATTAAATTCAGGTGAATTTGAAAGATAACAATTAATAGGTTTTGGGAAATAATTATATATTGATCACGTTAATAACTACTAATACGTCTGTTGAAGTATGAAAGTCATTAGAAAACACAAAATATTCTATAATAGCCATTGCATGCTTTATATTCGTGAAAAACTATGATTGACTTGAGGGGTTTATTTCAAATCGGTTTAATTAAAGAATCTTTTAACCATGATACGGAATTCGCTAAAAAAATTACACACTTCTACCAGTCCAATCGATCTGAAATTTTTCACACTTGCGTAAAGTTGGATGCAATGCATGAATCAGTTGCCAGAGTAAATAAGTTTGAAAATTAAAAGAAATTTTTTTAATATTAAAAAAATGTATAAATAATTTTGTCTGCTACAAATCTTATAATCTATATTTGACACACTTCTGCCTGTCCAATCGACCTGCAATTTTGCACACTTGCATAAAGTCAGAGACAATGAATGAATCAGTTGACAGAATAAATAATTTTGAAAATTTACAACATTTTTATATAAGAAAAAATTGAAAACTATTTTTTTTTAACATATGAAAATAAAATTAGAAATTCATTGTGCATGCGTAACATTAAAAAACTGGATTCTTTAGAAGTGTTGTTTTTAAAAAGTAATTTTCAAACGCATATTTTACAACACTTCTCTTCAACTTCACTTCTTGTTGTTTTTTGTTTGTTAGTCTGCTACAAATCTTAAAATCTATATTTGACACACTTCTAACTGTCCAATCGATCTGAAATTTTGCGCATTTGCGTAAAGTCGGAGACAATACTTGAATCAACTGACAGAATAAATAATTTAAAAAGTTACATACTAAAAACATTCAAGATATTTTTTAATATTTAAAAATAAAATAATAAATTCATTGTACACATGTAATATCGGAGACACTGGCCTCTTTAGAAGTGTTGTCTTTAAAAAGTAATTTTTAGACTCATATTATTCTATTCAAGTTAATTGACAAATTTTGGAATGGAAAACAGCTGGCTAACATTTTTTTCAATAGCTCCATTTGATAGTAAAATTATACTCACTTTCAATAAATTCAAGTGAATTTGAAAGTAAAAAATTAATGGGTCTTGGCAAAAACTATTGATCACGTTAATAATTACTAATCCGTCTGCTGAAGTATGGAAATCATTTAAATATACAAGAAATTCTATAATAGCCATTGCTTCGTATTCGTGAAAAACTATGATTGACTTGAGGGGTTTATTTCAAATCGGTTTAATTAAAGAATCTTTTAACCATGATACGGAATTCGCTAAAAAAATTCAATCACAAATCCAAGTTGGCCTCTACAACAATCTCGTGACCACCACGACAAATTACTAGTACTAAACTTGTACATTGTTGACCCAAATATTCGAATTACGGAAATGATGTAGGAAAATTAAAATTTCACTTCTTCTGTGCTTGCAAACAAGATATATAAGGTTGATTATATTCCACATTTATACTGAATAAAAGGGGGCAAATATTTGGGCACACCACGTATGATCAATAAATAACATAACAAATGTATTTCTCCTGGTATTTTCCAACGTTTTAGTATACGCAGCATTCCATACACCTGCATTGTTCTAAACAAACAAAAACGGGTGCAATTTGAAATAGCTAGTGAATGAAAACAGGGTTTATAACTTTATGAAATCTTTTTATAAATTTAAACACCAAAAATTTAAGCATGTGTAATTAAAATGAAGTTTGTGTTGTAGAGGAGGGAAATGTAATTTTTTATAGATGTCTTTTATATTAATATTTTTTTAATAAAATGGCTTTAGACTTCCGTGCGATAATGCCGGATCCATTCTGTATTGCGGAATAATTGTAGCTATATAGGATCACTCGATCTGCGCCACTATACGGGACAGGAGTGTAGTGTGCACGTGATAATTTTATATTTTTAGGACCATTATTGTGTGCTTCATAGTGACCTGTAATATATTAGTTTGATATCAAGCCGTATAGCTATAGGCGTGAAAAGGTCTTCTTAGTTTTTATGATTTAGTTTTAGGCATGACCCATCGTGTATGTTTATTGTCTGTAATAGTTTTATCTCGTACAGAGAGACCTCCAAATCTTGATCCGAAGTCTTGACTTAGCTTCAACTTACACGAACTTTGTTTATTTTATCGTCGTTGTTGAATGAAAGTGACGCATTGATTGTCCTTATTCTCCTGTCGGTTACTGTGTTGATCTGCAAGAAGTGTAACGAACCGTGGTTGAGTTATTGCGGATAGGATAAAGTCTCGCGTTACGCCCAGTTGGTACCGGCCCCCGTAACAGTGTGAGTAAGAAGTTATAACTGACGTCTTAGCGGCTGGGCTCCCGCCTTCCCGCAGCAGCTCCGCGGCCCTGCGTTGCTCCAGCTTGGTCTGCAGCAGCGAGAAGAGGGCGTCGCGCTTGATGGTCCCCAGTAGAATCATTGATGCTGCAACGAAAAATTGCTTGATGTATTTATTATTAAATTAAATTTATCACTAAAACTGGAAAGTTTAACTAGCAGTTTATATACAAAATTGTGATTTAACAGATGCATCGTCGCTTTTAAATTTACTAGTTGAAATGATTACAATGCATTTAATCGATAGAATTTAATTCAGGATCTAATTCTAAACACAATGAACTCGTGAAATATCTTTCGTATAGTAAACTCCATTTTTAAAATTATTTATCCGTACTTGGTGAGTTGACGATGGGAAGTAAGCGCAATTTACGAGTCTCCAGCAGCGTATCACGAAGCTGATTAAAGGAGATGCCGTAGTAGACATATTTGATTGCCTTCTTCATGAAACGTTCAGCGCAAATATCTTCATCGTGTAGGCCAGACGGCAGGATCGTAGGCAGATACGGCAAGTTCTTGAGAAGGATGACCGAGTCGTAAAATCCGGGTTGGTTGAACAAATTTACTACAGCGTTTGCTATCAACACGGCGATCTGGAGATAACAAAAGCATTCCTTGTTGAATTGGATTTAAACGTAAGAAGATATTGCATAGAAAAATATATATGTACATAGAATATATGAAGGAGTGTCTATATGATGAATACACTACTTTTACGAAAGGACTAAGCAATGTTTTTGGCCTATAACTACAAAAAATGGATTTCTAATGAGGTACATGAGTTTCAAGAAAGAAAGCAAGCGAACAATTGGTTACAAAACCGTACAATAATTTTCCGTTTAATGCCCGGCCACAGTATCAATAATTAGACCGTTAATTTTCACAGAGATGTTTCGAACAGTGCGCTACTACGAAAACATTGTCCTGATGAAATGAATAGACCATTTGAATAATGGGAGCCATCAGCTAGCCGGCACTATCACGGTGATATGTAAGTCAAAGAGAGAACGTAGGCATTATTGTAGATGTTGCTGCTAAAGTTTATTCCTTGAACTCTGCATCGAATACCTTTATAATCCTTTTCTTAATCACAAAAGATAAATAATGAAATGTAAGTAACTCGTATTCACCGAGTTTAATATAGTCAACGTCACCTGTTCATAGCGGAATCCTATTGATTCACCATGCATGGTACGCACATACCTGCTATCCTGATAAGTATTAGACAGGCGCATTTCCATAGTATTCATAGATCATTTATAAAGATTGATCTCAAAGAAGTTTATGAGGGAGTGATTATCTTACCCATCCCATTGTGCATACAACATACTAGTTGAAATTTTACAGTGCCTCGACTATAATTTTACGCACCACGACGGGCGCTAGGTGCGTTATCTGCCCCGTGAGCTCGAAGAGGATCACTGACGTGGAGATGGTGTGCGTCGTCGCGCCCGTGAATGCCGCTGCTCCTGCTACAGAGTACGCGCCTGCGCGAGGGAATATCAAATAAGTTGCATGCGGTATTTAAAACTTGGAATAATAAATCTTAATTTTACCCATTTATATCAGATAGCATGTCTTTAATGTATAAAAAAGTATAATTCATAGATTTGTCTCCTTTGTTTTAATGGAACAGGCCCACAACCGTATCATAACATCGCCAAAATGTGAAAAAACGGTTATTAATAAGTTTATACGCTAATAGCCGGGCATTATCATCCTGTCTTAACGATGGAGTTTGACTCGCCGCTGCAAAGCTATAACCATGAAAAAAATCCAATCATTATCATTAAACCTGGAATTACGGAGTGAATAAAGGCGCCAGAGCCAATCCCCGTCGGAAAAGAGTAGGCCATTATCTCGCCGATGAGACGACCAATGCCAGCGCCGATCCTCAGGAATGGGATGGTGACGCCCGCAGGGACGGGTAAGGTGCTCACGATCACCAGGCCAAACAACTGTACAATATAATTTTAACACTTCAGAAAAAATTACTTACAAAGTCAATAATTTATTTTAATTCACTTAAAGATTTTCATTTTTAAAATGAAAATTTGAGTGGTAACTCACACTCAATATAATGTACAAGGTGAGGTTGACGAAAACGCTTGTCCAGGGCGTCCTCCAGTGCTGAACGATCGCGAACTCCTCAGGGCTGTGCTGGTCGCTCGAAAACGTGACTCTGAACAAACTCGCCATCTGAACAGGTGAACCATATAAAAGTGGTTAAAATTTCTGTAAAAATTAATTAATTAATTATTTAATTTCTTCTTAAAAATTAAATAATGCGAAGAAATAAGTAATTGTTAGGCAAATCTGTCACCTTATTAGTATAATAAACTCGAGTTGCGAAAATGTGTAGTGTTGGAAACAGGATTCAATATGCAAGGTACACAGATGCACACATAGAGTGCAATCTAATTATATTTTTTGGAAAAATTTTTAAAATATAATAAAACGATAATTTGCAACATAAGGATGTTGCACTGACTATAGTGCTCATTATACGATTTATTTAGTCACCTGGTCTGGGATTGTTAGTTCACCAGCCACGAACCGCCCGAACCCGACGGGGAAGGTGAGAAAAGAATACGCCAGCGTCACCAGGAACGGGTACATCAGGCGGCTGTTGTTGGTAATGACAGCACAATTAATGATACATTATGGACGTTTACAAAACTAACAGAATTTACGATATAAAAATTTGTCAAGCAACTTGCAGGTACTCACTACTTCTGGAAGAAGTTCTTGAACGTCTTGTTGCGCCGCATGAAGAGCACGTAATTTCGGTGGACGAATACAAACAGCGCCCCTAGAAGTCCGCAGACAAGTCTGAAAAATTATATTTATTTGGTGATTCGTCAGCAATTTAGTTGTNGCGAGCAGACGAAACATAACAGCACCGCAGAAAGCGGCGAAGAAGCCGCGCCAGTAGTTGCGTACGGCGAAGTATTCTGACGTGACCTCGATGCTGAAAAGCACGCCTGTAGCCAAGTTGAACAATATTTTCAGAACTTTGACAGTAGATGAATTGAGTTTCATTCGTAAGTCCGACTTCAAGGAAGAGCAATACGTATACCAATGTTTTCTATTAAACAGTGATAGTCGGTCATTGAATGAAAAAATTCAAGTAACTTATCTATTAAATACATTCAAAAGAAGTTAGACGTCCGTTCTATACATGAAGACAGCATTTATAAAGCTTAATGCTAATAGATTCGGCCCCAATCAGTGGATAAACGGTTATAAGATATTGGACATATGAAAATTTGGGCAGGGCTGGGAGGAAAAATATATTTTCATGTGATTAAACTTTTTACGAGCTCCAAAAGTATTTAGAGGCTAACAGCCTCGCATATTTCCTCCGCGATAAGGGGAATCACAATAAAACATGGACTATGTATTAGGCCTCATCTTTAACAGCGCAAACTGAAACTTACACTACTTATAAAGAGTGATTAATAGAAATGGCCCCAACTTGATTACACCTATGCTTAAAATGAACCTAATTTACGTGTAATACCTCTTTCTTGGAATTTATAATACATCATTGTGAATAACTACAGATCTCGAAAATAAATGACAATTAAACTTGTTAATTTGAAATGGACATATAATCATTCACAATGTCAGGGTCATTTATGCGGAACACCCTGCATATCCATAAATGGTAATGTGTGGTAATCATCACCTCCAACAGGGGCTGAAAAGGCGCACGCGACACCCACAGCCGCGGCCGCCGCCAGCATCTCCGTCTTGCGGGACTTGTTCTGGCATATTCCTTTGAAGCGAGAGAACACGTTCCAGAGCTGCGTACCCACCATGCAGGCAATGTGCACGAACGGACCCTGGGAAATATTACTGTGTAGTAACTCTTATTATGAAACTGTATGCAAAACTTTTCGACTGCATAACTGTGCAAGTGGAAACGGCGCTCCTGAGCGGATTCCAGTCATTCCACACCATACGAGCGATGTGCACGAACGGATTCTGTGAAATACTGTGTAATGTTAACTCTAACCATTCTGCCAGGTGGCTTATTTCATACGTTACCCCCATGCTGTCAATTGTATCCCTCACGTCACCTTCCGTGACGCCATTGAAGTAAGTCTCTATTATAAGTTCCTCAAGCTTACCCCAAGTCAGTCATACACCAACAGTCCAACACCTCTTAGCTGTAGTCCATCGCAGTCTAACCTTAGACGCATCCACCACGTCTATCGGCTCCGGCACTCGCTTGTCTTACTCGCGTTCGTGTCGTTAACTATACCTTCTCAACTACCGTTGTGATACCTCCGGCAGTCTTCTGGACCTCATCCTGTAAACCTACACTTAATAATTGCTCTTAGTATTGCCTCTCTATTTATTCCACTTACTATAGCATATGGACAATGACAAGAACCTATCGGAACTCAGAGGTAATCTAAAAGTTCATCTAATAATAAATTAATCAACGAATGCCATAGAAAAGACATAAGCCCCAATTAGTTGAACCAGACACTTCTAAAGACCTGCAAAACGCGTTCAGACTCACGATTCTAGATTTGGAATCGACTCTCAAGAGCAGCGATAACAGATTCGATTTTGATGCTCACAATCGGACTTTGAACTACGAATTACAAAAATTACACTCACACTATTTCTTCTTATAGTTTGTCACCTCTGATTTTAATTAACAGAATATGGAATCTTCTATCCTTTGAGGCTGTAGCAATAATATTTCCCAAAGAGTACCTTCAAAAGTTTGAATTACTAAAATGTATGGCCATATGGTATTCTTACCAGATTGCTAAATGTATTTTTAGAATTTTAATCACCCACCGCTTTGCCAATTGGCAGGCTAGTTCCGAGTGAGGCGGTGAGGCCGACGACTTTAGCGATGAGAGTCCGCAGTGAAAGACACTCCTTCAGAACCACGCCCCTAATGGTGGTTTTCATCTCTGGTATACCCGAGCCTGAAAAGTGGAAGAAAGTTTTGCTGTAACGACAAAACCTCAGCATAACAACGGGGAAAAAATAAGGGTAAGGAGTTTTTCGCACTTTTAGTAAATTTAGAAAACGGTAACAATTAATTATTTCAGTGCACGAAAATGTCAATGGTAAAAACAAAATTGTTATAGGGTAACGTACTGCTCGGTGAACTGATAAAAAAAAGGCGTAAATGTGTGTGGTTTTTGGGAAGGCGTTGCGTGTTTCAGCTGAAAATCGAGCCGCCATAAGGTGAACGTATATCTTTTCTGGATCAGTCACACAAAGAATATCCAAGAGCTGTGTTCCTCGTTTGAGAAAAATACCAATACAGTCATATGGAATAAATAAATAAGTAAATTTACTTTCATTGAACGGAAAGTTCTCTAAAACCATGAGCAAGGTTATGTTCTGTGAAAATTTTCACATTTGTGAATAACAAAGTTTTGAAAGCATAAATGTAACCAGACTAACCGATGCACTGCGGAGAGACTAACTGAGCAAATGACGCAGAGAAGACCATTAGCAGAACAGGCAGCGTCACCCACGCCACGAACTGCGGCACAGCCCAGGTTGTGAGCTCATTGAATGCCCACCTCTGCGCTGCGGCGACCAATACATTTGGCATCAATAAAGTAAATCAAAAAAGAATGTAACTGCATGATAGTAATAGTAAAAAAAGAAGCCGGTAAGTAATAGCGCACTCTTGCTACCTACAAACTTAGGTCAGTGTGTTTGGTGCAACCATCATATGGAATCACATGATGAGAAGAATATATAAGTTATGGTTATCCGCTTCAGATTTTAACAGCTAAAATGAAATACGAAGATCACCTTTATTGCAGGCTGCTACTCCAATATCGATAATAAGAGATAAAGTTGCCGTGATTAAGCCGAGGAAGAGAAAAAAGACCCAGTCTCCTTTCCAGACGTCATCTATGAAGAATTTCCATGCCCTGGATCGTCCGGTCGCCACCAGGCGCCGTAGAACGTTGCGCCGACGTCCGTGGTCTACAAAATCATGATTTGTTAATTATATGATTATTAATGACAACATCGTAGAACATCTGTCTATAGTTATCGTACAAATACATACCGGGAAGCACATCCACTATTGCGCTTGGACCCGTGGTTTGTGAACTTTTAGAAACAAAGTATCCAAGCGGTGTACCACTGTGAACGCGTCATGTAGCAGCTATTTGTACTATATATTATGCCTTGAAAATTTATAATTTGCATTTTAATTCACTAAATGGTAAAAAAATTCTCGAAATCGGTAATTGATCGTGTGTGTTTCTAAGGAGTTAGTGCACCACCTATGTAGAATGACCCTGAGCACAGCAGTTTAAGATTTTTTGGATTATTTGGTATTGAGACTAATGGTGTCAGAAGCACCTCATAGCGTGATCTCTGTTAAGGGAAATAGTTCAAGAATCAATATTGCATAAATTCATCAAAGTGAAAAGCACAATTTTGGTATATAATTGTACCTTGTATTTAGAAAAAGAAACTCAATAAGCAGATGAAACAGATGAAATGAACAAGTTTTCCCAAACATTACCACGGAATTAGTAGGAGATAAGTGTGCATTCATATAGCGCTGACCCACAATTTTTCGACTATACACACAAGTCAAGAACGAAGTAATGGTACATGGGTTTTACAGATGCTATTTAAATAGGAAGTTAGCAGACCCTGAACTCGACAACGCAACTGCTATGGTTAATATCCTAGGAAAAATTTTCCATTTTGGCAGTAATGAATGGTAGAAAATGAATTTCAAAAAGTTTAGGGAAAGAATTTATCCTAGGACTTACCTTCGGGAGCGATTTTTCTAGATTTCTTAGCTTCCTTCTTAGCTATTTTGGCCTCCTGCTTGGCGAACTCGCTGAGCTCTTTTCTGTACCTGCCGTACATCTGCACAAAAAATTAGGCACAAAGAAATTCTTAAACATGCTCTTAAATTCTGAAGCGAATCAACACGTATTGTTAATGAATGCCCGATAATGACATACAAAGAATGTAAACCTGAATATGACTGTTATCCATAACTTAACTTAAGTATTCCACTCAACTTAATTCGTAAAATGTGAGAAAATATTACTAAATAAAACAGCTATAAATTTTGTCATTATAAAAAATAACGTTAACCTTGAAAATTATTTGAGATCTCATTAAAGTTGCCCATGATGAAATATATTGCCGTTTATTTGCACAACTACAGTATATGCATTAAACATATACATATATGCATATACTACAGTATATGCATTAAACAGTATGCATTAAACATATAGTAAACATTTTGCATGATATAATTATGACGCCAGTTTCAACCAAACAAGCAAGAATAAATTACAGATAGATTCAAACAAACTTTAACGATACTAAAAATTCAGGCACCTACGTACTAACTGTTTCAACAATTATTTCTGAAGTGTCAGGAGTAAAAGTTCATTTCGTCACACAATTTGGAGTGCAGCGAAACATCTAACATAGATCATAGTCAAATCAGAGACAAAAAGAAATTTGGACGAAATTTTTCGTGAAGTAGGCGCAAATAAAGACAATAACTAAACATTGGGACTAAGTTACCCACCAAAGTCTGTTGAAACTGACGATCCCCTGCGAAGCTCTGCTGGTCGGCGTCGTCTTCATCGTCATCCTCGTCTTCGCTGCTCCTAGTGGGTACCTCTTTCCACGTCTCGGGCATCACTAGTAGAACCTCTTTGTTACTAGTTATTTAAATTAAATCTTTAATATGCTAAATTTAATTTTTCTTCGCAGTTTCTTTGAATTTGTATCACAAAAGTTCAATGCCTCTATTGATAATTGAAGGTCAGTCTCGTCTTGTTCATATTCAGCTGAAAACCTTCATTACTGGGCCGCACATAAATTAATTCGCTGCCTAGGATGTACAACATGAATTATACTCTCAGCATTCAAAACGCTATAATTTCGTAGACTTTGCACTTTTAATTCTATATTACGTTCGAATTTCCTTTCTTATTGCTAGGCTATCCTTACATTTCATAAAAATTTTCTACAAATTTCTTCACGGATTTTTCATGTTTTTTGATCGTTTCTAAGCGCTATTCTTCAATTTGGGTTATTAATTCTCAAGCTAATGTAATTCCAAGTATATAACATCATCTTCCAGAGGACACTAAATTCTCCACTAGAAATTTTTTTCACGCATCATTTGGCGTTGATAGCGCAAGTAATGATTCTTTACTGGCTATCGAAATATCCTGGTAGGTTGAATTCATAACCTAAAAATGTGCAATACCGTAATCTTCTTTTTCCTTGCTAGCAATACGTCTCAAAACCAGAAATATTATGTACTCAGTAGAATAAATGTAAAATAAAGTAAATACGTAGATAAAATAACCTTTTTAACTATTTCGAGCATGTTACCTTTCAAACTCTCCCTGCCAGCTTTAGATGATTAAACACTTTTCGTAGCCATTTAAAATTGTCTGAATTTTCAATAAAAACAAATAAATGAAGTGAAGTTTAAGTAAATACAAGCTTTTTAAGAGATAAAGTGATGTATAAAGAAAAAGAATGATAATAATCTAAACATCGTCATCTTTGAACCGGATTGCTCTATATAATTTTCCCATTCTCAAAAAACATTTTCCGAAGAAAAACGTCGTATTTTTGTTAGAAATGTTACTGGTAATTGTAGCAGGTTAGCGTCTGGTCGTACGTCTGGTGAATGGAAACGTGCGTCCTAGAACGTCATGAGAATATCAAAATCCACCCAATTGGCGGCTCAACACAGGTCGTAAATCTTATGAGTTACTTGAATCAAGTTTCACTTTTGTGTAAACTCAACCTTAATTTTGTTCATAATATTCAGAAATGAATGAAAGTGAATATCCGATTAACTTATTCTATATTCATTACAGGCTACTGCTGGAAGGAAAGTAGAACTCCTCAGCTCCATTTCAGAACTGACCTGAATTTTTCCTGCAATAGTGTAGCCTCTTACATTTTGTCCATTCACGTTACGAACTAAAGCAACAGCAACATTACACTGGATATTACCAACCCCTTCTCAGTCAGTCATCATACATCCATCGAAAATGAGCGAAATAATTTTTAACGTCACTCTTAAAATTCGTGTAACGCCTAGGCTTTTGCCCATGAGTCGCTACCCTCGGTATTGAGTTATTCTGGGTATGCTCGATCCTCTCGCTCGAAGGCTTCCAGCCACAATCTCCGACTTTATAGTGCCCTGATAGTATGCCATGGATTGGACGAATCCAAGTCATACCGAGCTTGCAAGTTTCTTAGAGGCTGCACTCCAAGCCCAGTCCAAACGAATATAGGGAGACTGATTTATGTGCTCTGTGAACCCTATATTGGCAGAGCATGTTACAGAGTAATGCTGTTTGCACCCAAAGTTTAATAAACGAATTAATAAATTAACATGCATTCCGTTCCAATAAAATCTATGAGTGTCTAACACGTCTGCAACAACCTTGCAAGTTGTGTGCGTATAGCTCAGTAGCCCGAACAAAATTTCGACACGGATCTGACTCAGAAATAAGGAACGCCTATAAGACTTGGGAGCAGGCAAATCAGCTTCTCTATTTCCGCTATTTATTTTAGTTTCCGGTCCCAAGTCAGACAACTACGAGAGTCTGGTCCCTACTCTGGGCCATCAACTGAGCTGAAGGGGCTCCCTATACCCGCAGCCTCGCACTGGGTTCTCCCCAATATCCGCGATAGCTCTGGCCGAGTCTGACAAGGAGATACGAAAAACACTCTTCGTCCTCCGCAGTAGGAGGAAGGGAGGAGAAATTAAATCCTTACATTACTTAGTTATAATGTCTATTCATACAGCTCGCTGAATATAATACGCATACGAGAAAACTTAGAACCATGGGCAATTAAGCTCATGATATTTTTTTCACTCACTAACGTAGAAATAAATCAAGAAGTAGTTGGCGTGCAGTGTTATTGAGGATTATTTACCGCTGGAATAGAGAAAGTAAATTGAATGCGGCATAAACTTTTCAGTTGAAAATGTTGCTAGATTGTTGGTGCCAAACTTCCCAGGTCGCGGCTAGAATTGTAAAAAGGATATGAAGACCTATATAAAGAATGTCTGAGCATATCTGAAGAACTGCTCCGATTACCCTCGGTCATTGGACTAGCAAAGCATCTAAAGTCTCTCACAAGCACACTGGTGAACAAAAATCGTCTATTTCTCAGTCTTTTCTCAATTGTTTTGGGTGCATATCAATTTGCAGATGCTTCATCGCATTGTCCCCACCACCTTGGTGTTTCTCTCAAATGCATGAAATATCTGCTTACAAGAAATACATGATATGAAAAGATTAAAATACATGTTGTAGATAGAGATCTGACGAGTAACAATTCGTCTTTCGTTTAGGTGAGAAAGAGGTTCGTGGTAGACAATAAGTTTCTTGAACAGTAGGTTACACAATTTTCTGCGTAAGGCTTGAACACAATGAAGGCTTGAACACAATTCGGTGCAAGCATAATCTGAGAAAGGCTGATGTGCGATGACTACAAAATGAAGATTGTTTCTGTAAGTGATGATCGTGGAACAAAAATGATCGTGAACGAAAAAGAAAAATTCTACCGAAATTATAAAATAGTTAAACAAAATGAGCGAAAATTTTATCAAAGTAGGATCAATCACTTGAAAAATTGAAATGGGAGTATATTGACTGAAAATGATGCTGTAATTCTGAATTTTCCATGCGGTTTTCTCGCCCATAAACAATGATTTTAATTTTAGTTCCTAATTTTCCGAGGAACCTCATATTAAAGTTTTTCTTAAATTTTGAATAACACATAGTTAAAATATTATTTAAAACCGATTTCCAGCAAAACGGACATAGTCACATATTATTTGATTTTAAAGTGAATAATTGTTGTTCATTTCAAGTTCGACAATTTTAAATCAGTGTTTTGTTCTAGTAAAGGAAATATTATAAACACACAACGCTCCTCTACCACCACTAATATAGAATAAAGTGAACTTAATCTCCAGATAAAATTTTTCTTGTTTTCGAGTAATGTTTAAAAGCGTTCAGCTGAAAAAGTCGTGAAAAATGAGAGAAGTTTTCACGCCTTATTTATGTGTATGCAACCTCGTGGCTATTGTGCCTACAAAATCGTGAATGTAGGAGCAAAAATGGAATGTTACTAATTAGCCAACTGGAAGCCATATGCAATGAATAAGTAACTGCTCTCCTATGAAAGAAATATCCTAGCAGTGAGTAAACTATTCCTTTCGCAGTAAGTTTAACAGTGAGTAAGTTCAGTCAAAATAATATTTATTAATGAGCTTATTAAAACGATAATTTACATCTTTTTATATTTTAACATGAAGGAACATGGAAATTGTGGTCAGGGCAAAGCGGTAGTGACTTCAAAGCCTCGATTCCAAACCTCGAGTCGACGAAGCGAATTTTCGAGCAATTTAGCGAGGTACTCACGCCAACACACAAATTAGGCAAAACGATCCGAAATAAATGTATTGTTATTAATTATTTGCCTCTCATATAGCTTCATTGCAAAAGTGTTGTACTCAGATGTTGTACGTACTTTTGCATCCTCACTAACTTCATTCACATTTGCATAAAAATAATTATGGAGGCGGTTTCTGCATAAATAAATCATGAACGTCCAATTTCGCTGCGAAATTTCCCCAAAGACGGAATAATATATATGTAAATAATTTTTTACTGAACATACTTCTTCCGTGTACATAAGGTTGGGACCTTTTAGGTAGGACCAGAGTTGATGAGCTCAGGCAAAATCCAGTTTTAACCAACTTGCCCTAGATTGTTCAGCAATTTGGTACGTTATCATTTACTTATGTTGTGATCATTTTATTACATGTTAACCTCATATATTTTCTCTATATTGTTCATAATTTCGAATAACTTCAACTTTGAGTTCAAATTGTTCATTCTTTGTTTTCAGAAACCGTTACAATCCACAACGAGTTTTCATTCTGAACAATCCCCGAACAAATAGCCATATTCTTTATAATATATTTATAGAGGTAATTCATCAAGAAACGCATTTGATATCAATAACGCGATAATATTATAACCCAAGCATTATTGAGTTCGTTTCAAACATTCAAAAATTAGAATGATTCTTCAAACAGCCGTTTGAAAAAATCCAAAAATAAGTTGTTACATCAAGAATCGTCCTTGTAGAGCTCATAGGGCACCGCTATCACCACATCCTTCCGACATTGTTGACGCGCGACTGAACGCTGAGCAACCGGACGACCGGTGGGCAGTGGGCACCTCAAGCCAGGTGGTTGCCACAAGACCTAAAGTTTTATTTCATATCGTTCGTTGCATCAGTTCCTGCTCTGAGTCTAAGGCAGTCCATAATGAGACTATATGCAAAAATTTTATGGGATATTCTGAAGTTGAACGTTAGCAATTGGAGCTGTGGTGAGCAGTCAACAAGGTGAGCAGTCGCTGAATACATATCAAAGTTCTGTCCATATGAACCAAATTACCTGATACATTTAATTAAGCACTGCAATTAGTTTAATCTCCAAGTTCATACGAAAAGACAGGAAAAATTGTAATAGATAAATCAAATAAGATTCTCTAGGTTCGGGTAGTTTAGCAAGGAAATTATAGTAAATCGTGACAAGGATTGATTTTTTAAAAGAGGGAAGAAAGTTTCGTATCCGCGACTGCGTCGTTGGGCTCAAATTTTAAATCATCATTATAGGTTACCGAGATATAGGCATCACCGTCTCTTAGTTTTATTTAGCGCGAAGTCTGCCCATTGAGCGACTACGATGTTATCATAGAACTCAACTCGTTGCAAAACTTATTGATCCGCTTAACTCATAACATAAAATTACACGGAGGGAGATAAAGGCCCGGATGCTAAATAGGGCACTAGCACTACGAAGTAGCACTACGCACTACAAGCCGTAGTGCCTACTAGTGCGACATGGAACACTACGGTTGGCATGCTAAATAGGGCACTAGCACTATGAAGTAGCACTACGCACTACAAGCCATAGTGCGGCATGGAACACTACGGTTGGTATGCTAAATAGGGCCAAAAGCATAACGCGCACTACAAAAATCTGAAGTGTCCTACACACCGCGCTTCACGACGACACTTATTTAGCATACCAACAGGACACTTCGTAGTGCATAGTGCTACTTCGTAGTGCATAGTGCTACTTCGTAGTGCATAGTGCTACTTCGTAGTGCTAGTGCCCTATTTAGCATACGGGCCAAAGTATCTAAACTCGCTAAATGCTAGCCAGTAGTAACGCTGTATTCCGATCCCAAACTAAAATAAGAAAAATTATGAGACAGCATAAATTGTAATGGTAATGGTAATTTAAATTGTGTTAAGGTAATAGGTTAGGAATGGAATAAGAAATTTTGATTCAGTTCCCTAAATGGGTATTTTAGTCATTGCGCAAAAAAATTCCATTATATTGCTTATCCTTTATTTCTTTGATCCCTTGCTGACGCCATAGAAGATTATAATTGACGCTGAATTTAAATTTCACGATACCAGTGAAAATATTCGAGATCTGAATCTCCCATATTCTCGTATAAAACTAGTTCGTCAATTTAACAATCTCACAATATTGTGGGGACATTATTCTGTGCATGCGCACTAGCGCACAGTATTTTCTATCATGAGTTATTGATGCAAACTGTTATCACTCGATAGTTCACAACTTCTTCTTAACGAAAATGTATATTCACATTGAACTTATTTTGTTTTATATGCTTTCTAGTTTGACCTCAACATCAGCCTCTCATCTGATCTTGTAATCTGGAACAAGCCGCTAATCTGATTTGTATAGAACGCAGCAATGTTTTGGTTGATCGAATTAAATAAGTTTATCCAGACATTCGTTTTCTTCATGTGCAAAGTTGTCATATCTTCTATAAATCAATAAAGGATAAACTATTTTCAAGTGCATCATACATATGTCATTGTTAGCACACGGTTGGCAGCAAAACCTAAGCTAATGTATCTATTTTGTGGGCTGATTTTTCATTTTTATGTCCCCATAAACTACAACTACAGAGGCCACTCAGTCAAAACTGCCAACGCCTCGCCGCTTGTCACTTAAAACCATATAATACAGGTCAGGGCTACGATTTGTAGTGTTCGATAATGACAGCTAATCTGTTTGGATTGTACCAGATTACAGCAAGAGAGATGTGGTTACGTCTTGTTTATAAGATAGATCGTTTCTATCGAAGGCCGGTGACTTTAGTGCAACCGGCGATATTATCGGCAATGACGGTATATTTTGATTAACGGCTTCATTCAATATGAAGCCGTTATATAATATACATTCAATTAGCACGTAATTTCGGTGGACGAATACAAACAGCGCCCCTAGAAGTCCGCAGACAAGTCTGAAAAATTATATTTATTTGGTGATTCGTCAGCAATTTAGTTGTAAATGGTAATACTTAGAGCAATATGTGGGATTTACTGAACAATTGATATTCGAGTTGAAGTAATGAAAAATCACCAGGATATGCATTTCGCTTTGTTTTTTTCTTAAATTGAAGGTGGAATAAGAAAACCTGCATGGATTGTTAGTGGAAGGAAGAATTTCCGGAGCTTAGTCCATTTCTCAAAAATCATCTATAGATGTTGTCATCGTAGATTAATGACGATGATGATAGTACTCAGAGTCAAGGAGCTCATGTTAGTTTCATGATCAAGATTGAAGATTCAAGTTTCGTTGAGAAATCATACGCAATAAATGTTTTACAGCTTGAAGATCATTGTTTTTTTGTAGATGATTAGACATAATTTTATTTTTAACTTCTTAAGCCTTAATCAACCAAAGGTACTTGTCGCTCACGATTATTTTCACAAATATATGTGTACGATTTATTTCATATTAGAAAATTTTTCATGAATTTTTCAGCATTCCCGATATTGTGCCCGATAGTTGAAAAATTCATTGAAACGAGTAACACCCACCCAAGAAACATGTAAGCAAACATCTCCCTCAGGTCGAATGGAAAATCGTGTTTGAATTCCGTTTTGAACAAAGCAGTAAAAGTGTCTGTAGGGAAAAAAATAAATTTCATGAATGAAAGCGTCAATATCAAATAGTTAAATAACTACTTATAATATCAAAATACACACCCTAATATTCATTTATTTGTGCAGATTTTGCCGAAGATAGAATTCAATTATAATCGAAGACTTTTTTCATTTTTTTAATTGGGTAATTATTAAGATGGTAAACATTATTCATTATGAGGTAAAGTAATTATCCACCTCCAGAAACGTTACAAAAAGTATTATTGGGAATTAAAGAACAGCACCTGCCCTGACTACACTAGTATAGTATATCAACGATATATTTAAAAACATTTTTACTTGTGCGACAAAATAAGTTTTATTGCTTCAAAACTGGAAGAAAGAAGACGAGAAGCGGACAAGATATGACACATTTAGTTAAAGTAAAGTAACAATTATTAAAAACTAGAAACCAGTGAAACTACTTCTACATTATAATTAGAAGAGTAAGTTTTATTGCTTCGAAACTGGAAGAAAGAAGACGAGAAGCGGACAAGATATGACACATTTAGTTAAAGTAAAGTAACAATTATTAAAAACTAGAAAGCAGTGAAACTAGTTCTACGTTATAATTAGTAGGATCTGTGAGTACTTTGGCCGTAGTAGAAAACAGCGAGCAGACGAAACATAACAGCACCGCAGAAAGCGGCGAAGAAACCGCGCCAGTAGTTGCGCACGGCGAAGTACTCTGACGTGACCTCGATGCTGAAAAGCACGCCTGTCATCGAGTTGAAAAATATTTTGAGAACTTTGACAGTAGATAAACTGGGTTTTATCCATAAGTCCGACTTCAAGGAAGTGCAATACGTATAACAATGTGATCTGCTACTTAAACAGCGATAGTAAGTTTTTGAATGAACAATATTCTAGTTAATATATCCATGATATACACTCAAAAAATGTTAGACCTCCGTTCTATACATGGAGACAGCATTTGTATAGCTTGATGCTAATTTATTCGCCCCGGAATTAGGGGATAAATTTTAGTAAGATATTGGTAAAATGAAAATTTGTCAAGGCACGAAATGGAAAAGAATCGGCGACAGGCCACATCAGGCCTACACTTCAGAGCCGACATCACTATGTTATGTTATGTTATGTTATGAAACCCTTAGCTTCCCTGAAATCATTTCTAATGCTATATATATATCATGTAGATGTAAGTAATATTAATCATGGATATGAAAATTTTTCCAAAACGAAAACTTTACAATTTTATTTGTCTTTATTATATTCATCTCTTTGTACAGTGACAGTGCAGCAAATGCCGAGGACAGACTGAACCATAACAAGAAACCTTCAAGCAAAACATGAAATATGACGATTTACACTTACACATCACGATATTATTACAGTGCACTTCTGGTACAATAAAAAACACGAGAGCAGGCATGAGTTTCAAAAAATAAAATATCGCACGTAAACTTTCGAAAATTTTCACGCTGGGAAAATCAATAATTTGATTATTGATTAAGGTTGATTAAAATCAACCTTGAATTAAGAAAGAAAAAAGATGTTTCAGTTATTTCGAATTATGTTATAGGCTTGAAACAGGTGAGCGTGAGTTCAACAGCTTCTGTAGTTATGTGGATTTATAATCTGTTGATAACCTTATTTATTTCCGGGTAATTAAATGTGATTTTACAATTATGAAAATAGCCCGCTCTAATATAAACCGACCAAGCATTAGCTAACAACTAGTGGGTTGTTAGCTAATGTAAATTGATAGAAATGGTGAACAAATATTTTTTTAATGTCTAATAATATAATTCATATGCCGAAATATGATAATCAACATTAATATCCTAGTCTTTCTATGGATTGCAAAAATTCTGCTTAAATATCTTCATTCTTAACGATTAACGAAGGCAATCTATAAATTAATTCTTCTGTGGATTTTTCAAAACAAGCATTCCACTTCGCAGATCTCTTTCCGTGATGTGCTTCAAGTAAATACAATCCCATCCCTTGCTCGCATCCAGCTTGGTCGTTGGTATCCTGCATCAGTTGAAAACTCATACAAATTTCGAACGCAACTACCGCCGATTCCCTGTGTCATGTTCGGAGTAACCCTCAGTTTTCCCAAGCCTCAGATTCTGTGCCATGAGCGCAACGTTGCTTTCTTCGTCGTTTACGTCGACGCCTTCGTCGGGACCGACGTCGTCGTTGGGCTGCGGGGTGCCGTTGTTGATGGCTTCGATGGCTGCGCGTAACTGATGTCGATGTAATAAAGACGGTAACATTATATATTAACTGAGAATAATTGAAAACAAAACGGAGATGATAAAATATAGTAAAAAAGCGTGCAATATGAGAATGATATGATAGTGATATTTTTTGCCCGTCTGATCACAATTCGAGCAGTGCTGTATATTCCACTTAAAACAGTATTTTCAGTCTCAGTTCATAACTGAATAATGAAGAAGCAAGCTATGCAAGGAGCGATAGTTGTTTAGTCAAAATTCGCAAAAACGCTTTTGAATCAATAAATATGGATCAAGGTTCAAATGAGAAGAAAAAATTTTTCTCGACAAATAGGAGATAATATTGTATCGCATTATGGAAGAAACATGAAAAATAAATAAGGGTTTTTGATTTAAGCCATTTTTAATTTGATTCATCAAAGTTTAATTAAATAAATCCCATCATTTTTCAAAAGTTTAAGTGCAAGTAAAATTATTTACAAATATCAAATAATAATTAACATAATAAAGTAATAGCCCGTTAATAAACTTGAAGCAATATATTCTTATCAAATAAAGACGCTGGTTTGATAATTGATGTGAACTGGGAATCCTGTTATTCCCAATCCCTTCATTCCCGTAGTATCTAATCCTGTGAAAATATAGCTTAAGTTTCTAATTAAAAGCGAACCTTTCATACCCACATTTTATGTAGAAGATAGGACTCCTATTTTAAATGGCTTCAAAAAAAGAAATCCGCCCACTCACACACACAAGCAAACAAACTTCAGCAAATGTATGTATATGAGGTTTCCTCTTAAATTCTTCTCTTAACTATTATTCCTGTAAAAAGATAATCCGTCTTTTCTCATCAATCCCATGCTATGATATTCATTTTGAATCAAATAAAATTTGTTACTGTCATCCAATTTTCAATGCAGTTCTCGGGTACAAAGATGGAATTTAAATCATCCCCAGTTTGAAAAGAGATATGACATGAGTGATGCAGCAAGACTTACTTCCTTGAGCGCGACGACGCCGATGAGCCGCCCGAGCACCGTGACGTAGGCGTGATTTTGTCCAAGCAGCGAGAACAGCGAGTGAACCTGAGGGTGTTGACATTAATACACATGCAGTGCGTCAGTTGAATCGATGATGAAGACGTGCAATTACGATGAGCTGCTTGAGGTTAAATTTTCGTGTAGTATACAGGAGGATAATTTAAAAAGTATGGTGCACACTTGCAATCCACCATTTTAAGCCTCTACTTCAGAGATTACCCTTCAATATTTATTTTCCAGAAGTATCTACAGGATTATAGAACGACTTTAACAAATTTACCTTAATGAGTGAGGTACTCTCGACCAGCTGGAACGGTGAGGGGTCTATGGGACAGGTGGAAAAATCCACGGTCTCCTTGTAAACTTTCTCCTCGAACTTTGACTGCTCCAGCGCCGACTGTTCCATCACCTGCTTCCAGCGCTGATACCGAAAAATCAAGTTAAAACAACAATAGATTATGAAGCACAGCTGTCTTGTTTCTTCCCCAGTCCTTAACAATTACTCACACCGCTTGATATTTCATGCGAAATAAATTGGTCATAACAAATAAGTATAACTTGCATAACGACAGCAGCGGTGGAAATACCATAGCCCAGAAAAACTGATAGAAGACTATTGGGTCAGAAGCGAGAAGTGGTTGAGTTACTCTAAAATTTTCTATAAATTTAACTTAGTGACACGCTAAAATTTTATCTTGAAATTACCAGAGACAAGTTAGATTTAATACTGCCAGTGGGCGTGTCGTTGGGCATCATTTTTCTCCGAAGAGCATCCACAGCCGTGCGCCAGTTTCTGAAATTAATGAACAAAGTATGAGACTAAGAGGACATATTTGGGTGTCATCATCTTTAAGTAGTGCGACATAAAAGTAATATACAGTTACCGATCAACAATGAATGATAATTAGCAAAAGAACGGGAGATAATTTTCATGAATAAAAAATACAACTAAAAAATGTAACAATATTAATTGAATTCTGTGGTCACATAAGAATGAAAATTTAAGGGTTTACAAAATGCGCTTATGATAGCGGTATACAATTATATACCGTTTGAAAATTTTTAAAAATTCACATATTCAAAATTAAAAACAAACTTGAAGAGCATGCAGAGAAGGAATTGAGAGTTTCAACAAAATAAGCATATATTCCGCTATGCAATTGACCGGAAAACAATGTACACCCACTTGGAAGTGTCACCGTGGTAAGTAGCGTAGGTAGGCCCCCGCTGCAAGGTGGAATTCGATGAATGATCATCGGATTCCCGGGCGTTGATGGCGGTTTTCTTGAGAATGCTCCTGCGTGGCTGCATCGAGCGCTCGGAATTTTTTTTTCTTCGTTGATGGCGGTTTTCTTGAGAATGCTCCTGCGTGGCGGTATCGAGCGCTCGGAATTTTTTTTTCTAAGAACTACTGGCTCTCCTTGGGTTTTTAATTCCTAAAAAAATGAAGGAATCTAAATTTTTTACATAATCGCATCGAGTTTAGCGAGAATCGTCGGTTTAAATTATTGGGTTAGAGGAAAAATTTTCGGTTAGTAATGTTATGAAACTTCGAAACCGAATTAAAAAATAACATAAACTTCATGCATAAGGCAAACTGGTAAACTTCAAAGAAGCATGACTTTTAAAAAGTAGCATTTCTTGCTTTAGCTAGCAACGGTTTAATAATAAAGCATGTAAAACATATATGGACTCTAGATGCGGCAGACGTTGCATCTTTTCTATATCTGTTGCTTTCGACACACAAATTATTTGCACAAACTAACCTTCTCTTACAGCAAACGTATGCGCCGCACTAGAGCGAAAATGTTCAAATAAGAATAATCTTATTTGAAGATATAATACCTTAATATTATTACAGATATCGTAATATTATAATAGAATTATTTAGTAGCCCTTAATTATGATGAAGGCTCGTGACTTGCCTCGTTACTAACAGTAACTACACAGGATCCGGTGCCAGGCGTAGAGTGAGTTGCGCTCCCATTGTGATGCGCCGCCAAGTTTCCATCTTTGTCAGTCGGTGAGTTTTCAAGATTCGTGGGAGCTTTAGAGAAGTTCGTGTCTACTGCTTGAGCTTTTTTATGAGCCTCCTCAAGTAGATTATCAATTGTTGTTGCTATGTCTGCTTCTGGATCCAATTTTTTCTCCGGGTTTACTGAAGGTACACCAATCGAAAAAGCTGGTGCGTCCGAAACTCCGGATGCATATTCCGTTTCATTGGCAGCACCAGATGACGTGTCAATGGGTGACAAAACTCTAGTGACCGCGAATCTTGAATTTTTCCTTACAAGCTCAGGTTTCTTATCATCTTGGTGAACCGATGAACCATGACTGCCTCCTGTAGATCTTTGGGTAAGTTCGGACTTCGGTTCATCGGGTTGTATAGGCTGGTCAGGCGGTGAAATTTTAGCTAAATTTGGCAGGGAAAAAGTTTCTTTGATTCCTGGAGCCGCGTGCTCGGTGGCCATCTGATGAGGGCTAATGGTCGACGGGGAGCCGCTTAGTGCTATGGTCGAGTCGTTTTCCACCTCAGCCATCGATTTTGACTTCAATCGGTGCTTTGGATATGCATGATATTTATATAATGATATGCCTACAATTCGTATATTCCGTAAATTCTTTTTAATAAAATATTATATACCTACTACATACATGGAATAAATATAATATATAGCAAATATTCATGATTGGATTTATTGTGCTTATAGCTAGCTACTAAGCATTTAAAAAATAAATTGCCAGAACAGACCAACACGGCAAAAATCAACGCAGCAACTGACTTGATAAATAAAACTGAGCTCACCTCCACAGAGTTTTCAGACGCGCTATTTCTAACGCACTCAGGCATTAGACTTTTGAGAGAACTTGACGAAAGAGACTTGAGCGACTGTAGCCTGGGACTCGTACTCGTCAGGGTATCGGTCGACGGAACGGAGGAAGCGTTTGTAACTTTTTCCAGCTGCGCCGAAAGCCCAGAGTTCAGTGGTCGGGACTTGATGGATTTGCGCAACACCCGCAGGTCCTCGAGACTGCCTGCACATTGCGATATAGATGGACAACCAATGCGTAATGGAACCATCACTTGACTGGCAATGCAAAAAAATTTACTCAGCAGTATTATTGTAATCAGTGAAAGGAAAATAAAAAATTAGTAGCATGGTAGGAAATATTTTCATATAGAGCGGAGTTCACGAAACATTCGTGGCATGAGCATGACGGGCTAACTATGTATGCACAAAAAACTCTTTGGTGCTTAAATAAACAGCAAAAGACTAAAAGAAATGTAAATTTTTATGTAATCAAGATGAATCATTTGAAGTATGCATGTTTACCTATTTAAAGACACGAACGTTATTCTAAGTCGGTGAAGTGAGTATACAAAAAATCTGTTCAACTATTTGTCAATCAATTCCCGTAATTCCCGGACAACTAATTTACCACTGTTAGAGATTTTTATGTGTTATCCTTGCTAATGTGAAACTCACTTGATCTTCGTCGCATTCTGGGAACATTCTTAAGTTTATTTAGAGTCGATGAAGACCGCGAGGTGAAGTCAAAAACGTTCTTGATTGAGGTTTTTCTAGAAGGTTGAGCTTCCTGTGCTCTGAAATACAAATAATATTTCCATGTATTAAATTTTATGATACTATTCCTTAAGATTTCATTTGAATAACACAAATTTATACTGAAATCACCATCACTTATTTAATTGAACAGGACCTCACATGATACATGAAGGAGGCATATGCTTATGACGACTAGATCATCTTCTTAATTGTCAAATTTGACACTAAAAAGAAATTGTATGTAAATGATTTGCGAAGCGTAGATGGCTTAGAAACAGAACACAATATGAGTTACGTTGAAAACTGACAGTAGATAAAATATACATAGATAATCAATATCATCGGAATAATTTGAAAAGTGATAAAAATAATAAAAATTATTATAAGTCGAGACAATGCTCAATCCGACAATATTTTAGTTTCTGTGATCTAATTAATCACGGCGTTAAGAAGTAGAAAATTCATCATAAACCATACACGTTATTCTGTAATAAATGCCGCTCGTAATCTTTGAGTCTCAAGCCAAGTATCAATAGGCAGCTTCAAGTGTTTCATTGGTCGCCACATCTCTTGAGCCAAGCTTCAGTTTTCATTAGTTATTTTTTTCTTCAAACTTCTCCCTAAAAATAAGTAATTTTTCTAATTTGAATGTAATTTGCTAAAGTTTTCAAGCAATGAATACGAGTGAGGCAGGTTTTACTGACTTCTTAATGGCCAGTTTCCAGGCAGCGGAGAACTGTCCAGTGTCCCTACACTGCTCCAGTTTAGCTTGCAGTAGCGAGATGAGAGCGTCTCGCTGGATGGACCCAAGCAGAATCATCGATGCTGCAATGGAAAAATACTTGGAACAATTCTTTGCATCAACTTGTGCCACTTGTACTAATTTAGGTTCATTCTAAAAATTCGAGCAATGAGAAATAACAAAATCGAATAATATTTAAATTACTTGAAGAATTGATTCGTTTATACTAACTGAATATGCACGATAAATCATCACGCCACTTACTCGGCGAATCAACGAGCGGCAGTGAGCTTATTTTGCCGGAAGCAAGCAGCGTGTCTTTGAGTTGTTTGTAGGTGATGCCGTGGTAGATATACTTCACCTTCCTGACCATGAAGCGTTCAACGAAAATGTCGTAGGCGTCTGATGCAGATGTTAGAATTTCGGGCAGGTAGGGCAGGTTTTTGATAAGAATGATAGAGTCGTAAATTGAGGGTTGAAGCAAAATTGCTACAGCATTGGCAGTTAGCACTGCTATCTGAAATACCAAAAATAATACATGCATTTACACAAAGCTTTTCCGAGGGAAGACAATGCAGAAATCTTACTGTATCATGTAAGAGTAGCAATATATAGTGATTGAACCACGCAATATGAATAAAAATGCTATTCTTAAAACTAAAAATAATTTTACAGAGAATTTAAAAGCAAAGAAAACGCCAAGAAAATTTACCATAGCTTCAGAGGTCAACCCAATCATTGCATTAACAAATTTTTTAGAGTACAAGTACAATATTGTACTTTGCATCAGTGAAAAGCTAGATATAAATATACACGGAAGAAATTAAAATCAAGGTAATGATTGTACATGTATACAATAAAAGTTTTTGAAAATTATGATGGATGTGGTCGCAGGTACGTTTTAATGAAGATATTTGGAAAATAATTTTTGTTTAGAACGAGTGTTCCTTAACAATTAAAATGAAACTCATTCAATGAACAACTCGCAGCGTTTTTTCGTGGCTTCCTTACAAAAGAGGAAAAAATGCATTACAAACGCCTGAACAATTAAATATTTAACAATAGGCACTGAATTTTATGTTAGTATACAGTATACCCACTATGATATATACTAGATTGATAATTAAATTCACTAAAGCTAATGTATCTCTTTACCATGACGGGCGCTAGGTGCGTGATCTGTCCCGTGAGCTCGAAGAGGATCACTGACGTGGAGATGGTGTGCGTCGTCGCGCCGGCAAAGGCCGCTGCTCCTGCCACCGAGTACGCGCCTGTGACAAGACAAATTAAAATGCTTGCGGAGCTTAAGCGGGAATATAATAAAAGGCCTGCATCGTAGGATCCGGTTTAATCCTTTGTAACCGATGTCTTGAACACGGCTATGTCCGCCGCCGGCGCTTCCAAATTGGAGCCTGCATAAATTAAGCTTGCAGAGTCCAGTTTGTAGGCTACCATTTCTTTGTCTATACAAAAGTAAGAAAAATTCATAAACAATAGAAATTCAGGATTACTTTCAATCGTCTCAGGTGCAAGCAGGGCTAGAGGCCTAGATAAAGGTACATTTTGTACGTTATGTTTTCCGTTTCAATTACAAAGCGAAAAATCATTCATTTAAATAGCAATTGTTACTCCAATAAAATCATAAAAACACGCTGATTATAATCACACCTGGGATTACGGAGTGCACGAGGGCACCAGAACCGATGCCTGTAGGATTAACATAGGCCATGAACTCGCCCAGAATCCGTCCTATTGCAGCGCCGATCTTCAGGAATGGAATAGTGACGCCCGCAGGGATGGGTAGCGTGCTCGCTACCACCAACCAGAAAAACTGCGGTGCATAGTTTTGGTAAACTTACTGAAAATATTCTCTTATGATTTCATTTGACATTTTCAAAATGGTGCATAATTTTAGTAAACTTACTGAAAATATTCTCTTGTGATTCATTTGACATTTTCAAAAAGCTCTACAGTAAAACTTTTATAAGCTTTACATTATGGAGCAACTCACTATAAAGACGGAGTACAGTACGAGGTTGACGAATATGCCGGTCCATGGCGTCCTCCAGTGCTGGACGATCTCGAACTGCTCGGGGCTGTGCTGCTCGCTCACCCACGAGAAGTTGCTGAATAAATCCATAACCTGAGCAACAAACAATATGAAAAGAAGATATATTCCATTAAAAATTAGTATTAGAAACAAGTTAACCTAATTGTAGTCGTTTCAGAAAGGAAAAATTACATGTGAAATTAATTTTAACACCGATTAATATTTTATATACACGTATGGTATGGCAAATATACACGTATGGTATAACGTATATTTACACTCCGTGAAATTGAAATGTAAACTATCATACAAAGTAAAGTTACAGCTAATAAAAATCGATATTTTTCAATCTATCTCGATCAACTATCTATCTATCTATCTTTGAGCGCACTGTGCAATTAATTCTCAATTTTAAAAGGCGCCGTAAAAATTAAATACGAACTGACGCTCATATCCACAATTAAGATTTTAAATTGAATTTTCTTTGATATAATTATTCACAAACATTCCACAAATTTAATGATTACGCTATTATTATTCCAACTTGTGTCAAAAACTCGGCATTTCCTTGTTCACCTGGCGGGGGGTGGACAGCTCCCCAGCCACGAACTGCCCGTACCCGAGGGGGAAGGTGAGAGAAGAGTAGACCAGCGTCACCAGGCACGGGTACATCAGGCGGCTGTTGAGGGTATGTCAGCACGGTGATGTCAGCACGGTGATGTCAGCACGGTGATGTCAGCACGGTGATGTCAGCACGGTAATGTCAGCGCGGTGATGTCAGCACGGTAATGTCAGCACGGTGATGTCAGCACGGTGATGTCAGCACGGTGATGTCAGCACAATGATGTCAGCACGGTGATGTCAGCACAATGATGTCAGCACGGTGATGTCAGCACGGTGATGTCAGCACGGTAATGTCAGCACGGTGATGTCTGGTGATGTCAGCACGGTGATGTTAGCACGGTGATGTCAGCACGGTAATGTCAGCACGGTGATGTCAGCACGGTGATGTCAGCACGGTGATGTCAGTCAAGACATTCTTGACATGTACCTTATGCTGTTATCTTACTAATTTAAAATTTTTTGTTGCTTTCTATTCAGATTCGACTCGATTATTATTCTTCTTAATTAATGATATTGTCTTTAACTTCATCCGAAGGCACTGATGATGGATTTGGTTAGCGAGCATTTAGGTTATTTCCGAACGCTGTTTTCGCTGTTAGCATTCATTTAAACGCTAAAATATTTCGACGCATTCGATATTGATTGCTACCTTATACTTCATTAGTTTCACACAATTTTTTTACGTTTCTCCAAAGTATAATAAGTACATTTATTATGAAAACAAATGAAGATGGAATTTTAATTAAAAAAATTTTCGTAAATCTTCAGCTTCGTCACAGGTTATTGATTAGGGAAAATTTGAAACTAAAAATATAAGAGTCAATCAATTCAAAACCGAAAATTCACTTAATATACGCTTCAAAAAACTAAAAATTTTGAAGCAAAAAAATTAAAAAAAATCATAATTAACCATTGAATACTAAGAACACAATTGAATATTGATTCGGCTTCTTTCGCTGGTATTTTTGGAGTTTGGAAATGATAATATATCTGTTCTCTGCAAATTTTTCATTTTAATTTCAGTTCATTTAAATGAAATATACTTTACTTCTGAACTATTGATTGATTGACATAGCCACTACTTACTATTTCTGCAGGAAATTCTTGACTTTCTTGTTGCGCCGCATGAAGAGCACGTAATTTCGGTGCACGAATACAAACAGCGCCCCTAGCAGACCGCAGACCAGACTGGAAAATATATTTTATAGATATATTTACTCTATTGATACATTTACTATATAGATATATTTACTCTACAGATATATTTACGACAATTCTTTGATAGGTCATGAATATTGAATCATGGTGAAACGCTTTTAATTTGATTTTAACATATACAGACGAAAAAAAATGTGGAAAGTAAGAAAATTTTATAATAAATTTTGATACATTTCGAATCGATTATAAACTTATCGATAAATCAGTAAATTTAAAATATCTTCGTATCCAACGTTCAAGATAAATTCACAGAAAATGTGTAAAGAAAAATGTGCAGCTGAGGCTGAGAGCCTTCGTCCATACATAAAATAAATAATATAAATATATTAAAATATAATTAATATAACGGGCAACGTCTCAGAGCAATACTCCTGTGGTCTCACGACCGAAATAAATAGAAATCGTGCAAAACTCTATCAAGTTCTGATTATTAATCTCCTAAATTTTATACACATTCAAGTTTTTGCTGGCTTGTATAAGAAATAACACTCAGCACAAAGCAAACTATATTAAACTATTGTTTTTCCACAGCAACCTTTTTATAAATCATGTGCACATAACGCACGTTATTGTTCAGTGTTCATTTCTTTAGCTATGATATCAATCATGAATTGCTAAACCTTAGAACAGTAGAGATATAAATGATGTATATATCTCACTAAAATAATTCAAAATACTCACCCAAGGAACATGTACGCAAAGATTTCCTTCAGGTCGAATGGGAAATCTGATTTGAAGTTCGTCTTGAACAAAGCCGTGAACGTTTCTGTCACAGGAACGCATAAATTTTACTTCCACAACATTTTAATAAATCAGTCCATAAATTTAGTTTTCCATAATTACAGGCTGAACTAGACGTATATCTCTTCAGAATTCATTCAAGTTTTGCAATGAAGAACTGCACGTGTTAAAGAATCACACTATCAATCCATGCATGCAAAAAACCTGAGCTCTTTCGTCAGCATGATTTGTGGCCTCGGAGCCACAGTTGAGATCGACGAAACTGTTACATAGGCTGGCATTGTCCGCTTAGGTTAGGATACTTATTTCCATTATGATGTCTTAATTGCAATTTTAATGCAAAAAAATGAAGTTGGCTTGTCGGTAAAATACGATATAGGACGGACTTCAAACAAGACCTTTGACCATTAGTGCGAAATAAATTGCATATTCTCTACAAGTGCCTCATTCTGCTTGAGACATAATAACGTTTCAAAGTGTGAATCTAAATTGTAACTGCGATAAATCGTTGGATTCGTTACATGGCTCAACTCTTGGCGGCACAAGAAGTATGAATATAAGTGAGTGAATTGAAGTGGAGTGGAGTGAGTCGAATCGAGTGGAATGGTTAAGAATCGAATATATCGAATACAGTAAAAAGTAGCTAAATAATAATATAATAAATGTTGAACAAATTTAAATACTTGGGCTTGGAGTATTAACAAACTCATTTAATTCAAGAAGGAAGACCAATAATTAGCGAAGAGTATTTATTTACCTTGTCCGTAGTAGAATACGGCAAGAAGGCGGAACATGACCGACCCGCACACGGCGGCGAAGAAGCCCCGCCAGTAGTTGCGCACGGCGAAGTATTCCGCCGTGACCTCGATGCTGAAAAGCACGCCTGTAGCCAAGTAAATTGCAATTAAGTGGCGTATTTACTGATATATAATTGCTCTTATTGTCTAACATCGAAGCTGCATAGCAGCCTGTCGCTGTGTAGAGCGGTCTTCACAGCGTCATGGACGACACTGACGCCAAATCTCTCCATCTGACCACATTGAAGATGCTTCATGGAGACGTTGAGCTCCCTATAAATTTCAGCATCTTGTAGAGTGTTGTTATTATTAAAAGTCGTTAATTTAACAAAAACTTCGATCTTTTCATAACGCTACAAAAGTCCATCCCCACACTGGCAATGGTACCAGGAATTGGAAGTTAAAATTGTCATGAACTTTCCTCCAAGCTGCAACCGCTCTCTGAAGTCAGGCGCCAAAATAGAAAATGCAGACTTCTTGAGTGACAGCCAGCGCCCGAGGTACAACAAAAATGACAACTACAGACAACTTGGCTGATGTTCAGAAGCTCAAAACTAAAATCCGCATTTCGATGTTCGATTTAGAGCCGAGAACAGAGCCGGCCATCCCAGCCTATGGGTCAACATTGACAAGCCCGAACAGTGGAGTAACGTTTGATTGATGTACGTAATCGCCAACCATGTTCCGACGCTAGTTAGACCCTGCATTCGTCGACTCGGCGACCTAGCACAAGTCACATCGAATGAGAAACCACTAGAATCTAATAATGAATAAATTTTTCATAGCACATAACATAACACTGAGCAGGGTGGCCCTGGTGAGCAGGGTGGCCCAGGAGTTACATACAGTACCAATTAAGTCTGGAACAATGAGTTGTGGGTTCGATCTTAGCAAACTGCGGCATTTCCGGTAAAATCGGTGAGGTGGCAAGACAGTTAAGCACAGCAATATTAGAAAGCGAGTTGCGTATTCTAGACCGCAACAAGCTGTGACATTTTTATGATGAATCGGTAACAGGTCGAACGGCCTAATCAACGCTGACAGCGCTATACTGCACTACCATACAATAACAATATAACTGTTATCACCTCCTATAGGAGCAGAGAAGGCGCTGGCGACTCCCACGGCCGCGGCCGCTGCCAGCATCTCTGTCTTGCGGGACTCATTTAGGCTCACGCCCTGGAGAGAAGAGAACACGCTCCGGAGCTGCGTCGCTACCATGCTCGCAATGTGCACGAACGGACCCTGTGCAATTAATGTACATTAACTCGTTAAAATCTCTTGCAGAAACCTCCTTGCATAATTAAAAAGGTAGATATTACGTCGGGATTTGAGTCTTTAGAAATATAGTCGAGAAGAGCAGGGCCGGACCCTTTACATACAATACAACAAGTTCATTCACGCAAACTCGTACGCATCCGCACCTCATCCCAATGAGTTATTGAGGAGCCGAATAAAACAAATAAAATTTTATACCATTTTTTCCCTTCACCCGCAGCTTAGCACTTCACATGACTCATTGGCGGAAATAAGAATTCATTACCTATCACCTCGGACGTATTCTCTTCCAGGTCAATATTTTCACCTTATGCCCTTGGCCAATTTCAACATAAGCAACTTTATCATACGCGTCTTGTAATTTTCATTGATATGTAATGTCATTTATGAATACACGAGACCGCATTGGTACCTTCTAAAGCACTGACTCAAAGTTCTCGGCCACACAGCGATGAGTTGAGTAAGAGTGTAAGACGAACTATAAGAAGCAGATAACGAGAATATAGCGACAACACCTACCACTTTGCCGAGTGGCAGACCGGACCCGAGAGTGGCGGTGAGGCCGACGAGTTTGGCAACGAGTGTCCGCCATGTGAGGTACTCCTTGAGGACCACGCCCCTCATTATGGTCTTCATCTCAGGGATCCCGGACCCTGGTTTGTGGGGAAACATTACTGCAGAAATATACAACGATGAACAAAATCCAACCAAGTTAATGTTAGGATTACTAGCTACATGTATAAGAATTAATTAAATAAAAACAATTCCCGCAAATGGAAAAACAGCGTAGCAGAGAAAGCAATTTGCAACGTAGCCATATAAAAGCAGCGAAGGCCCGTGCAGCAGGAAAATTGCATGCTCAATGCTGTGATAAGGAATGTGTGGCGAGAAGTCAATTATAGATATGTTATCAAACTATTATTCGGAACAGAAGAGAAGTTATTTCAATTTAAAGTCAGATTACGGAAACAGTGCCAGTTTACTAAAAACTTCACGAACTTTTCTTAATTCTCCATTACGTATTTCATATATTGGGTATAACGTACCTCAATTCAAATAAATCTTATTTGACAAAATCCTGTGTTATGCAAGCAGCAATTGAAATAAAATAATGCCTTTCCTCATTGCTTCTGTAGGGCGCATCTTTTGTTTAGATATACATTTTTAAAATCAATTACTATTCTATTGAGTATAGACTGATTTACACGACATACGTGAAAAAACAATCACATTCGGCGTGTAGTACGCGCCGGATTCTCAATTGTTTAAGTTCCTACCATGATGAATGATGCGAGTTTCCCTCGTTGCCGACGCCTTCATAAACTCTGTACTATTTTCGTCTGACCGTAAAGTTGTGATAAATAATTTTGTTAATGGAGTAAACTCCACATACTCTATGTAAGAATAAGTTCAGCTCAACGACCAGAATTAATTTCAAGATACACTGTATATAGGATGAAAATGTTTTGAGAAATATAATTATTTATTAACATCTCACCGATAGCCTGAGGCGCGACGAACTGTGTAAAGGATGCAGAGAAGAGCACCAGCATGACAGGCAGGGTGACCCATGCGATATATTTCTGGAAGACCCCCGTCGTCAGCTCGCTGTACGCCCACAGCTGCGCTGTAGTGATCAGCACAGAATCACATTTTTAGAAATGTGAAATTTGCGAAAATGTATTTTATTTTGAAAAATTTTCAACAACAAAAAAGTTGTTGAAATTTTTTCAACCAAACATATAATATTACGACTACAACTGCAACCAAAAGTTCACGTTGATTGGGCTCTAGTCAGTGAATATGGATCAGCATATATGGTACCGCTTATTAGAACAGTTCAATATATTTAATTTAAACTAGATTCATCCTCTGTTTCAAACTTTAATAATTACAACAATAATCAAATAATGTAAATATTTGTTAAAATAATAAATAAATGTTATATTCGGATCACCTTTATTGCAGGTCGCTATGCCCATATCCATGAAGAGAGAAATACACGCAACGGTCATGCCGAGGGAGAGAAGGAAGGCCCAGTCGCCTTTCCTGACGAAGTTTGTGAAGAACTTCCAGCCGCCGTGGCGCCCGCTCGCCGCCCACCGCCGTAGCCAGTTGCGTCGTGGCCTCAAGCCTGCCGAAGCATAAAGCTTTTATGTAAATCACTTCAAAATAAATATTCATTTTATTTCAATTACGTTTAGAATAAACCACGCTTATGGGAATGATTAAGTACTTTCGGGCTCCCAGTTCATCAGTAAAAATTTGGAGTAATAAACGAAAATTTGTTGAAAATTCAAAGCATAAATAGCAAATTTATAAGCAAAACCTGCAAATTTTAAAATAATAAAAAAAACTTGAATATAGTTATCTAACGTTAGCATCAGTTGTGTCAGGCATTTCTGTAGGAAACATGAATTTTATTTGACAGAAATTCAATGAATACGGCTTGACCAAAATCTCTTCCTAATTTACATGTACAAATCTTATTCAAATATCGGGTACGAAATTACAACTCAAAGTCCGCTGGCAGGCACACCAGTCTACGTTCACGCACTCTTGCTATCATGATGAATATTATCAAGCGTGTCCCCCGTTAAAAGGGGCAATAAATTAAAAAATATTGTACAATAGTCTATTGGCGGACTTATAATACGAGGATCTCACCTGTGGGGTCAATTTTCTGAAGTCTCTTGGCTTCTTTCTTGGCTAACTTGGCTTCCTGCTTAGCGAACTCACTGAGCTCTTTGCGGTACTTGCCATACATCTGTAAAATAAGAAGTTCCCGAGAAAATTATAAAGCGATTTTGTAAGAACAACTACAATATATGAAAATCAGCAAATTCTTCTAGTTAGTGCAATAATTTTGTCGCACAAAAGGTTAAAACCAATTTCCTTAACATCATCCGTCTATATTTCACTTTTGGAAGAGCAATATAATTACATCAAACTCCCTCCAATTTCAACAGAGAATATACAGCTCATATTTATGCCTAATGAACGCTAGCGCCAGCGAAAATGGGCAAATTAATAATATTAAGTAAGAAGCATAATCTGATCAAGTGACAGGATAGTTATACTTTATTCACCGGAGTTTCGGTTCTACGCAAAACTTTCACTGAATTCAAGTCATTGCTTACCGTTAATTTACATGAAATTATTCGAATTACCGTTATAAAACATTCCTGCAGATTCAACAACAAAATATTCTTAATTCTACTATAAATTCTTTTATCTTTCCTTTTAATCTTTAGGGTCACCAAAAGCGGTTCTTAAATTGAACATAAATTAATAGTTACTAATTGAATATAGATTTTTTCATGAGTTACTATATATTTGAATGCTATATTCTACTTTAAAGGCATTCTTTTGCTTTAATGCTTTCTTCTCGTGAGCAATAGTTAATAGACACATCGAATGGCATACTTTATTTATCCCTACTTTATTCACGCTTTCTCTAGATAATTTTTATGAATGTTGATGTTCGTCAAACGTTCCAGGTTATAAAACAAAAGTCGTTAATAAATGCTTTCATGAATGCAATTCGGTCTTTTGAAATTTAATATAGCAATAACTATAAACATAGGAAACACTTTTTTCTAATAAAGTATTCAAATTTTCTCAGCTAATTTTATTTGAGTTCTCTAAAATTTTAAAGAGACGAAAGTGTTTGTCTTCGAAACTCTGTTTATGGTTTTCTTTGCTATCAAATTATTCAAATTTTCTCAGCTAATTTTATTTGAGTTCTCTAAATTTTTAAAGAGACGAAAGAGTTTGTCTTCGAAACTCTGTTTATGGTTTTCTTTGCTATCAAATTTGTAATTTGTGTGGGTCGACGAGTTGAAGCGCCAGGAGACCTTCAATCTCCGAGTAACGCAATGCGATGAGGCAGCGCCGTTGAGTTCGGCATCAAAAGTGAGAGCTTGTTAAATATCAACAGAAGATAATCTTGTGAACTTGATGATTCAATCCTGTTAATAGTGATTCGATCCTCTTTAAATAGGTCATAAAAAACACCATAGTTATGAAACGGAAAACAATTCTGAATAATGTCATGAGCTCTAGGTATCGAGTTGCTAAAATTTATGATGGAGTTATCAGACATATACGTTTTGGACATCTGCAGACCTTGCGGGAGACACCGCAGAGTACGGCATCGTTGCTTACAATAGAGATGGTGGCGGGAATTTCCCGGTGGCTGTTCATCCCGAACAGCCATCGGCTTGCTGTGACCTGCAAGCGCGACATGGCGATATGTCGATGACTTTCTAACGAACCGGGGCAACTTAATTAAGATTATTATAACTAAAGGCAACCAAAAATACATTGGAAGCTAATAGCTATCATGATGATCCGTCAACAATGATGTATCTAATGAAATATTAGGACTAACCACAGATGCTTTTGTGTTGAGTCGAGAAAGAAAGCTCGATCTCATGCAGCTAGCGATCTCCGCGCTAGGTGCAACAAGTTATTGAAAACTCTTCTGCTTGTGTCATTTTCGTATGATCTATCATGCCTTCTGGCACAATCCATGAGAGGGTTTTTTGTTTGTGGTTAAAGTAAAGTCAAGAGTGTCTTGATCTATAATGTGTGCCGGCCATGTGAACTGTGTACCCTAACTGAAAAAATTGCCTTGAAACTTGATAAGAAAAAGCTCGGTCGCTGTGATGCAATGAGGTGGAGCTCCATGCTGCATCTACCTTAGCCCGTCTCGTCTGTCCATTGACAGTTGTGATAAACTTCAATACTTTCAAATTGTTTAGGTTAGTTTATTAATTTCTGCAATTTTGCCAAGATCATCTCGACTGCATTCAGTTATTTTTATGCCGAGGAGACAGAGATTGTTCGATGTCCATACGTCCAGAAGATTTCCTGTACGAAATCTGTCGTGAAACTGAATCACGGACAGGAGCGATTCACAGAATATTATATTTAGCTGCTTATTGATTTACAAGACCACAGTTATTCGATAAAACATTATTCTCAGATCATATCGGAAAATTCTTTACAAAGTAGTCATACTTAATGAAATCGGCGGGCTTATAATACGAATAATAAAATCATAATTATGATTTTCGCTGACGATATTCCTGATTTTTTCAGTGACGGCCTTATTCATAAAAAGTCTTCATTCTTTTAAGTGGATTATCAAAATTTTCAGTTTATGATCCAGATGCTGATCCAGCTTGATAAAGTAATAACACATAAAAATAGAACATTTGTAAAAGGCTCTAAGATAACCGCCCTTGATTTCACAGTCTTACGCATAACGCAAGAAAACTGTGCAGCACTTTTGCGAGAAACGACGATCGTTTTTATAAGAAACTCGTAGCGACGAGTTTCTCCAAACGCTCGCACGCTGACTCTATCTTGTTCAGCTGTAAATCTTCCATAACTATTAATATTATAGTACCCTTTCTATTTGCCGAACATACTAGTTTATATAAAGAAATTTCCGTATACCATCCTGGGAGGTACACTTTTGTTATGACTACCGTCCAGATATTTTCAATCGAGCGGTAAAAAGCAATAGCTTTTATTTATGGCATCATCATTAGCTCTTAGAGAACAGGTTTTCCTCGACCAACTTAAGAGTTCGCTATTTTATATTGTTATTTTTAACCACTTCAATTGCCGCATTAATTGAACATTCATATAATAAATATTTTGCATTTGAATATTTCTTCATTATAAAAGCGTAATGTGTCTATCTCATTGAAATTTTCGTTGCGTCAATAACGTTTTAATAACTACATTGTGCCTGCAATTAGAAATTAATTTATAAATAAACTTTCTCGTGATGAAATAAATATTTGTTCCGTGCAAAGAATTCGACATGTAGTGTAGTGTCGCAATGAATACACTACATGTCGACAAGAATTCAACATGTAGTATTGTGTTCGACATGAAGAATTCGTTGTAGCTGATTATTGTTGATTTGAGGCATGCAGATTGTCCATACTAATTACGATCCTAACTCCATCCTTCAAGCTTCATGAGTTCCTATCATGTAAAATTATAAGTAATAAATTAACAAAATTTCCCAAGCACCGTATAGACTGGCATTCATTATGATTAAAAAAACCGACCGATGCTAGCTGGTATTTCAGGATATACTTCAAAGTAATCCGTTCCCAATAACATATGGTGGATGTTCAGCATCTACTTAACTTCTAAGTCTGTTTTGGGTAGACAAGAAACAGACATGATAAGAATCCGCCATGGGGCAAACTTGGCAATTTCTAAACTGCCGAAACTTTACTAAACCGATAGTTTTCGTAAATCAGGCAACTCGATAAGAACCGTATTAAGATCAGACTAACTATGCCATCCAGACTATGCCTGAATGGCGTACTCACGTACTACTGGCTGCAGCAAAGCATGAATATTAAGCCGGGAACATCTCGACATGTTGCAAACCGGGTATGAATGCCATTGTTGCTGAACAATAACTATTTGCATCCAAAGGTTTCTTCGCTTAATGTTGGGGAATTAACTTATTGAAGAAGGCGGAGATGATTTTGTTATAACACATAATATAAGAAATAGATTTTCAACACTATCGAAGTTTGATATCAACATAAATTTTATCACAAGTACGAATTGCACTTTCTATATCAGAATAGACTATCCACGAAAACAGGGTTCCAATTAATCTGACTTGAGTCACGGTATGAAAAAGTCAGTCTCTCACGACATCTAAAGTACACTAGAGAACAAGAACAGTATTTTACAATATTGACATCACAAATATGTGAAAATATGGCAAATTTAATGCATATTCCTGAAACCGACTTTGCAAAGCCAGGCGCCGGGCACGGAATTCACACAGCGGGAACATTTGCCTCCTCACTTCGTGGATGTCAGCGCCAGACTGGAGGTCGCGCTCTCTGAAGGACTGAATTTCTCTCGCTTTATGAAGCGCTCGAGGCAACCGCGAGCGTCGAGTGACGGCAGGTCGATATAATAGGCTGACTTTAGACACTAACAATCCATTAACTAAAGTTCATATCCACGGTTTCCTTTTACAAGTTAATATCACAGGTCTTATGGCGAGAGACGCATATGCAAAATTGTTGTCATCGACAATACTTAATATAATTTTGTAATTTGTATATTTAGACAAAACTTCAGAGTCTCATGAACATATAATTATATTCATTAACGAAACCAATTATCGGGCTATAAATTAATTCTTACAGCGCTGAGACTCCCACAAGACTGTAAAGTTGGTCCAAATAATTTGTGACTGAAGTTAGTATCAATATACTCAAGGACAAGTCGTGATGACTAAGAATGTTGGTAAAAACAATTGTTGAATATGGCCTGCTAGGTTATACACTTCAATGGTTTGCTTGTGCCTTTCCTGACTTCATCGTGAATTCAATTGAAAATAATTATTATTCACTATGATTAGCATGAATTTTAAAAAAGCTGCCAGCGATCAAGGGATAAGCATCTGAGTCGATTTCATTCATGTGTTGAACTCAAGGAGAAAAGACAATAACTGAAATAATGAATAATTCATACCTTGAAAATATGAATAACTTTTTATCATCAACGTCATTCAAGCTCGTAAAATTAGAATGAGACTGGTCTTTGATAGCGCTGCTACCCTCCATAAAACAAACCAGACTCCAACTCGATTTCAAGCTCGCATAAGAACTACCGACTCCGAGGCGAGTCGAATCTCCACAGTGGAAATGCAATCAGGTTTTTGCACTCGCGAGAAGATGCTGAATGCCTGAAATTCAAGTCCTCGCCCCTGTAGATTTATCCAGCTCCTCTAGTGATATAACAATGCCCCTGCAAGGCGGTCATCCTGGTCATCGTGAACTCGAAACGCACATCGTGTCTTCCAGCTTCGCTGGACGACACCTCGAACGCGACAGACATCGCTGGACGACATCTCGAACGTGACAGACATCGCTGGACGACATTTTGAACGCGACAGACTTCGTTGGACGATGCTCGAAAGCGAGAGACATCGCTGGACGATGCTCGAAAGCGACAGATATCGCTGGATGATGCTCGAACGCGACAGACATCGCTGGATGATGCTCGAACGCGAAAGACATCGCTGGACGACTCCTCGAACGTGACAGACTTCGCTGGAAGACACCTCGAAACCTGTAACACGGTAAACTTCGCGTCGCGGTCAAACAAGCCCAGCTTCGTGTACCCCGAAATGTCGCTAATTAGACCACCTTTTCACCTACTAAAACCATACACATCAACGAGTGTCATGTTATCAATAAGTTCTAACGACCAATAAAAGTGCCGCTACTGCCGAGTGTCAAGTGCGGAGGCCATGAAGTGTCAAGTATTGCTGCTGTTAAGTGTTACATGCGGCTGCAGTGAAGTGTTAAGTGCAGCAGCCAGCATTCGAGGCTCTATTAACACACTAATAAAGTTGTTCCTATAGCCTGTTACATGCTCACCAGTTTTGGCACTCTCACAATTTCGGTTAGTTTTCAATGTTAGTCGATTTGTCTTCACTGCAGAACTTTCCTTTTGATTGCGATTGTCTGCTTGCTAGAGAGTCATGAATACTATGAAGATTGAAATTTCATCGTCGTCTAATAGCACTTGACTCATTTTAAACCTATGCAGTCTCTTAGCTGGGAGCACACTCGAAGCTGGTGCTGCCTTAGGGCCCACTCTAAACCTGTGACCAATCTATGCCCATGCCCACTCTAAACCTGTGACCACTCTATGCCCATGCCCACTCTAAACCTGTGACCACTCTATGCCCATGCCCACTCTAAATCTGTGACCAATCTACCATTCTTGCGCGCACTCTAAATTTTACTTATTCTAAGCCTGTACCCTTCGTAAGTCATAATTTCAGTTTGATTGTTAAATGGATTAGGGTTGGAAAATTAACGAGACAGGTTCAGTGATGCACTGGGATTTTAACCGAAAAATGCGTAGCGAAAATACGCACCATCAACCTTAAGTAAGTAAAATGTATAGTATTGTGAATGTAACACTTACACGTTGTCCATTTGTAGTAGCTTATCCATACTAGTGGGTCACCTCGGCCAGTAGGTTAATCGTAAAAAAAGTTTCCGGAATGTTTTTTGCAGGAAGGCACCGGGGCAGGTTAAACAGTTGTAGCGAGAGACGCCTGAGAGTTGCACCACGATTATGCCGGGGCTCAAACCTCCTTTTTTTGGGACCCAGGTAGGCATCCCAATTAACGCTTGCCCTACCGCCCAACAACATAAATTTGGCTCCTCTGCATTTCCTTCAGGTTCCTCGCCTGAAACGACCGTTCACAGGAAAGCATTTTGACACGAAAGTGGAGATACAAGTTTCTTGCACTACTCCGGAAAGGATGTGGTGCAAAAATCCTGTCCTGATTCAGGATGCTCGTTCGTAAGCTAGAGACCCTATCAACCGAATACATGAGCGATCCATATTACTAGAAACATCAGGAAATCAATGTTACAGGAATCATCATCATGCGTCGGAAAAACATCAGTACTACTACTTTTTAGACACACACTGCGTAAAAAAATTATTGCAAATACTTTGCTTACCTGCATAGCATCCAAACTTAAAATTACCAATAATCTTTCAAAACTTGCCTCCCGCATTTTCTCTTCCTAAATCTTTCAAGTAGAAAGTTAATATAACAATAAATTATATGCTAAATATGTTTAAAAATGTATTAATAAAAATTGCATAAATTGAATAATTTATTGAATTGTAATAATTTAATGAATTCCGAAGCACAAAGAAGATGGACTCGTACAATTACGCTTATAATGCCTACATTTTTTTCTATCTTTTGCAAAGTAAAACCTGCAGTAGTACTTGATTACAAAATAACTCCATGAATCTAAGCGTTCACGCCGGACACACAATTAACTTGCATCACGAAGAGGAAAGGTGCAAGAAAATATATACATAGTTTCAAAAGTTTTTTCGTCAGCGTTGTTACAAATATACCCCATATTTCACGAATATTTTAAAATTCACTCAACGCTATTATTCACTCTACGCTTTGTAACGTCGTGCCTTATAAAAATATGTTTTTCCTTTTGTTCTACTGTTATTATAAATTATGATTAAGAAAAAAAATGTTTGAGTAGATGGGCATCGTCAAAGAAATCAAAAGAGGTCAACAAAGTAAATTTTATTGACAAATCAACGTACTTAGATAAAGTTAAATTACGTCACTATCATATTTTTACACAAATCTACGGGTATGTCTGTCATGAGAGCAAGTTAACCTATAAATCGTTATCCAGCAACCAGCGTAACACTTAATTGTCGTGACGAGAGCTGACGCCGGTGCAGTCACCCCAAGCGTTCATAGAGCCCGAGATATAAGTTATGAGCTAACTAAATTACTATACTGTACTTACTATTAAGCTATTAATATTGTGACATTATTATTATTATTATCATCGAAGTGCAAATTGAACATCACTGCATCACTGAAAAACTTCCCTTTATAAAGAGAAAAAAAATGAAGTACTTTTGGAACTTATCAATTAATGAATCACAGATTGAGGTTGTCATGTACCAAAGAAAAGGAAACTTTATTATATAAATTATGAAAATTACATCACATTTTATTTACTTCTCGCCTCATGAGAACAGCTATGAACCTATATAATATGAAACGCAGAATGAAATCCTAATATTACTGTACAAAACAACACCATTTTAATTCTTGGAGAAACTACAGTACGTGATGAGTAGGGCAGGAGAGGGGAATGTTAATTAACAAACTTGGGACTAACATGGACAGCGATCGTTGAAAAATTCGTTCCGCATTTATAAAGATTCTTCGGGAATCCCATAAATGAAAATATCTCATGATTTCACTCAAACCTATAGAAATATAACAGGATAATACATACATAGCTGTTAAAAGTACGGTAGGTCCACAATAGAGTACAAAACATGTATCTCATGCAACATCAATATCAAAGAATAAACTATTAAATATTATTCAGCACTAATTAAATCGACCATTAAACCAATAAATAAAACCAACTCTGTACAGAATCATTGTTGCTAAATTAAGTACAAATGTGCCAAATATTTTCAGTGATAAGATTACACTGATAGCTTCTTATACGTCTGGTAATCCATCTGGTTATCATCCGATATCATCATCTTGTTATCGTCCGATATCCATCATCTGGTTATCATCCGATATCCACCATCCGGTTATCATCCGATATCCATCATCTGGTTATCATCCGATACCTTCATCTGGTTATCATCCGATATCATCATCTTGTTATCGTCCGATATCCATCATCTGGTTATCATCCGATATCCATCATCTGGTTATCATCCGATATCCATCATCTGGTTATCATCCGATATCCATCATCTGGTTATCATCCGATATCCATCATCTGGTTATCATCCGATATCCATCATCTGGTTATCATCCGATATTTTCATCTTGTTATCGTCCGATATCCATCATCTGGTTATCATCCTATACCCATCGTCTTGTTATCATCCGATATCCATCATCTGGTTACCATCCGATATCCATCGTCTTGTTATCATCCGATATCCATCATCTGGTTATCATCCGATATCCATCGTCTTGTTATCGTCCGACGCTTGCTCAAGGTAAGCACATCTTTTCTTGTACTGACATGCACAAATCACCTTATGAGAATTATTCTACTCGATGATCAAGCCTAAAATCGACAAAAACATCGGTCGCAAATTAATATTCGACCTTAGAACTTGCCAATAATGTCTAAAGATTTGACAAAACTCCAATATGAGCCAAGGATACAAGGCCGAGGTTCTTCGAGATTTCGTTGAGCAGCAATCAACAATGTCACTGCATTTCTTAAAAAACAAAACTTGTAAAAACAAAAACTTTTAGCAAAACAAAAAAATCAATTTTTAATCGACATGCCGCGGGCTTTAATCGAAATGCGGAACTCGCGGGCTCGTCACATCCGTAAGCATTTGAAAACGCACAGCTTCCGAAATCTTCACCAAATACCAAACGATTACTTTGAACATGAGACAAAAACGCCCGTTAGCATGACGAATGTTACCTCGCGCTTCACAGCATTAAACTTAAGAATAGCAAGTAGCAGCTTCCACACTATTAACATGGTAAACTAAAAATCAGTTGAGAGCCAAGGTTCATTTCGCGGATACAACCTGGATTGTTGCAATTGCACTTTGAATCAGAAGAGCATATGATGATGAGGTAAAATGATTCCAGTTAAGACCCATTTTTCATAAGTCAGACGTGAAAAAGCGTTAACGCTTCAAAAAGATTGCAATTTGCCAGTCACATTCTTAACGGCGGTCACTAAATAAAAAAAATCATGCAAAATCGACAGAACGTTCGTTCAATCCTAGCAAATTATGATCATGTTACAATCAATAAATCAAAGCGTTCAGTATTTCATAATATTGTTGTATAATATTATTGCTTAACAACAATATTATGTTAATAACTCTAATATTTTAGGTAGACAACAAAAAAATAGGGTTCTATGTTCGCTATGCACTATTTTACTCCAGCGAATAACAGACCATCGATGAGCGATGACTGTTTACTAAGTATTAATTAAGGAACGGGGTGACATAAGTGCTGTAAGTAGTGATTTATAAGTCGTCGACGTTATTAGCATCGCGTTACAGCAGTAGTATAGATATGACAGGATATGAGCACATACAATCGCAAGTTTAATATTCACTAAGCTTTCTATCGTCTCAGGTCTTCTGAATAGTTTGTCGGCCAGTATTTTTGCGTCTAAGTAGTTTATAAAAGAGAATTACTTCTTCAATGCAAAAATATACATATATTCTGCCCAGGGCAAACGATTCCATTCGAGTGCCAACTGATGAAATTCTACACTTGCATCAGTTGAATGGAGAAGTAAAAATTTGCAAGTGTATGAAAATGTAACTAATCTACTAGAAGATTGACCAAAATATATACATGACATAAGTCGTAAGAAATTTGTCCGGAGCCAGGAACTTAGGAATAAAATTTATTATTACATTTCTGTTTCAATACAATATAATCAGCTGCCAAACTTGGAGTGAGACAAAAATGACATTAATAATCACGAATAGATTTTCCATTTTTCGCAACTTTTCAATCAGCATAAATTAATTTATTCTGTCATGATTTGCCTATTCGGCAAACATCCCAATTTCAAGCTTGAATTTCACTAGCCTATCAGAAGCACAGAGCGTTGCGTACTATAACACATAATTTAATTTCAACTGCAACAGCTATAGTCGATCCCCAACAACTTCATCAGAGTCGCTCTCGGATTCTTCGAGCGCCAAATTCTGTGTGGTGAACCCGACGTTGCTTTCTTCGTCGTCGGCGTCGACGCCTTCGTCGGGACCGACGTCGTCGTTGGGCTGCGGGGTGCCGTTGTTGATGGCTTCGATGGCTGCCCGTAACTGCAGCGCAAAACAATAAACAATCATAACTATTTCTCATACCGAGAATAAATCATTGAAATAATAACTTTAGAATGCTCTCAACACAATTGATAATAGTAAACATTATTGTCTTAATACTTAGCAGCGAGCGAAATATTTCAGATTTAAGAAATCTCGCCCACAGATACACTGTAGCATGAAAATATATCATAAAAAACAGACTGCATATTAAATAAATGTATCAAAAATACCTACGATATAACTTCCTGCATCAAATACTTCCACCTTTAATCCAACGAAAATAATATAATGCTCTTTCCGTTCCCGTAGCCCCGAACATTTGATTCAACTCCAATCCACGAATTTAAATTAACTCATGCCTTCCAATAAGCTCCATAAAAGACGAAATTTGCTAGATCCTGCTATTCCATGCATGCACCGACAATTATTGTCATTTTATCTGTGGTTATACGAACCACAGTACAGTATTGACCTGAGGTTCAGATTTACTCATATGGTCCTATAGCACTAAGATTATTATTAGCTACAGTTTTAAGCAGCACAGTATATTTTGTCGGGCTTTACAGTACATTAACGACACAACATCACATGCTGGAGCGTCTCTAATAAGACAGTAACTTAAATGAGCAATGTTTGAGTTTGGCTGAGTTAGACTCAGCTGCAAGTCTGAGTAACTGCTTATTAAGCCGTGTCCAGGTAACACGTCACTGCAGTTACCGTTGTATAAAAATATTGAGAAAAATAGTCTTGAAAGTCTCGATAATATCTCGTATAACACTTGGACTATAGCAAGATAACACTTGGAAAACTACACTCGTATAACACTCGTATAACACTTGGAAAACCACAGCAAAACTCACTTCCTTGAGCGAGACCACGCCGATAAGCCGCCCGAGCACCGTGACGTAGGCATGACCCAAACCCAACATCGAGAACAACGAGTGTACCTGAGGGTGGCGACATTAAGTTACATGCACCTATGGAGAGATAATAAGTAAAATAATAGGTATATAATAGATACAATCTATAATGAAAACTATAATTTAGATACCATTTTTATCGGCTCCCATAACATTCCCGCAATTCTCTCTCAACTTTGTTACCACTTACCTTAAGTAGTGAGGTACTCTCGACCAGCTGGAACGGTGAGGGGTCGATGGGGCAGGAGGAAAAATCCACGGTCTCCTTGTAGGCTTTCTCCTCCCACTTCGCCTGCTCTTGCGACGACTGTTCCATCACCTGCTTCCAGCGCTGATAACAAAGCATTATTTTTATTAATATTTATTAATTATTGTATATTACAATACATTAGATATATTTTTTGTTATTTTTCGCATTGCCCAATTATGCATTAATGCGAAAAAAATCTATGAATCATAATAACAAAAATATAAAATGGAGAGGAAGGGCACTTTCTTCATTACAGCCAGAATAGAAACTTATGCTCTGAGCTACTGATTGCTCGTTTTTTTCAAATGTTGCCGAGTTTGGTTATATTATAGAATATTATCTTTTTAAAATATGCCATCGTGTCTTCTAATTTAGGTTAACCTCCCATATACGTAATAGCTTACCAAAGATAAGTTGGATTTAACGCTGCCAGTGGGTGTGTCGTTAGGCATCATTTTTCTCCGTAAAGCATCCATAGCTGAGCGCCAGTTTCTGAAAAGTATAATACTCACATATTAAAAGAAACTAACTCATTTGAAAACCATCATCTCCCACCTATGTAACACAACAAGATAATTCTAGGCACCTGTTGGGCTTCAAACTTTAAATAAATGCCGAGAAACTTGAGCAAATATTTGCACTCGAAGAAACGCATTGCTAACGATGTGACACGTTCCGATCTTCATCTCAAAAGAAATATCACAAAGATCCTGAACGTCATAAGTCATCTGATCTACGTACTAGTATACATATTGTGATAAATTCCGTAAATTTCCAGCACCTATTTCCATGGTTCCCCGTGGAAATAATTGATAGAAAAAAGCTTAAGTGCTCAATTGAAAAAAATCTGCTGGAGTTGGTGGTGAGACTGACTTGGAAGGATCACCGTGGAACGTGGCATACGAGGGTCTCCGTTGTATGGTGGAGTTCGTTGAATTATCTTCTAATTCCAGGACGTTGTTGGTCGTCTTCTTGAGGATGCTCTTGCGTGGCTGAGTCGAGCGATCTGACCTCTTCTTCCGAAGGACCACAGGATCTCCTGAGGCATGTGGGTCCTAGAAATATATCAAGAAAAATTAATACCGGGCTTTAAAAGAGTATCAATTCAAATTAACATTTTGCTCAATCGGAAGAGTATTTTCTTTCATTCAATGTTTCTTGGTGGTTATAGACCAAGTTATATCAGAAATTCGATAATATTACTAATAAATGAAATATTAACTTTAAACACGGAATCTATTGGTGATCATCTGATTGCACACTGTAATATCTTCAATATTTTTTTAGAATTACCAACCAGTTCTGAGCTAAAAAGCAATAAAAACATAGCCTACACGAAGGTTAATATAATAAGCAAAATAGCACCGTATTACACTGTCTCAAAACACTATCTTAGTTATTTATTCATTATTATTATTACTATTATTCACTGTAATTATTTCATTAAAATGAGACCAGTGATCAGATCTCTGCATGACCTCGTGAGGCAATCATGGGAATGTATAAAGTCTAATAACAAGACCAAGACGAACCTCATCACCATTGCTTTCTGTGGGAACATCGACGGCAGAAGAGTCAGACGGTGGCGTCTGTGCCATTTCATTTTCTTGCACAGCCATATCCTCACACGTGTCAGCTTCCGTATGCTTAAGATTCGTTGTAATTGTAACATCGATACTTTTTGCTTCCTGAATGTTTTCACCGGTCACTGCGGTGCAAGTTTTGAATCTAGTATTTATGTTATTTTGACCATCCTTTCCTCCACAGTCATTTTCCACAGATCCTCCGACTGGGATGGCTTTATCCTCAACATCTTCAGGAAAAAATGTCGTCTGATTTCCAACTTCAAGTGACGTGCCAATGGGCGAAATAACTCTTGTGACTTCGAACCTTGAATTTTTTCTACGTTTTCCTGCATTTTGATGCATAGACTCTAGCGTAGCGTTAGCAGGGCTTTGGGTAGCTGTAGGGCGCTGTTGATCAGGTAGAATGTGCCGGTTATCCGCTGAAATTTCGACTATATTTGGTAACGACGCAGTGTCTTCGGTACCTGGGGTCATGAGGCCGGTAGCTATCGTTGAAGGATTCATGGTCAGCTCGGGATTGCTGTGGGTATTTTCTTGGTCGTTTTCTACTGCCGCCACCAAATGCGACTCTACCGGGTCCTAAAAAACAGAATTGTTACACACTTTTTTCGTTAATAAAGGCATTTATGAGTTCGATGAAAGAATATATAAACAAGTTTTAATTTAAAATCTCAAAACAACGAGCATCTGGCTGCAACATTTTCGATCTTTTAACAAAACAAGACAAACCTCAACAGGGATGGTAAACGCGCTATTTATTGCGTATTCAAGCGCCGGGCGGTCGCTTGACGCCTGCGACTGCGCTCGGACGCTGGAGGTGGTCAGGGCTTCTGTTGAGGACGAGCGAGTGACGGTGGCCACCTCCTCGCGGTGCGACGATAGTCTTGCGTCCTCGGGTCGATTTTTGAAGGTCTTGCGCATAACACGAAGGTCCTCAAGACTGCCTGCGCGTGACGGCAGTGATGAAATTTGTTAAAAAAGTTAAAATTTGAGATCGGGTCACCCAATTACTTAAAAGAATAAACTAAATGTATGCGACGATAGTCTCGCGTCCCCGGGTCGATTTTTGAAGGTCTTGCGCATAACACGAAGGTCCTCAAGACTGCCTGCGCGTGACGGCAGTGATGAACACGGTCAGGTAAAATTTGAGAGCGGGTCACCCAATTACTTAAAAGAATAAACTAAATGTAGTATAAACGTATGGGAAAATAATGAGTACGGAACGGACATATATAAGTACAAGGCCAGACCAGTTTCTGGACATGGCATCACATGTACGAGGACGTGGGCCTCGAACTGTCGCTTATGTAATTACACCGTAATGTGAGCTTTGAAATGTGGCGACAACAAAGGAACGCTTGGAAATCAATTTGATCACAATCTGCAGACATTATTATTCAACATGGAAACATCAAGTAAATGCTCACAAGTACGTTATTTCTGAGGAATCAACTTCTATCCATAAATTTATTGTTTCATATAATGAAAACGGTGAAATTTATTTCAATAGATGTGATTGCATAGCTAAAAAGATATATATTCGTCTCTGAATTGAGTTCAATGGAACAATTTAGAATTGTTTCCATTTTTACATTTTCAACAATTTCACACTTTACCTCCATCTTATTTCACACATCAACACAATTTATCTCACTTCATCTTCGTAAACTCAAACCTACTTGATAACCGTCGACTCCTGTGAGCATTCTTGAGCTTGATAGGAGCAGGAGACGAGGGCTGAGGGGTGAAGTCGAAGAAGCTTTTGATTGGAGTTTTTCTGTTAGGTTGAGATTCCAGTGCTCTGGAAAGCGAAGCAGCATTTTAATTAATTACTACAATGGCAGGGTATAGCCCGGCGATGTCCGGGGTTGACAATTCCTTTAATTTTGAAATCCTGTTAGCCCGAATCCCGTCATTCCGCCTAGTGACGTAAATAATCACAAAGCTTATGTATTAACAAAGCTTATGTATTTTTTTAATAACAAAGCTTATATATTTAAACATTTTTCATTGTTGATGCAATAATTTCATATATTTCCTCCAATCATTTCTTATTTTCCTACCAATAACGAGTTTTCGTGACCAGGTAATATCCCGACACGATAAGTATCCTGGAATCGCGCACCAACAGCCATTATACGTATATGTGTGGTGACTTATAACGGCACCTGGTATAACACCACACGGCACCTGGTATAACACCACACTTCTTATTGCACACATCAACACAATTTATCTCACTACATCTTCGTAAACTCAACGTACTTGATAACCGTCGACTCCTGTGAGCATTCTTGAGCTTGTTAGGAGAGGGAGACGGCGGCTGAGGAGTGAAGTCGAAGAAGCTCTTGATTGGAGTTTTTCTGTTAGGCTGAGATTCCAGTGCTCTGGAAAGCGAAGCGGCATTTTAATTACTACAATGGCCGGGTATCCCGGCGATGTCCGGGATTGAAAATAATAATTCCTGTAATTTTGAAATCCTGTTAGCCAGAATCCCGTCATTCCGTAAATAATGTGTGTTACTAGTGACGTAAATAATAACAAAGCTTGTGTATTTTTTTAATAAGAAAGCTTATATATTAAAAATGTTCAATTTTTAATGCAATCATATATTTCCTTCAAACATTTCTTAATTTTCAACCAAATGAATTTTTGTGTCCAGGTAATATCCCGACATGATAAGTAGTCTGGAATCGCGCCCCAACAGCCATTATACAATACGTGTATGTGGTGACTGATAGAACGGCACCTGGTATAACACCACACGGCACCTGGTATAACACCACACGGCACGTGTTGTAACGACTCTCGGTACGCGGTGTAAGATCGCACGGCTCGTGTTGCTGCAACACACGGCTGCATGTGGTGTAATAAATTACGGCGCGTGGTGTAACATCACTCGGCACGGGGTATAACATCATACCGCATCAAGGTGTGAGTGCAACACAAGTAATATCGTAGATGATATTCTAGAGATTTTCATGTTACAGAATGCTACAGGTAGGACGGAAAATCATCAGTACAACCCACGCTTACAATCAAAAATGCGTGTCAAAGGCGGCCGATGTGGCTTGCGCACAAAACAAATGCTGTAGTACAAAACAAATGTTTTCATAGCTCACTAGACATCAATCATTATAGTATAAGTAGGCTCTAAAAAATTTGATAGCGCAACACAATTAAAGCGTAACGCAAAAAGTCAATGAAGGGTAATTTTCAACTGATCACTAGAAAATCAGTTATCCACACATGAATTCTCGGATGGCAAAAGACGAATATTAGTCAAATTGCACATTCAGTTTTTAGTGGTGAATATTCTGGGAGCAGATTCTCGAAGAAGCTATAAGGAAATTCAATAATATTGTAATACAATTTGAATAAATCAATTATAAAGACGAACCACGAGCTTGAAGCCAGATATAATCGGGAAATGTAATAATATTAATAGTTTTAGGCAATCGAATATTAGCGGTGAATAATTGAGTCAGAACGGAACTCCTGCGACCGATACAAACCCAAAGACGCGCTCTTCATGTCGCGATCGAATATCATCCAGAATTCTGTAGAATGCGAAACTTGTGAAAACTTTTATAAGCCGCCCATTTTCAGTGAAAGAAAAAATCGAACGCTGCCGTATCGAATTTCTTTGCCGTATATTTTTCATTCAATCTCAAATTCAGAATTTTCCTCTATACTTTTGAATTTGTTGCCGCAGATACGAGTCTGTTAAAAAAACTCATAAGAGGTATTTCTTAAAAGAAGCGATCACACTTGAAGAAATGGATTAAGAAGGCCACTAATACCACGCTAAAACAAAGAATAATTTTAGTAAGTAAGAGCATGCGCTTTTTTACTCACATGTTGACAACCGCAAGAGAGCTTGAGGTGATGAAAACAAATATTTTATTATGCGGAAAACACCATATGTTCCTAGCCATATATGCCCATATTACTGACAAAAAATAAAATATGTAGAGACAAAAATAAAATGAACTAAAACTCACTTCCAGAGATCCACGAAATCATGCGCTTTGGTATTTCTAGTTAACAAACGTTCTCAGCAGGATGAAAAAATAAAAATTAATATGCAATCGGAACTAACTTAGAAACTGCATTAATGGTGGCATTCTTAGATTAGGAAAATCTTTTGAAAATTTCCCAGGCAAATGACATTCTGAAAGGACGTGACATTATTAATGTCACGTCCAGAGCACAGTTTTCCTAATAACCCGATTTTGTAATTAATTTCAATTTTGCATTTGATCGAAACAGCAAACTGAAAATCTTCTTCATTTGCAGCATAATAACAGCAAGCATATATTCTCGGCCTCTTTCAAAACTCCCACCACTCAGCTGACGAATAAAATTGCCATATTATATAGAAGGGATATTAAATTTCCAACAAGCGCTCGAATATTTCAGCATTATCTTACATGAGATTTGGCTTATTCATTTCGCTTAATAGTTATCCATAAAGAAGTAATTACCAGGACGCAACCCAAACATCGTCAATCCATACGAACTGAGATTTGACTAACCCCAATACTACCATTGTTTGAATTATAAACCCAAATTTCTCGAATGATTATAGAACCTTGAAACGAAAAGTAGATCTTCACTAATCATAGTTCATAAACTAATAGGAATACATTCCTGTAGACCAAAAAGCCGAAAAAAACATATTCTTCAAATTTTAATTAACAGCAAAATTTGTTTCATTTAATTTATTTGAGGGAAGGAGTGAGGCATAATTCACTGACTTTTTAGCAGCTAGCCTCCAGGCCGCGGAGAACTGCTCGCTGGTCTTGTAGCGCTCGAGCTTTGCCTGCAGCAGCGAGATGAGGGCGTCGCGCTGGATAGACCCCAACAGGATCATTGATGCTGCAATGAAAAATTACTTTCACCTTAACCCTCTACCGCCTGACATGAGTAACCGGAACAATTTGGTCACACAAGGCTACCCAAAAAGGATACGTTCTATTGAGCGCAAAGTGACTTGGTTGCCGCCACGTACAACTTTAAAATGTTCTCTGTCGCGTATAAACGTCATCAGGTTGCTACACTTAATAGTTTACGTATAATTTAAGTTGAAAGTTATGTTCCCGGAGAGTGACATACGGCGGTAGAGGGTTAAATAATTAATTTAATCCATTTAATTACCTTGGATCCTTATACCAGTTATGCCGTCAAATGTTATACTCTATGTATTAATATAGAATGGAAGTACTACTTGTCACACTAAAATTTTTTAAATAAGATAAATAGGCCGATGCGAATTGAACAAAAACACCATTTGAATTAAATGAAACCTCTAGTCGCTCCACATTCCAAACAAAGTATCACGGCTTCGTACAATTCCATCTGAATGACATTTCAAGACTATGAACTGAGCGTGCAGAACGCATTCGGGAAGTTTAAATTCATGCCTAATATATCAATTACTATCACCTAATATAATTGCTTACTACATATCCATTGACTTTTTATTTCTCTAGTTCAATATATTGTTCACATTATAGCCGGACTCACTTGGCGAGTCGACAAGAGGTAGTGCGCGAATTTTACGAGATTGGAGCAGCGTGTCTTTGAGCTGCTTGTAAGTGATGCCGTAGTAAATGTACTTCACATTCTTCACCATAAAGCGCTCAACAAAAATGTCGTACGCGTCTGCTGCTGATGAGAGGATGTCTGGTAGGTATGGTAGATTCTTGATACGGATAATCGAGTCGTAAACTGAAGGTTGCAGCAAATTTGCTACGGCATTTGCGATCAATACTGCTATCTGGAAGGTAAAATAATAATTTATATTACTTGTAAATTCGTAAGCAAAAACAAACAAAACCATTTTACCCACGTAAATCTGGTGAAACTAGTGAACGTAACGTGAGAGACACGTGTCTCATGGTTTCAGGCCGCACCATCTGGAGAATAAACCATCTGCCAAGCAGTTCCGTTGCTGTCTGAAGCACTGATGACACGGATCTCATCAGGTGAAGAAAACCCGCCTGAAGCCTTAATCGGCGGCGCAACTTTCGTCAAGATTATCAGTTCTTGATGTATAGCAGTAATAATAGCACTCATTACTGGATTGAACAGAGATCACTGAGCGGTGAACCACAAAAAATCAGCCAGTCATATGTACACATGACAGCTAAATTGTCCCCTGGAAAACATTCATAATAATAAACCTAACCATGACGGGTAGAAGATGCGTGATCTGTCCCGTGAGCTCGAAGACGATGACGGACGTGGAGATGGTGTGCGTCACAGCGCCTGCAAAGGCCGCAGCTCCTGCCACCGAGTATCCTCCTGCTCACAGTGCTCAGGTTATATAATAATGTTATTTGTTATTTATAATATTTAAAAAATAATTAAATATTAACTATTTACTAATCATTACCGGAATGCAAGCGATAACAAATTTTGTAGTGATTGCGATTAATTCTGATTGATGATAATTTTATGCATATAAAATTACGTCTTGAACAATTAAATTCTACTTGGACCTTTCGAAACCAAACTGTAAAGGCATTTCGATGTTTGATAACAAGTCAGCAATGAAGAATAACGCATGTGAATTCAGGTCAATAGCAATGAAAACCGTGTAATAAATTTTGTCTAACCTGGAATAACGGAGTGAACAAGCTTGCCAGAGCCGATGCCCGTAGGATTAACATACGCCATGAACTCGCCCAGAAGTCTTCCTACAGCGGCGCCCATCTTGAAGACCGGGATGAAAATGCCCGATGGCACCGGCAGAGTACTCGCGATCATCGACCAGAAAAACTGAAAATTTTTATTTCAAAATCTAGCAGGAAAGAAATAAATGAAATAAATATATACATATATATGTCCTAATATAATAGATATTATTCGTCTTTTTCAATATATACAAGATTGTAGCTCACAGTAAAAACGATGTACAAGGAGAGGTTGATGAAGATGCCGGTCCATGGCGTCCTCCAGTTCTCGACGATCTCGAACTCCTCGGGACTGTGCTGCTCGCTCACCCATGTGAAGTTGCTGAACAGATCCGTCACCTGAGCATAACATCAATATCATGCATGGATAAATTTGTCGTTAAGATAATCATTTTGTCAATTTTACATAATCATTTTCATTTGTCTACAGGTAAATAAAAACAAATCCATAAAACGGGAAGCCAAGTGTATATACATACGGATTTTACAAGCCCTGTAAGTATATATTCCCTTATAAGTAATCTTTTAAATTATTGCAAGCGATGTTCAATCGATGTAAAAGAAAATATGAGCGATATAAATGGTAGTCGCACCAAAATACTTTTGATAATGCTTTAAAGTGGTAGTAAACTTGTTATGATGCGAAATAGTGCACATTGAATAACATATTGATTTAGTTGATCATAACCTTAAAACCTAATGAACTGCGAGGCGTAGAAAAAATAGCATTTACAGAAACTATCAAGTTCACAGAATAAAAACGGCAAAGTATGGAGCAGCTACAAAATTTTCAGAACAATATATTTTTTATCGTTCACCTGGTGATGGGTGGAGAGTAGCACGGTGGTGTCAGCATGGTGATGTCAGCACGGTGATGTCATCACAGGAATGTCAGCACGGTGATATCAGCACGGTGATGTCAGCACGGTGATGTCAGCACGGTGATGTCAGCACGGTGACGTCAGCACGGTGATGTCAGCACGGTGATGTCAGCACGGTGATGTCAGCACGGTGGTGTCAGCATGGTGATGTCAGCACGGTGATGTCAGCACGGTTATGTCAGCACGGTGATGTCATCACAGGAATGTCAGCACGGTGATATCAGCACGGTGACGTCAGCACGGTGATGTCAGCACGGTGATGTCAGCACGGTGATGTCAGCACGGTGGTGTCAGCATGGTGATGTCAGCACGGTTATGTCAGCACGGAGATGTCATCACAGGAATGTCAGCATGGTGATGTTAGCACGGTAATGCGGTAATGTCAGCACGGTAATGTCAGCACAATGAGAAGACGGCAACGATGTCTTCAACAATGATCATTATCTTATGTTTCAGCCCCCCAAACATTGGTTCTTCATTGCTATCGATTATAAGTCAACTGTTGTAATCCAAATGTAATATTTAAATAATGCAGAAATGCTAGCATTTTTAGCTATCAGCATTTTCACTTAACTTTACTTGGTTTTGTCATCAATATATACGTAGCTCCGATTAAGGATTAAGCTCGCTAAGGTTATCTGATTTCTTCCAGAGTTTATAGCCGATTTTATTTGATATTCTTTGACCGCCAGAAGCCAATGGTCATGCAGACGCCTAATATAGAAATACTCCGATTAGACTCAATCTAATTACATTGTTTTTCAAATTTTGAAACTTGGGCTTACTCACTATTTCTGCAGGAAGATCTTAACTTTTTTGTTACGTCGCATAAAAAGAACGTAATTCCGATGCACGAATACAAATAGCGCCCCCAGCAGTCCGCAGATTAAACTGAAAAATCGACAAATATTAGTGGACATGGAATAAATTAAACATTGTAAGTAGAATAGTAAAAACTGAAATTTTAACAAGCGACATTAATATTGTTTAAGACGGTTAATGAGAAGAAGAGGATTTTTTAATTCGGAGCAAAACTTGGTAGGTGTAAACCTGCTATGGTTACGAGCGGCATCTGAAAACATCTTTTTGTGTGTGTTCGATTGTGTGTAATGGCAGAAAAATAAACGTTGAAAATTCATTAAATCAAACAGCTCATGTTTGTATTAAATTTAACCTAAATTTAAAGTAATCATCGTTCTAAGACTAAGTAAATGAATGACAAAGTTTTCATTCAGTGCTGCGCACGATTAATTCGTCATTTTGTATGTGTTATGAGCAACAAACAGTGAAACTATAAAGGAGCCATTGCAATTAATTATCTAGATAATCTATCGCAGTTAGTTTAAGTCTCGATTTGAAATTGCAATTTTTTCGCAATCATTTATAAATGACAATTATTGATTTTTCTTACTATTTTCCAGTTAATGTCGGTCTCCTGCCATGTGTATGAGTGTCGGTCTCCTGCCATGTGTGTCGCTCATCTTCAGTTTCACAAAATAAAAGAAGGTAGGCTAATCGCGAGCACTTCACTCATGAGTAAATGAGTTACCAACCTTACAACATACGTACTAAAATAATGTAATTATTCAAAAATTGAGTGTTCATTGAAATTTTTGGAATATCATAAATTTAAGAAAATTGGCTCACCCGAGGAACATATAAGCAAATATCTCCTTCAGGTCGAATGGAAAATCTGGTTTGAAGTTCGTCTTGAACAAAGCAGTCAAGGTTTCTGTTGCAAAAAGAAGTAAACTTTATATTAGATTGCTTTATTTTGACTATTTTTTAATAATAAATCAATCGATTTTGAGCCAAAAAAGCCTTTGTTTACTTCAAATTTTCCGAAAATCTGCATGGAAATTCATCCATCAGATAACTGTCTCGGTGTTACGGGAAAAGAGACTTCAGTTATGGTAGAATTTTAATTGGTGCTTATTGAATGATAATAAAAATAAATTGATCATGCGAGTTATAAATTACATCGTATTTCCGTATTTTCCTTAAACGCATCCAAAAAGTGTCAGTCGTGGCCGTTTTCTTTTAATATTGCTACATTTGAATTTCTTCAAACGTGACAGTCAGTATTCCATTAGTTTTATTACTAAAGTTTTAACTGGATTGGCCAAAAGTCCGTCTCATGAACGATGCTTTTTTATCTAAATTCTCACTAATACCAGAAAACATTTTACCCTTTCCACCCTGAATTTGATACCCTGAACTCATTCCAATTCTGTTACCACTATATATATATATTAACTGTTATCCAAGACCAATTACAGCGCCGATAACACGGACAGGCAATCATTAACATTAAACACAATAATAATAAATATAGGACTTTTCTTATCTTCATCTAGCTCTACATCTCTCTTTCTGATCTAACAAAGATTCTTCATATCTACATCATCTAGATACTGTATCTAGCTCCGTATTTACCACTTCGCACGAGACCATATAGCAGCAGCAATTGGAGTAAATGCCACTATAATGATTGAAGAAAATTCGTAAACAGAAAGCTTTTTGTAAAGAGATATTAGCAGTTCAATTTGCATGACATAAGGATCAGAATTAGAATAGATAAAAAATTGCCGATTTAGATTTATCAAAAACAGGGCCAGCTTTAAAATGTTTTCACAACAAGAAGTGTCAATTTTTTTTACATCATCGCTCAATCCAAGATGACCCCCAATGATGTAATAGTGTAAATGATGAATAATGAGAAAGCAATGATACTAGCCAATAACAGATGCGATAAAATTGGTAGGCAAACCACGCAATTTTTGGAATGAAGGCTGATAAGAAAATTTAATTTTTTGCGCATTTCCTTATTTATGGAAAAATGGCGCTATTGTGCTCGTTATGTCGGTCTGTCTGTCTGTCCGTCTGTGACTTCACGCTTTCGTCGACGAGAAAATGCGCTCTCTGTCACTCACTGCAGTGAGTACTGAGTTATGTTATTTACCTTGTCCGTAGTAGAATACGGCAAGGAGGCGGAACATGACCGCTCCGGACACTGCGGCGAAGAAACCGCGCCAGTAGTTGCGCACGGCGAAGTACACTGAAGTGACCTCGATGCTGAAGAGCACACCTGTGGTCGAGTGTAATAATTTTTTATTGAATTTTTGATGGATATTTCTCGATATATATTGAACAGAAGTGTAACTTTCATACCATTCAATATTCCTGTGCTTAAAAAAATACTAACAATAATATTTTACCAATAAAATAATTTGGATCAACGAGTCGCTCCGATTCTGAAAGCACCCACCATTCCTATGCAATAGGATTACATTTCCGGAAGTTAGAGACACAGCTGTTTTATGCTAGAAAATTTATCTTCAGCTAACTGAAAATGACGAATTAGCGTTTTGAACCGACTAAAACGTAATTGCCGTATGTTTGAATGATTTGCAACATAAAAACCGTATCGTGCATCCCTATTATTCATCAAAACCAATGAGTATGTCAATATAAAATGTAATTTCATATGGAATAATTGCTTAAAGCATCCAGAACAAGCCCATACATTTTTATGGTATCGTGAAACAAATAGAATATCACGTGGCACGGCATCGCTCACCTCCAATGGGAGCAGCAAATGAGCAGGCGACCCCGACGGCGAAGGCAGCTGCCAGCATCTCAGTCTTGCGGTACTCGTTCTGGTACATGCCCATGAACGTGGACACCACGCGCGTCAGTAGCGCCGCAACGATGCTCGCGATGTGCACGAACGGACCCTGGATAACAAATGTTTTAGCCCTTACAGGATTGCATGGATATAATTGCATCTAATCTTGTTGCGCAAATAAACTGTTTTATATTTAGCAGAAATTGTTTTCAATGAAAGAAATCGTATTCAGTGAAAGTTGGAGCGGTTTCTTGATTCATCACACCGCTCAGAAACGACTACCTAGTTTAAATATTGCACCAGTTTGTTGAGTAAGTTATTATACGTTCTAATTATCAAGTCTAAAAAATAATTGATATCGTTGCATACATTTCGAAACATGTCAACTATTGAGAAGAACTCTAGTTAGAACTTTGTTCAACTTTGATATCGAGATGCATACGCAAGTTTTGACTTATAGTAATTCGAAATTGCGCACAAATTAAGTTCAAAATGCTAACTTTGATTTAAAAATTTGTCACTTTGACTTGTAAATGAGTTCCAATAAGTTAAATTAATGTCTATGTATAGCATATAATGAGTGAAAAGAGAGTGTATTCAATCCATACAATGAGTGCAATGAAAGTGCATGCAAGCCATGCAATAAGTGAAATGAAAGTATTTATGAGGCGTGCCGGCTCAATAATATGGGATCAGAAGAAATTACAATATCTATGCATATAATGAATGGTTGCCCCGAGTTACACCCTTTCATATCCATTTTGCTGTCACTTCAGAAGCAAAAAGCCCAACCTATTATTCAGAAATAGGATTTTTCGAATAAGCCAGTAGCAGTACTGTATATGTTTCAGCTGCCGGCATATACTAGCAATAAAAGGCTGGTTGATGTTCTGCGATGCTTGCAAGGGCAACCAGTAAGATATGCTGACACAGCAAACCGGATCTTAAGAACACATTTTTTTAGCGAGCCTTCAACGAGATCAGAGATCATCAGGCCTCTCACGATTTCACCTGAAATAATTTTACGTTTATTATCGTAACTCTATATTTATTATTCTAGGAAGCAATTATCGTGGCGTCTGGTTCAAACGAACTTCGAGGGCACATTACACACAAGTTTAGAGGCAAGCGAAAATTAAAAAGACACGAGAAAAGATGAAAACGGATAAAAATTACTAAGTAAAAGATTCATAGGGTTGACGAAAATGTTCCGATCTTTAGGTGTCGACGAAACACCGGCAATTGATTTATTTTTCATTGTGTTACACACAATGAAATTTTTACACACACTCAAATTACACAAGAAGTTTGTGTAAGAAGGAAGGTAGGGTGAGAGGGAAGCCTTTATGTGTAAGATGGAAAGTAATACGCGAGGTAAGCTTGTACGTATGTGTGCGAGAAAAGAAGATGTCTTACTCAAATGCAATGTAGTCCGTGCAGTTGTGTTAATCAAGAAGGGAAAATGTAAGAATTTTAGCCTAACAGTTGCCACTTGGAAGCGTTAATAAAAATGTGGGCAACGTTTGATGGACTCGCTGCGTGATTGCGAACGCTCGGAGCTGCATGGAGCTCTGGCATTAGCTTTTTATAGCCGTGGTGCTGACTCATAATATGATAAGGTTTTAGCAAAGACAATAGCCACTCGAAAATATCAAGAGTTTGTGTGAAAAGTTTGTAAAAAAATTGATGTATAATTGAGGATTTATGAATTGGCATGATAATTTCGTCCCAACGCCTTTGTGCCCGATGCGGGCAGTGATATATGAGTGGCTCACCTCCTTGCCGAGTGGCAGACCGGACCCGAGAGTGGCGGTGAGGCCGACGACTTTAGCAACGAGTGTCCGCCATGTGAGGTACTCCTTGAGGACCACGCCCCTCATGATGGTCTTCATCTCAGGGATCCCGGACCCTGATGGGAAGGAAAAACTGGGTTGAAAAAAAAAATGTAGGACCTGCTTAGAAGGGGGCGGAGGACGACGAATGTGAAATATCAGCTTGGACTTGGACCAAGAATTCCGAAGCACAAGGACCAAAGGCTTCCAAGCCACTGGTCGCACCAAATCCCCTGCTCATGAGGTCAGCGGATGTGAACAGAAACACTAGATGCCTGCTTATCCCACAGATGAAGATATGCAAAGCTCGTCGTGGATGCAATGTGATGTTCCCTAAAATGGTTCACGAACAGTGGTACGCGAACATTTTTGCTGTCATGAACAACGTTTACTCAATTATTTTTATTTTATAGAATGTTCCTATCAAACATAAGATAATCTAAAATGGAGTTCATCCGTTGCTACCCGTTCAATGCAGTAGTTTGCTTAAATCGCAAGTTTGCTAAGAAAATGAAAGCAAATAATAAAGATTTCGTATGACGCCAACTTAGTTTAATACACGTAAGTAATTATTAATCAAGCTTCCTAAAATCATTCTTTCTTTTGAATTAAATATTACTCACGACCCTTTGAGATAATTAAATTTTGTTTTTGAGGAAAAGAAAAATGCAGTTTCTAAACAATACTAAGTAGGGCTTGCAGGTAGTGCAAATGTAGCGGGACTCACCGATGGACTGCGGGGCGACGAACTGTACGAACGTGACCGAGAAGAGCACCAGCAGCACGGGCAGCGCGATCCAGGCGAGGTACTGCAGCGCCACTCCCGTCGTCAGCTCATCGAACGCCCACAGCCGCGCTGCCCCGACCAACACGTTTGACATCAACACCGAGATCAGTGTGAGAACATGAGTATATTGATACAAAATATCAACTAATACTATTGTTTCCAATACTAGAATACTAATACCTGTTAGATAATGCGGGATGTTTTTCGGAAACTTCGTTGTTCTATAATTGCCAACTTCAGACGGTATAGTAAACTGTAAAGAAGAATTACTGGAGCATCTCGCTTAAACATTGTCAGCTTGCACATGTACAAATGTACCCTCATGCCCTGGTTCCGATTGTAGCGTAACAAAATTATTCAGTCTGATGAGGATCAAAACACCATGATCACCTTTAGTGCAGGCCGCGATGCCCATGTCCATGATGAAAGATATACACGCCATGAGTAGGCCTAGGGTGAGTAGGAAGGCCCAGTCTCCTTTCCCTAGGAAAACTGTGAAGAATTTCCAGCCACTATGGCGACCGTTCGCCAGCCACCTCCGCAGCCAGTTGCGTCGTGGCCTGAGACCTGCAACCAACATTTAATATTTCGATATAATGTTTATATATAATATATAAACATGTATAGTTTAATTTCAGAACGTTTAGAAAAATATTCATTTACTTTTAGTAGTGATGTGTGATGGGTTTTTTAATCCAATCAAGGCACTGGAGAACAATGACATTAAAAAAATTCTATCAACCAATATGCAGAAATATATTAATGAAAAAACACTCAATCAACAAAGAGAATATGTAAACTTTTACATTATTTCTTAGGTAGGCAAGCAACTCAACTATCTGTAAAAAAAATTATTGCGATACCATGTTTCGTTTGGGACATTTTACGATATTTTTAGATGTGTCATCATATTTGTATTACTATGGTGCGGTAGGTACTATGGTATGTATAATATGTATGATATAAGATATATTATATGCATATCTATGATATGTATACATATCTGTGTTTTTATGGAGCGGAGCCTTTCCTCCAGCAGTTGGGGTGACCTTTTTACATCAATAAATAAATCCGCACCAAGAACTCTTACACCGACCTACATATCGAGGTCTAGAAGTGAAGTTGCGACATGTATGTAGATGTGATCATAATGTATATAAAATTGTGCATGTTACGTTGAAGATCTTGTTGTAGTTAAGGCTCATGAGTTGTGTTCGGATAAACTGCTTTGAATTTTGTTCGGTTAGATTAAAAATGATTCAGGACATCAAAAAAGATTCTTTGTATAGCTCCAATTGTCTAAAGCATCATAACAAATCAATGAGTTGCAAATTGTGTTATTTCCTAGCGATCAGGAGCATTTCCTTTCGTAGCTTATGGCTCACGTATAAGTCTGGCATTTTTAGTACACAGTCTATTAGGTACTTGAATCATATGTTTGGAATAAGTATTGTAAATATTTTTAGAAAACCTTTTGTAAGCATAGTTTTTAATAGTCTATTTTTATGGGCTCCTATGGTTTACTTCTTTATGAGACCTTTAGTGTAAAAGCTAGTCGACGACGTATCAAATAGTTTCATGCTTGCTCATTTGTTCGTCTATAGCCTGCGTTAAAACTGCCCACAATCTTTCGGTGCGTTAATTTATGCCTTCTTATAACTTGTTTATAGTTTTGATGATTATTTGTTATATATAAATATTAAAAGCATACATCGAAGTTCATAGGGTTAATATATTTATGTTTTTTCTTACAGATATAATCTGTTCACTCAATAAAAAGAAAATTTCTTGTCGGAACTGTGGTTATCCTAAAACCTAAACGCGGATTTACGTCAACCCAAACTCAACAAAACGAAAAACGTTTTACAAGTATAATTTATCATGTGTTTTTAGTACTGTTCTGTACTTACGTTTTTCATTTATAAAAGAAGTCACAGACTGACCTTAAACTGAAGTGAGGAGAAAATACTGAGCAATGCAAGAAACCTAACATAATGGGATGATTCACATAAGCCATGTAAATGTAAATGCCATGATCAGAAGCCATGTAAATGGCATAAAAATATAAATATGCAACTATACATGGCACTATGTGGTTCTCCATTTTTCTCATGAAATGAATGTGAACGAATGAAACAATACATTCAATGAATGAAACAATATATTAAATTTATTGGGCATATTATTGGAGACTCACCTGTGGGGTCGATTTTTTTTAGTCTCTTGGCTTCTTTCTTGGCTAACTTGGCCTCTTGCTTAGCGAACTCGCTGAGCTCTTTACGATACATGCCATACATCTGAGGAAAGAAAGAAATGAATCGATTATTAGCTTTATATGCAACAAAAAAAAAATTCTACAACAAAATTATGAGGTTCTGTACTTGAGTTATCTAAAACAATAGTTCTTATAACCATGAACTGCAAATGCAGGCTGGTGTGGACAGTGAACACGTTTAATTTTATACAAAGTTGCAAAATGTGTTTACAAAAAAAAAACGAGTTCATGTCATACTTATGCATCAAGTAAATGTGAAACAATATTTCAGAAGCGGAATAACAAGCAAGGTCAGACCTATGAAATTGCCGAAGTGCGATAGCTTGTAACAACGTATTATTATTGATAAAAAAATAGATCCAAAGATCAATTATATATTGATGCAACAGAAAGACAAATTAATGACAAAAATATAACAATGCAAACCATACACTCCACGGTTTAACAGCAAATTTCGCATGTATGTACGAACTCGATATTTCATTTACTTGAGCTTGCAGTTGCGTAATGAACTATTTATAATTCCCTCATTTTATTCATAAGGAATAGTAAGAATAATAGCCTCAAACCGCGAGGTCAACAGAACCAAGAAGCTCACCAAAGTTTGTTGGTACCGACGATCCCCAGCGAAGCTCTGCTGGCCCTCGTCATCCTCCTCATCGTCTTCATCGTCGCTGCCCTTGTTGGGCACCTCTTTCCACGTCACGGTCATCGCGAGCTCGTCGTTTTAAAGTTTTAATATTTTACTCGTCTTCTAAGCTTTAATGTTGCAATCTGTGCTCGCTTGCCTTCCTTCTGCACCCTGCTTCTCTTTTACACACCGGACAGTTGTATCGCTTTCAAATTTCATCAGTTTCAGTAATCATAATTTTCAACAGCATCATTATTCAAAGTTTTCATCAGTTTCAGTCATCAGTTTTCTTCAAATTGTTTAAAGTAACCATGCTTTTGCGGACTGAATTCCTGTAGCCCTGGTCCGCTACTGATAGCTTATCAATCTTTTTTCTAATTTCACGAATTTAGAGCCTACAACTGTTATCTTCCTAGTTTCCATCTAATATCTTCCTATTAAGTCCTCATAACACCTTCGTTTATCATAACAGTCTAAATGCTCGTTATCACAGATCTATAAAACCTCAAGTTTGTTAAACTTGATTACGGGACAAATATTGTTTACATGCTTATCATAAAGTCAGGAGATTCATAAACCAGAAAGCTGCTAATTAATTGCCGGTCAAGAACAGTTACCATTTGTGCCATTCAGCAACCGTCTACTAAGTGTCTCTGGAAATATTTATTCGTCAGCTGCCAGCAATGCCAGCATCCCGAACCGAGGCATCCTTGACAGAGATCAGGAGTTTTGTCTCGAATAAATTATAGAAAACCGAAGCATGAAGGCAATTCAAATAAGGGCTCACGATAACAGCCTTCGACATTCCAAAGCTCAAGACATGAGTGATCGTCTCTTAATTGATGACCAAAATGAATACCTAAACTTTAAATGCTAGAAAGGCAATATTGCGTAAAATTTCGTGAGACAATAATCGTAGCCACCCTGCAGCCACATTGCAGGGAGGCTAAATGAATAAAGTCATCGTGCTGACCATCTGGTTGAAGCGGGCAGTTTCTGACTACAATTTTAATGTGTTGCTACGAGGAAGCGTGATATCGAAGGTCGGACACCTGCAGAGCCCTAAATTTTGATAACTTTTTGTGAAGTATATGCACATAAGTTTTGGATGCACGGCATAGAATATACAAAGCAATAGAACTCGGCACCATATAACACCTGCAGCGAAGCGAATAATAATATCTGCCGAGCCACTCTTCGTGATGCGCGTCCTCTCAACTATTACATAACATATATATATATAGTGATATCGGCGCTGAAGTGTAGGCCTGATGTGGCCTGTCGCCGATTATTTTCCTTTTCGCGCCTTGTTCACAGAAGATCTTAAATCGTGTCATTTGACCGGATCTTTTCATGACTGACGATAGTTTGAAGTAGCTACTAGACTTCCACCGGGTTCGATATGGTGCTAGGCATTTCAAATCTGAACATATATTTTTCCATAGCTTTATCTAGTCTGTTCTTGAACGCGTTCATACTTGGAAGGCCAACGATGACAATCGTTTGGATCATACATAGGATCATCAGGACGACAACTAATAGTAAAGTAATCCTCGTAATAGGGGGTAATGAAAAATACCAGCAACAGGTTATTATGTAGTTGAATGACGCCAAACTTTAGTTTATTTGGTAAGATATAATACTATTTCGTAGCTAGTGGACTTTATAATTAACTTTACGAGCACAAATGGGGTCACAGACCCCAAAATGCAGACGTTTGCGTTCGCCAAATGTACATGAGCGGTGATTGATGTACATTTTGAACATCAATTTTTACAAAATTTACATCAATCAAGGTTTGTAAAACAGTGTTCTAAAGCACGAAGAATTTATGTGGAATATCATGCAGGCGAACAATCATGTTTCTGACGTCGTTCCAGACTATAAGCTTAGCAATGAAACGCCTCATTATATAAAGAAGAGAACAGAGAAAAAACTAGACGCCACACACCTCATTCTACTCACTAGGGTTTATGGCATCACATGGTGATATGAACGTGCGTAGCTTCACTTCCCCATTGTGAAACTAAAGCTTTTTGCCGGATAGTCAGCGAGCGCAGTTCCGTTGCTTGTGAATTTAGCGGCGGAGCAGAATTGGTCGCCGGGGCTGAATTTATGAGACGAGGTAGCGAAGACGAGTCTGCCGCGACGAGGTCGCTCGGACGAGTGCGAAAATAGAAGGGGGAGGTTCTTGCGCTGACGAGAATAAAATGCTGTGATCTTACTTGTTTTTATCATGAGGAATGTCTTTCTCGGCATTGAAATAAGGAGACTGAGTTAATGGTGAGACTGCTGAATGGCAAGTGTGAGATTTTTCGGCTGAAAAATGTCAGTAATAATATTGTGCGAGTGATTCATGCATCCGGTTTATTTCCTCGACCGGCAAAAAAATACAAATGATGGAAAATGAATTTAGGAATACAAACGTGAAAGTTGAGTTGCTAAAGTTACTTTCATGTGATTCCTTCCGTTACTCTGATAAAATTAATGAGGTTGTAAATACATGGTAGATTTACCTTGGTCATCACTCTACATGACACACCAACAAAAATACCATCCGCATCTCAATCAATTACGATGTCAAAAAACATTGTTCTTGTGAAGAACAGACATAGCTATTTTTTCAGACAAAACAGAAATATCTATTTTATATTGTCTAGCTATTATTTTCTCTGACATAGCAAGGCCCTTGCTCACTCTGATGAGGATTTGTGCAGCAAAGAGCGTTATTATTAAACCGAGCAGGAGGCAGCGCCAGAACAAAGTGCGTATAAAATGCGTCACCGAGACTTAAACCTCGTGAACCTGCTTGCAGATAACCACTTGACTTGATGTTAAACAATTTCAGTCTTTGCTAAGTAACGTAAATCATGTTATCTAATTTAATTAACACGCTATGCTCCTCCGGGATTTCTCTTGAAGGGCGTTCATTTTTCGACAACCACATAGGCAGTTTCTCCTAATGTCTGAAATTCTGAAATTGGAGCAAGAATTTTACTGAGCGACTCAGACTACCAGTGTTTACATCGCAAACGCAGCCACTGTTACAGGCGCTGCCAGCAAATCTTGTGGCGCCAACTGACGCATTATGCATGAGAACTGAGATTAAATCTCAAATTAGATATACCATTAATTACGCAATTATTAGAAGAATAAAATGGAATAATAAATAGATTTGAAATGAGTAAAATCTATACATAAAAAAATGATCGACGAGCAGACTGCAGTATTCCCCCAAGCTAATGTCAGAGCTTAGACATTCAGGCACTCAAACAGATTAACATAGAATTCTAAATCTCAATGTAGAAAGTAAAGCCATTTAAACCTTTAATAATCACAGACGCTCATATCACACGATCTATATTATTTCTTATTGGTTCCCAGTCTGCGAGCACAAGTCTCCCGTATCTGCGTCTACAAATATTCCCTAATTAAATTACAAATCTTTTTACCCTGACAATGTGGAAGATTAGAAACGTTTCTTTGTTTTAAAATAGTTGAAAAATACATAAATTTGCGGCTGGTGCGATATCCAGATCATGTGAAGTGAAGCTGATAGAACAAGGGAAGTCAAAAAATCATTTATGAAAAAGTTACATAAAGTCTACCATCTCAAAAAAAGTTCTTGCTCGTGATTTTGACAGAACTCTTATTCACGTGACACGGGAATTTATTAGATTGACGTGTAAGGATTCCTTGTAGCTGAGGTACTCAGTCACAGGCGAGGATTAGCGAGCAATCCGCAATCGTTGCACGTGTTTTCCTTGCCAACGAACACCGCCCGTGTTGAATGATGAATACTTGTCTTGTTACTTTGCGTACCCGCACGCAGGCTCGTGAGCATTGGACATACAGTACACGCATGCAGATCGAGGTAGTGCGTACGTCGTTGTCATGCAAATATAACAGGTTCTTGTTCGCCACCGACAGAGCAGGCTATTGACGGGTGTTCTTAGGTTGAAGCTTTGTAGCATGATAATGTACCTAGGCAATCATAACTTTTATGACACGTGTGTTTTTTTTATTTGTATCATCGATGAAATGAACCAAACTGAATGTTTTAATTGCCAAGTATGCATTTCGTGAGCTCAATATAACATGTGAAGCTGACCCATATATTCATGCATTGAACTAACAGTGAATAATTTTTGTGAGAGAAAAGATGCCTCAATGGCGGTTAATTTTGTTCAAAGTTTGCAGAAGAAAAATTAGAAAAATTAAAAATTATGCTTATAACGCATGGATGCAGGAGATAATGTACAGAAACAAATACATGAAGGGTGCTCCCTGGATTGCGAAGAGAGAGCGTGATCTGGGCACAACGTCCATTTGCATAGAGTTCACGACGTATTAAAAAATGAGCTGCAACCCAAAACAAGATATGGCCCAGATGAACGCAATATTTAGCAGCCTACCCGACCATTCTTCCTGCACAAAAAAAATCAGAGAAACGTCGCGGTTGACAAAAAAGTCGGCCACAAAACTGGCCACATTTGTCGCGGCCGCGCCTTTTGCATCATCGCCGTTTGCGATGCTTTTTTTAACTATCCGCCGACTATAGGGTGGTTTAGGATTATTTTACCCACTTCTGGCACGTCTTACATCTAAATCCTGTAGCAGTAAGTTTTTTTTAATATAAAAATGCTCTTCGGGACTTATTTTTGGGCATGTTGTATCTAAGAATCATAACGACTTCATCGATTCTACTTGAGAAATAATTCACGGCAACATTGTTTAAACAAAGAAAAACAAGTAATGCATTCTCTATGGTATTAAATTTTCCTTAGTTGAATATATTCATTAAATTTTATTTTTTTAACGTCATTCTAACTACGAATAGCATTTCAGTTGTTAGTGATAGTGCTAGGAATAAATAAAGAAGATATTTTGGTTCGGACAACTAGAGAAGTAAGCACTTGATAAAGAGTAGTAAGCTGCAGCAGCTTCAGATAACCGATCAAAGGATTTGGGTGTTTAGCAATGAACGCAACCAAGATTATCACTCATGCACATCGTTTGCATATACGGTATACGGTCGAGCTACTTGCTTTATTCACAGAACATTGCTGCACTGTCTTATTGCTTCTTCCTAACAGGTTAAGCGAATAGACGACATCATTATATATACATGACTATATCTTATTGACTTATTGTGAAGACTAGTGAGGTCATGCGAAATAAGTATGTCTTGAGAGACACACCTGCTGTCATAATAGGACTGCGTATAAGAAACCATAATATAAGAAACCCAAAATTATTTTCATCAAATGCCAGTTGGAATCCATGGACCTGAAATGAATATTAATGAATATTCAATGGGTTGCTCCTTGGAGGCCATGGACAGACTCCATGGACTGACATTATACCTAATTATAATTAGCTCATTGCGTAGGTATGCTGTTGAATGTTATGGAAGATGCGTACAACTATTGGCACCGGAAATATTCGAAAACTTGAATTGATGCACTGCTAATGGTTCGTTCCTAACTGTTTAGGTACC